TAGGCACTCGTCTCAAGCTGGAGCTAGCGTGTTATCTCTTAGAGATGGCACGTTAGCCCTGGTCAGATTTATACCAGGCTTCATCCTAACCATTACAGGCAAGGTGTTACACGAAGAAGGGCAAACATGCACGTTGTTAAGCTGACGCGTGGTGGACAAGAATGACCGGTCTGGCACTGGTCGCGTCAGCAACGGGCAGCCACGATCCCACGTTGCGCCTGTCTCCGCCGGGAGTGGAGGTAGGTGTGGGCTGTCCCATCGGAGTGTCATTCGGACAGCAACCATACCAATCTCCGTCCATAAAGAGAAGAAAAGTCCAGTTTGGAAAGGGAAGGGTGCATGTGGTATCCCCTTGAAGTATAAAAGGAGGACCTTGCCCATAGAGAGGGGGGGATTCTTTTCGAGATTTAGAGCTTAGAACGGGGGATTTTTGGTCCTTTCGGAAGGCTGAGAGGAAAGGAAGTCGATCCTTTGTAACTTGTCCATACACAAATCCACAAAAACACAGGAGTAGGGTATTACGCTTCGCAGCGGCCCGAACCTGTATACATCGTCGTGTCTCGTGTGTCTTGCGGGCAGACGATCTTTCCAGATACAGAGGGAGAGCGAGAGCTTGAGATTTCACCCTAAGCCCCCGGCCGAACCGGCAAAGGGGGGCCTGCGCGGTCTCCCGGTGAGGAGCCACGAGCTCCGTCACCATCACATCAAAATTTTCCTACACACATAAACTTTTAACTTTTCCGTCACATCATTCCAATTTCAATCAAACTTCTAATTTTAGCGTGAACTAATCACAACCAAACACCTGTTTTCTTGGTCTTTTTTTGATAGGAAACCATGCAGGGAAATACACTGACCGACACATGTAGGAAAGGAAATTTGTCAAATCTATACCTAATAAAAAAATTCTTAAGGCTTCCGTCATTATTTTTGGTCCGTCGCCGATTTCCCACACGCGCACGGCGGTTTTTTTCTGTCCGTTTTTTTTTCGCGCGGTTTTTTTTGTCCGTCAGGGTTTTTTTCGCACGCGGTTTTCTGTGGGCCCATCCACCTTTTTTTTGCGCACACGCTCTTTTTAGTGAGTCCGCCTTTTTTTCAATGCACGCGTTTTTTTAGCTGTCCGTCTCCAGTTCCCGCATGCGGTATTTTTGGGCCCATTGCCCAGGAATTACAAATTCAGTCCAGCACATAAATTACATAGAACCCAAACATAAGAATTACATGACCGATTAGGATACAAACAACTTCTCAACCTATATATAGAATAAAACTGAAAGCACAAACAAGACTAATATATGCACCCAGAATTTGGTGTGGAACTAAGCAATCTCTGCTCGGCGCTACTCATATACCCAGATATTTTTTTGAAACTGAGCAATTCATGTTCGGTGTGAGACTCAATCTGCTTTTACTGCATTTATAACGATAAAAGGTAATTCTTTAGACCTTAATGATGTATACATTATTTATGACATATAACGAACAATTAACATAAATCAGTCAATCTTAAGAGGGAAAAAATACATGGAAATAAAACTACCAAGCTCAGCAAGGTAACACCAGATTGATCGGATCTCATACCTTATTTAAGAGGCAACCATCTTTTATTAGTAATTCTGAAGAAAAAACCATCCATCTTCTATTAGCTAAAAAAAAGGGGAGTAGCTATATTTATGGCGCCATATTTTTCACCAAAAAATAGTCGGTGTGTATTTACATCGTAAGTTTATAAATTACATATGCAATTTTATTGTATTTACAATGTAAGTCACAAACTTACATATGTAAGTCTCAAAATTACATATGTAAGTCTCGAAATTGCATATATGTAATTAATATATAATCATCTCTCATCATGATGTATGTGTGGAAATAATCTTCAACCTCACGGAAGCACAGTTGGGAGGCCTCAGGCCTGTGCGGTTGTGTGGCATAGCGCATAGGCATGCAAACCGACTGTAATCAATGGAATTTTATGGTGCCAGAAATTTAGCAAATCCAAAAAAAAATTATCACACCAAACTATTAACCAAAATAATACCACTATTACTTCATTATATTTTTATTTGCTACACTTATTTCTGATTTCGGATGTATAGTCTGCCAAACAATTTCCCTTAACTACGCGCGCACACAAAAGAAGACCTACGTATAAAGTTTAAATGTTTGGCCTATAGCTTGGTGTTTTGTGTACATAACTGTTGCTTGAGTTCCCCTATTACTTCCTAGGGCCATAACGTGAAAGGTATTTCAAATAGCATAAGTAAAGCATAAAAAAAAACTTAACAGTATTTGCATATAGAGAACACATAAAAGAATATTATGGAACATTAGTAAAACAAAACAATAACGAATAACTTGCCTAGAAAATCAAGTGGAACCTCTATCGCATATCAGAACAAAAGTTTCTTTAGATCAAGCATCATGGCATAGCAAACTAAGACATGAAATTTTTGGTACTACATTGGTACATGTCAGAATTGAGTGTTTCCAAACAGATGACCAATGAAGCATGCACATCGCAACCAAAACAGAGCAGGAAACAACCATGTGATCAGATATTACATTGGAAGAGAAAAAAAAATTGGTTGCAGTAGTATGGCTGTAGTTTGCACAAAATTGATAACTGACCTTGCTCAGGCAAGCTATCTCAACATTGAGATAGAATAATCCCCACCAAAAGAATTGGTGTATTAATTGATTCCATCGAAGTCCAACACATATATAAACACATCCTGCGGCTCATTTAAATGAACAAAATCAGCTGAAAAAACATAAGTGAATGATTAAATTATTTTTGCTTCTCACCGTTGTTTTCGAGAAGATACATCATGCTTTTGTTGTTGATAATGTTTATGTACAGCTTCATCTTCCAAGCTAGATGCGCCATCTGGATCATCGTCCCCATTCTTAGATCCCAATACACGAAGACAGAGACACAAAGCTGTATGCGCAAAATGCCTGACGAAAAGAAGGAATACTTAAGAAACGTCATGACGCCTATAAGCGAAAAAAGGATTCAAATGTCCTTCCAAATGTTAAGGACGCACATTGCATTAATTATGAAGGTGATCAGCAAAGCTCATCGCATGCTAAATCTAATAAAGTTAAACAATATATGCTTCAAGTTTTTTTACTAACAGATAATTTGACCCCTCTACCAGACCAGTTTCACCATCATATGTAGTCACAATGTACTCATGACTTCAGAGAGAAGCAAAAAATCACTTCTAATTTTTAATTTTGTGATGAAAATATACTATGGATTTAACGAATAAATTATATCTATAACTTCTAGCTCATTACAAAGAATAACTCATTATATAAGAATGCTGACCAGGTTAGATCATACTGTACTTGCATCAAATACCCAGATTATTTTCTAAAAGGAAGATAACTTTGAGTTAGGATAAAACTAAAACACATTACATTTTGGAACGGTGGGAGTATCAGAGTGAAAATGTAATGCTGAGAATCACAAAAAATAATACTTGAAACAAATAAATGACAGTGGATTCAACTCTCAATTTAGTTTAAGCAAAGGAAAATATGTAACATGGGATGTAAATGATATTATAAACAACATAAAAGCATGATCACAAAACTGTTGTCCAGCAATTCCACATTTCAAAACACAAGCTCAGATAAGAACCGTATTCTAATTTCTAAGCAACCGGATTACTACTATACAAGATGATCCCAAAATTTCACATCAACAACATGATATATTGTCTTAAAAAATAAAGCACCTGGGAGGCAGTGGCTGGAACTGACGGCGAGTCAAGGACGTCGGTCGTTGGCAAGCACGGCGCGGGCCAACTCTCCTCGAACTCAGCCGGCCGCAGCCTGGCCTCGAAAGAAATTCAGTATAATGCGGACATTGTTTCTCCCGTAAGGCTTGCCTATCAGCATAGCTCCAGTGAGCCGGATGATGTTTCTGAAGATCTGAAGAAATGTAGATTAATACACAACTAGATTATCTGCAGTGTATGTAGCTTGGACACTATGACTACATAAGGAGTGTTGTCAAACACGGTTCTCCACCAGAAGAAGCAGAGACAAATCTGATGAGCTAATGGAATGTGGTGAACCCCATAAGGACTTAAAAAGAAGTTGCATCCTCAAATGCGATGTGCTTAGCAACCAACACCGGGTCCCCTGACTTATCGGTGAAAGCACAAACCAAAAGATAGCACCAAGTATCCTGGATAGAAGAGAAAATCAAAAGAGGATGCAGAGGAAAGTGTCTGGATGATTGGGTTGAGGACTCACATTGGCGTCGTTGGACTGGTAGATGGTGACCTCCTCCTACGGCGGCGCTGTCAGATCGAGATGGATGAGGAACGCGCCAGCGCCATCAGTCGCTAGGATAAGGGATGCCGGATCCAGATGCTCGACGGAGGTCTTGGCGACCACCTCTCGCCACCTTCGCCTCCATCTCATCGACCGCCCACTTCTTCATTCTTCACCCACCGGACCATGCGCCTCCCCTTCATATCCCTTCCTCTAGCGCCTCCCACCGCCGCCGCCGCCGCCCCTTATCGCAGCCATCGAAGACGGCGTGGGGGAGAAGGAGGCAGCAGGGGCGGGGGCGGCGTAGGGGCCGCGCGTGCAGAGGCGGCGGCGGTAGGGAGGCCACGACCACGGTAGAACCGCCGGATCTTGACCCTCCCGTTAACACCGGCGGCGGATCTGCGTGAGCGGGGCACGGAGAGACAACGGGATCTGAGCGGGAGAGGAACAGGTCGCCGGATCCAACCCCTCCCGTCGCAGCTGATGACGGATCTGTGCGAGAGGGGACCGGAAAGACGCCGCATCGAATTCGCCGTCGCCGTCCCCTAGCATCCGCGCCGCCCATACACCCATCTTACCGATCTGCGTTGCCAGGCCAGTTAGCCGCCACCAGAATTGCCGTCTCCGACCCCGATCTACACCTGGACGCCCCCCCTCCTTGCCCCCGTCAGCCGGCTTGAAGAGTAACGAGAGAGAGAGAGTGGGAGAGAGAGAGAACGAGAGAGTGAGAGTGAGAGGATAAGGATCTCTAAATTTCTCTCCAAGGTAATGTACAACAACCATCTTTCTTTTCTTTTCTTGAAAAAAATTACGGTCAAATTGTGCTAATCCATGGATTCAAATTGTACAACAACCATCTTTCTTTTCTTTTCTTGAAAAAAATTACGGTCAAATTACGGTCAAAAAGAAAAAGGGAAGAACATGCTCGCGAAGCTCCGGCCCCTCATGGCGACGGCGGCGGCGGCGGCGGCGGCGGCGGCGAAGCCAGCTCCGGCTTTGTCGTTTTCCACGGCGGCGGCGGAGGGAGACGAACACGCGCACTACAACCACACCGACGCGTGCCACCACCTCCGGTGGACAGCCAAGTAACGGCTCCCCCCCATCACTTCCTCCATCGTCTAGGGCTTATCTGCGGCTTGGGGCTTGATTGGTAGTAACTGTTTTGGTTTTGGTTGGGCACTGCGGCTGCGGCAGGGAGAGCTACGAGTACATGTACGCGCGGCCGTGGAGCAGGGTGGTCGACTTCTACGCCGAGCTCGTGCGCACCGGCGCCGGGGCAGCGGGGCTCGCCGATTTGTTTGGGAAGGATGAGGTGAGAAGGAATGATATTATTATTTTTTAAATAATTATCCATGTGAAACCCTGAGGTAGTGGTTCTTCGCATTCGGTAAATTGGAAGGGGAAAATGTGTTAGTGTTAGTTGCAATTCCTCTTAGTGTGCCAAATGTTGGTACTTTCCCCATCTAAGTAGTACACATTGTTTTAGAGAAATTGAAATCTTTTGGGTGAAGACATTTTTTTCTTGGAGGATAGATTAAGATTTTGGAATTTGTCGGTGCAGGCCTGTTTCTAGAATTATCCATGTGAAACCCTGAGGTAGTGGTTCTTCGCATTCAGTAAATGGGAAGGGGAAAATGTGTTAGTATTAGTTGCAATTTCTCTTAGTGAGCCAAATGTTGGTATTTTCCCCATCTAAGTAGTACACATCGTTTTAGAGAAATTGAAATCTTTTGGGTGAACACATTTTTTCTTGGAGGATAGAGTAGATTTTGGAATTTGTCGGTGCAGGTCCGTTTCTAGTACTTTTAGTTTGTTTCAGTAAGATTTATCGGATTTTTCTTCAACAGAATGGTTACAGCCTTGATACGAATGGAGAAGATTACACAGCACCATCAGAAAATCAAACATCAACTAAATCATCCAAAGATCGAGGAGGACGATGGGAAAGAGTAACCTTCAAGATTGTCCTTTCATATCATGGGGGGTCATTTGATGGTTGGCAGAAGCAGCCTGGCCTCAACACTGTTCAAGGGTAAGGATAAATAAGAATGGAGTTATGTCATTTCTATAGACATATCTGGCACTTTTATTCTTCACTTCCTTTGCATCTCAAGACAGATGACAGGATAAAACCATTTGTTGCACTCTGTATTTCTTGCAGGTTAGTAGAAAAACATCTTGGCCAGTTTGTTGACGAGAAGAAAGCTAAACAGCTTGAAGCAAGATCATTGCCATTAGAAGGCTGTGCTGTTGTTGCTGGGCGCACAGACAAAGGGGTGACTGCCCTTCAGCAAGTTTGCTCATTTTGTTAGTTGCACCTGAGAACACACTATTGTTTTCCAGTGGTCCTTCAACTAATTATCCACTTTTATGAACATGTCATATTACAAACTATTCCCTTTGTTCCAAAATTTAGCTACCTTTCCACCTCTCAACCAATCGCACCAATCCCCATTTAGTTTCTCCACCTACTTCCTCATCTCAACCAATCACAACATCCATCATGTTTACCTTTTTCTTTAATATCTGTGGCCAACTCTAAAATACCTTATATTTTGGGATGGAGGGTCTACTTCTCAAGAAGAGCTTATGTGCAGTTATTTTGTAGAGTTTTTTTTTTTTTGGTTGAAAATTTTGCTTTGTTTACAGAAGCATTTGAACAAGTAATTTGCTTCTGATTATAAAATCATTAACACAACAATTTGTCAATACCAAATACACCACTGTTTTCCTATCAAAGAAGTAATAGCCTGGAGATATAGCAGTGCAGAACTCTGGCCTACGTGCAATGAACTGCTAACCTTCTTATTTGACTAACTCCACCAATGCATGCCATTCATTTCATTTGATATGACATGAAGAACTCATTTGCACAAATAAATAGACAATCCTTGTGTACTTATGTGAGAAATTAACTCTAATGGAATGCTGAGATACACCATGGGACTAGATACATTACTTCTCCTGATAGCTGACATGTGTATTTACTTCTAATTTCCTTAGATACATGGAGGAAGGATGTAAAGTCTAGTGATATAAAGGATGCAATAAACAAGGCTGCACCTGATAAACTAAGACCTTTGCATGTGTCACAGGTATTTTTCTTTTGCTTTTTCAGAATATATGACTGCACTTGATATGTATGCTGCATTGCTGCTAGTGGTAGAATTGTCCATTTTTCATGTAAAGTTCTTAGAATGTCAAGACATCCACCATGGGTGATGCTACGCTTGTTATTAACTGATGGCATAATTTGCAGGTCTCACGTGAATTTCACCCTAATTTTGCAGCCAAATGGAGGAGATACCTGTATATATTTCCTCTTGACGAGGATGTAAAACTAATCTCAGGGGAAGAACAGTCCGCTAAAACAGTAGAGGGTCCTGAGTGCAACATAAAACCTCAAAGCTTTGATGTGGGTAAGGTTGACAAAATCATTAGACAACTGGAAGGAAAATCACTATCTTACAAGATGTTTGCACGTGATACACAAGCTTCACGAAGTGTGTAAGTTTATAACTATTGTGTATTTGTGTATTTTTCAAGTACAAAAGTGGTTCTCTTGCTGTTTTATGATAATTAATCACCTAGGCCTGACATATTTGTTCATCTTTGTTGGAATATAACATTATTGTTTTCCTTGTAAATGACCATGTCACTATTTTTATGCTCGCCATCAAGTTCAACCAAAAAAAAAAAAACTTCTGTTGATGTTTTGTTGTTTTGCAGTGGTCCACCTACAGAGTGTTTCATGTTCCATTCTCGAGCTGCAGTGGCCAAACTACACACTGCTGATGAGGTGATGCTAGTCTAATACATTGAACTTTTAAACCAGAAAATAACAATGTAACTTTTGCTGGTAATATACTATGTCAGGAATCAGGTTACTTCCCAGTGCTTCCATTCTAGTACTGCTAATCTCTACATAAAAGTAACAGTATTATTTTGTGGTATCGCGTTTGTAACCTTAACTTTAGTTGCTGGACATTGGCATAGCTTGAGTATGGCATTATGACGTGTATGCAATTGTGGATTATATAGTTTTGAGTTGCTGATATCAAAACTAAATATATTATGTGGACTCATAAAATTTAGCATCATGGCTATGCAATCGATAACTCCCTTATCTGTTTTTTTTTTCAATTAGCATTCTGCATGCACATATATCATTTCAACTGGTAATACCATGTTCCATTCCGTTTTCCCAATTTTTGCAGAATTGTGAAGAAGGCACCACCAGGGCCATATGCATTGAGCTAGTCGCAAACAGGTTTCTGCGCAAGGTATTATACATCAAGTTGTTTCATGGCATTGTAATTTATCCAGTCGTCCCCCGAATTCTAGTTAATATTAGTAAATTTCATTGAACAGATGGTTAGGGTTCTTGTTGCGACTGCCATAAGGGAGGCAGCTGCTGGTGCTGAAGAAGATGCTTTGCTGAACCTGATGGAAGCCACTTGCAGGCGAGCTACTGCTCCCCCAGCGCCTCCAGATGGGCTCTGTCTTGTTGATGTTGGATACGAGGATTTCAATAGACAAAGGTGTTTCATTGTTGATTAAACAGAACAGTCATATTCCTGTTGGAGCAGAACAAGATATACTGATTCAACAATCGAAAATCTGAATTTTTGGATTCCCGAGATGAAACTTAGATCATTCTGGTTGAACAGTGAACCTATAAGCAGCACTCTCCTGTAGGAAATCTGACCTGCTTCCTAGTTTCCATGTATCCATCAACTGGAATTTTTTGTATTATCTGAGACTGAAAGAGTGTTGCTTACACCATTCGTTCAACTACGGTCAAAGTCTCTCTGAACTAAACTCTGAAGAAAGAAGAGGCCGCCGTGCATGCTTTTTCAGGTTTTCACACTGTAAGTTTTCTTCAACATATTTACATTATCGAATAATTTATGATCCGAAGGTAGAACAATCGGTGGAAGTTCTACTGCAGATGTCGAATAGACCAATGCATCTTCCTGGACCAATATTTGCTGTCAAAACAACAATATCACGACCAAAATCAAGGTACATTCCACCATTTTATATGAATGTGACATAGAAATGGGCATATATAGCTGTCAAGTTCAGATGATTTTCAGAGAACAAAAGCATATCAACTTAAGGCATATCCCAGCAGCAACAACATCATCTACAACTATTGCTAATCACATATATAATTATCCCTAGGCCTTGTTCTTGTCGTGCGATAACTTTTTTTTGCATGATGTATGTGACTATGTTCTATGTGTGTATATACTATAATTCATGGGCCACGTACTCGTGATTTTTCTCTTGAATCGTGGGCGCGAGTTGGCGGCACGAAATTCTTTAAGACAGCGCGTTTGTCGGTGGGCGCATCTCTTGTGATTAACCAAAGCTTTTGTCGCGCATTTCGCTTCCAGAAGTGAAAATGTTGTGATTAATTCGGCATTAAAGGTGTGCAGATCGATGTGTCACTGGCAAAAATAGTGAAAATGGAGAGCCAAACTTGCCGATGTGCTTTAGAAAAAAAAAAGAACAACTTGCCGATGTGCTGCTAGATGGACAAAGAGTAAACATCATACAGCTCTGAACTGAGAGAGAGGGTCCTCTGAAGTACCGTACGTATACGTACATACAGTACCGCTCGCTGACACATGGGTCTCACAGATTCTTAGACTGACATGTCAGTACCGTACGTATACGTACATACAGTACCGCTCGCTGACACATGGGTCTCACAGATTCTTAGACTGACATGTCAGTTAGCAATACTGCACGTACAGTACTGCAAAGGATCTACATATAGCATACAACTACACTAGGCCCTTGTTTAGTTCCAAACTTTTTTTTTCAAACTTCCAATTTTTCTATCACATCAAAACTTTCCTACACACAAAAACTTTTAACTTTTTCGTTACATCGTTCTAATTTCAACCAAACTTTTAACTTTGGCGTGAACTAAACACACCAGAATTGAGGCTTAGACTATTGTTCTTCTTTAACCGTTTTGTTAAACTATTATTTGGTATCCCCATGTATTTGGTATCCCCATGTAATGGGTTGAGTCTTATGTACTCTTGATTGTGGTTTGGGTTGTGTACACCTTCTAAGGTGTAGAGGCCGGGTTAATATAATCCATTATCTAAAAAAAGGAAGACAACTTGGCTGGTAAAAGAAAAATCAGACAACTTTCTCAACATTCTTGGCAGCCTGCATGGTTTGGTTATGAAAATTATTGTATAACCCAAGAGATTATCACGTTTTTAAAGGTACTTTCTTTTTAATAAAAAGTCATATATATTTTTTTTCGTCATTGAGCTTTGCTGGAGGTCTATTGTCTTCACCCTAAGTAAAAATAGTTATTTTTCGCTCCAGACAATTTTAAATCCAAATAAATGCTATCTTCATTTTTAATATATAATGCCGTTGATTTTTTATATGTTTGCACCATTTCTTTTAATTATATATGTTTGCACAATATATAATTATCATTTATTTTATTGTGATTTGATTACCATTAAAAGTTCTTTAAACATTACTTATTATTGTCATGTTTGTACAAAATTTAGTTAAACATATCTCTAAAAGTTAACGACATCATATATTAAAAAATAAAGAGAATATCACTCAAGTAGGGAAAAACAATAGTAGTGTGGTGATTTAAGTTGATGTATAACTTAAGTCACTAAGATTTACATCCTATTTAGCCATAAATGTTACATATAAGCAGAAACAACGGTTTCCAAATAGTCTTTGAATTTGTTTGGAGAAGCGTTGTTTCCAAATAGTCTTTGAGTTTGTTTGGAGAAGCTTCTAGCTGATACATCTTTTCCAAATAGTCATTTTTCTGTTCGGATTATAAAAAGCTGTGGTTGTAGAATTTAGAAAATAAATTAGAAGTAAGGAGCTGAGAAATCCAGCTCCCAAACAAACCCTTTGTCAATGTGCGAGCAAGCAGCCAAATAAGCCATTGCCAACCGAAACAAAGAAAAAACAGAAGTGATGAACAAGAAAACGTTGCAGTCTCCAGCGGCGACTCCCACACCAAACGCCAGCTTTTTCCTCCTCTTCTTCTCCCTCGGTGTCTAAGCCTAAGCCTAAGCCTCCCGCCAAATACCAACACACACACACACACGCTTCCCGCGCTATTCTTAGCTGCTCTCTCCCCCACCTCGCGATCTCCCTCCCCGTCCCTCCTCCCCCTCCGCGCCTCCCGTTCTTTAGCCACCCTCCCGCGCATGCGCCGCACGCCTCCCGCACGTCGCCGCCACCGCCACCGCCACTGGTAGCCGCCGCCCCGCCGCCCGCCCGCCTCATGGCCGGCGTCGCCGCCGTGCGCCTCCTCCTCCTGCAGGCCGCGGCGGCGCTCGCCCTCGCCGCGGCGGCGGCCGCCGGGGGGCCGGAGGCCGCCACGCTGCTGGCGTTCCGGGGGGCGCTGCGGGGGCCGCACGGCGCGCCGCCGGAGCCGCTCAGCCAGTGGGCCACCACCACCCCCGGCCCCTGCGCCGGCGCCGGCACCGGCGTGTCGCTGTGGTACGGCGTGACATGCCACCAGCGGACGGGGCAGGTGCGCGGCCTCCGCCTCGAGTACCTCGGCCTCCAGGGCCCCGCCCCGGACATGGCGCCGCTCGCCGCGCTCCGGGGGCTCCGCGCCCTCAGCATCGCCAACAACAACCTCACGGGGCCGTTCCCCGACGTGTCCATGCTCCCGGCGCTCAAGATGCTGTACATGTCGCGGAACAAGCTCGACGGCGGCATCCCGCCCGCCGCGTTCGCGCACATGAGGGGCCTCCGCAAGCTCTTCCTCTCCGACAACGCGTTCACCGGCCCGATCCCGACCTCCATCACCTCGCCCAAGCTGCTCGTCCTGCAGCTCTCCAAGAACCGCTTCGACGGCCCCCTGCCGGACTTCAACCAGAAGGAGCTGCGCCTCGTCGACGTCTCCGACAACAACCTCTCCGGCCCCATCCCGCCGGGCCTCCGGCGGTTCGACGCCAAATCGTTCCAAGGTGAGCAAATTATGGTGAATTTATACATTTTTTAATTAAAAAATGGTGAAATTTTGCTACCTGCCTGTTCATGCATTCGTGCATGCACGAATTCCTAGTGAATTACTGGACTAGTACATGTTTGATTTGCAATTAGGACAGAACATGCGATCAATAAAAGGATTTAGGGAGTAATGGAATTTTGTTGAGATCATGGTGGTGTTCTTTTCTCCTGAAGATGAAGATTAATTTTTTTACGTAAAACGAGGTGGTATTAACGTATGATTAATTAATTTTTAATTATTATAAATTTGAAAAATAGATTGATATGATATTTTAGAGCAACTTTCATATAAAAAGTTTTCGCACCAAACATACCGTTTACCTGTTTGAAAAACATACCACGAAAATTCAAAATTTCACCCAACTTTCATATGTTGCTGTTTTACACATTTGTCTAGTCAATTAAGGATTTCTTTAAGCAAATCCAGATTGATGTCTCACTGTCTCAGAATCCAAGAATAAAATGGGCTGCAAGAACTATGTAAATACAAAATAAAACAAAGTACTATTCCTACCAACTACTGTAAGTGGCTCTTTCGAGGTTGTACAGTACGTCATGACCAATTAAGAAACACTTACATGAAGATGTTAAACTCAGAAGTCAACATCCAACATGATCAAACGTGCTAATTAAACTAACCACATAAAAGTATTAGATTAGTGCACTGTAATATAATACTATCCTTTTGCTAGTGTACACCAAATTGCAGTATTCCTGAATGCATTGCAATATTCTACCTTTATAATTCTTCTTTTTTGGAAGAACAAAAACTATAGAGCATATTTATCAAGCACATCGATTCAATCAAAAATCCAAACCCTTGATTGGTCGCACTGTTTGGGCTACTTGTGAACGCATGATTTCATAGGATTTTCGCACGAATTAGTTCAATTCCTCCAAAAATCCAACAAAAACGGATTATACAACATACCATGATACCACTGTTGTTCTAAAATAAGTTTATTTTTCACCCTTCCCATACATATATGATATATATACCAATATAAAAACAAAAGATTAAAATACTGTCACTTTATAAAATATCCATGCAACTGTCCCATACTATCTCTACTACAATTCATTTGTCTTTTACTTTTACAAACCACATCAATTCGTACTGCTTGGGTACTTTGGAAAACACGAATTTAGTTCAATTTCTCCAAAATAAAGTCCTCTAAAATTAGTTTATTTTTTTGCTCATGCACCATCTGATCCAAACCTCTCCCCATGGAAATATTCAGGAAACAAAAATCTCTGCGGCCCGCCGGTCGGCGCCCCGTGCCCCGAAGTGCCAATCCTCGCGTCACCTTCGCCATCGCCGCTGTCGTCGTCGTGGTGGTCGCCTCGCAGCTTGAAGATCCTCATGATCATCGCCCTCGTGGTGGTCGTCGTCGGCGCGCTCCTGGCATTCGCCGGCGCGTTGACGGCGATGCTCGCCCGACGCCGCGAGGCCACCACCGAAACCCAGGGCGGCGGCGTCGGCGGCGCCGCCGCCAACGCCGCCGCCGCCAGGATGAAGGCCACGCCCAATCCGGCCGTCACCGTCGCACACGGCGGCGGCGGCGGTGGCGGCGAGCAGCAGCCGCACGTGACGGTGTCGGCCGTGCCGGCGAAGCGCGGCGGGCGGCGGGACGACCACGGGCGGCTGGTGTTCATCCAGGAGGGGAGGGAGAGGTTCGAGCTGGAGGACCTGCTCCGGGCGTCGGCAGAGGTGCTCGGCAGCGGCAGCTTCGGCGCGTCGTACAAGGCGACGCTGGTGGAAGGCCAGTCCATGGTGGTGAAGCGGTTCAAGGAGATGAACGGCGTCGGGAGGCAGGACTTCAACGAGCACATGCGGCGGCTCGGCCGCCTCGTCCACCCCAACCTCCTCCCCGTCGTCGCCTACCTCTACAAGAAGGACGAGAAGCTGTTCGTCACCGAGTACATGGTCAATGGCAGCTTGGCTCACCTCCTCCATGGAGGTAATTAACCACACAATCCTTCCCATCTTGACACAACCTGCATTGCATTTATTTGATTTATGTTAATGTCGCCGGCGACGCGTGATCGGTGGCGTACGTGCAGGGTCGAGCATGGCGGCGCTGGACTGGCCGCGGCGGCTCAAGATCATCAAGGGCGTGACGCGCGGGCTGGCGCACCTGTACGACGAGCTGCCGATGCTCACCGTGCCGCACGGACACCTCAAGTCGTCGAACGTCCTCCTCGACGCTGCGTTCGAGCCCATCCTCAGCGACTACGCCCTCGTTCCCGTCATGACGCCGCGCCACGCCGCGCAGGTGAGGCGATCGAACGACGGCGGCGGCGACGAACGCCCGCGGCGTATAGGCCGGCACGCATTGACTGGGGATGGTTCGTGTTTGCAGGTGATGGTGGCGTACAAGTCGCCGGAGTGCGGGGAGACGGGGAGGCCGAGCAAGAAGAGCGACGTGTGGAGCCTGGGGATCCTGATACTGGAGGTGCTCACCGGCAAGTTCCCGGCGAACTACCACCGGCAGGGGCGGACGGGGACGGACCTGGCGGGGTGGGTGCACTCGGTGGTGCGGGAGGAGTGGACCGGCGAGGTGTTCGACCAGGAGATGCGCGGCGCTCGCGGCGGCGAGGGCGAGATGGTGAAGCTGCTCAAGGTCGGCCTCGGCTGCTGCGAGAGCGACGTGGACAAGCGATGGGACCTCAGGGATGCCCTCGCCCGCATCGAGGAGCTCCGGGAACGCGACGCCGGCGCCGGCGCCGACGACAGCAGCGCCGCCTCGTCCGTGGCCAGCGGCGGCGGCGGCGGCGAGGCGTCGCGCTCCCACTCCTCGTAGCGAAACAGCAGCGATCTCACCTTGTGTACGCGCGCGTATGTTTCACAGCTTTTTCGGTGCATCTGATCAGCCCTACGATTCGAAAGGGACGGAGGAGATCTTCCGGGTATGTGAACGTGTGAGATAATACTGTTCAGTGCGTGTAAATTAATTTTCTTAGATTTATTAAAGGAAGGGAAGGGTTGTGGTGAAGTTTTTTTTTTTACCTTTTGCATACGTACATTTTCACAGGTGATATACGAAGATTGTTGGTAGAAAGAGAGAATCCATTAGAGTTTGTAACAGGTATACAATTTACTTTTGCATATGCCATTGACTTTTTTCTTACCTTCTACGATTTTTACCATCGCCGTCCGGTTAGTCTATGTGTACTGTACAATTTTATCTAAATGACCAAAATACCCCTGGGACAAAAACTTCTAAAGTTTGATAAAAAAATTCTGAATTATCATATTTTAAGTTTTTGACAAAAATTGGATGTTTACAATCTTATGTTTATAATATTGATATTTCGAAATTTTTGTCCAAATTTTGGATGTTTTTGTTCCAGGAGTATTTTGATCATTTGGATAAAAAATGTATAATACTAGGGAAGGTTAACCAGACGGCGATGGTAAATTGTAGAAGTTAAGTAAAAAAAAAGTGACATATTGTAAAACGTGACAAAATCAGTGGTAAATTGAAGACATGTAACAAACTCAGTGACATATAATGGATTTTCTCTAGAAATATTGTGAAAGTATAGTGGTGATATGAGTGAGCAGATGAAAGGCCAAGGGCCTTTGCACTCGATGAATTTGCATATCATGATTGCATTGATGACGCAGTAGTTACGACAGGGACTCAAACAAAGGCATGCAGAAACTGCTGACTTTCGTATGCAATTTAACACATCACTCCTTACACCACTGATCTTTGCTCGGGCGTCAAAATCAGCAAATATCCATGCAAAAAAGGCAATATTGCAAAGAAAATAAAACGGTACTCCGTACTTCATTAGTTTGGAACTCGGCTAGCCACTGCCACTTGGCTATAATTACGGTGACAATACTTTCTAGACAGGGGTTGGTAAGCTGCTGCTATGTACTGATCATAGCCTTGCAAGTACTAAAATCCAACGGTGGCAAACAATCTTGATGACGTGATGCACCATATAGGATGAAATGGAATTAACTACATTTAGTATGGACCAACTGTATAGATTTATAAGATTAGCACCGGCCCCATCTTGTCATTGACGCTAACCTATATCCCCAATCGCAGAGCTGTAACAGGCCAGCACCTAAGCCCCTCCATTGCCACCATGGTGCCAGAAACATCGAGCTGTTGATGGCCCTACTTCCAAGTCTACAATGTGTGCCACACGGTCCGCCCCTATGTGCCTTGCCATCACTTCCAACCATTGGCTCTAACAACACAGCCCTCTGGCTTTCACTAGCATCTTCATCCCTAATTCGTTCATGCCTTCGTCCACATCCTCCACGAACGAAACATAAGGAGGTGATTAATATTCATTATTTGCAAGTTAAAAAAAGAAGAAGACAAGAGATGGGACTTCATAGCTGCTTTTTGAGAGGTCTGCATACGCTACGCAAGCGAAACAACCGGGACTATCCAAATCACATATATTTATAGCAATTGTATAAAAGTCCCTCGGCGAAAAAGTCAGCCAACGATCTCCATGCTGCACCGTCAGTCCATGCCTAGTTTTCTTGCCCCCCTACCACCATAAATACGCACCTAGCTGTAAGATGGATCACAAAACACATCGATCCATCCCTCTACCAGTACATAAACAAGAAAGATAACACCAAAAAATTAGCTAGCTCGCCAATGGCCTTGTTGTCCTCCTTCCGGCTCGCCGTGGCAGTGGCGGCATTGTTGGTCGTCGGCTCATGCGCCACTGAGGTCACCTTCAAGGTTGGTGAGGGCTCTAGCGGAAAAAGTCTAGAGCTCGTCACCAACATCGCCATCTCTGAGGTGGAGATCAAGGAGAAGGGCGGCAAGGACTGGGTGGCGCTCAAGGAGTCGTCGACTAACACCTGGTCGCTCAAGAGTGAGGCGACCCTCAAGGGCCCCTTCTCCGTCCGCTTCCTTGTCAAGAACGGTGGCTACCGTGTCGTCGACGACGTCATCCCCGAAAGCTTTACGGCCGGCACTGAATACAAGAGTGGCATCAACATCTAATTCATAGACATGCGTACTCTTGCATTGGGTTGCATGGGAATCATTAACATCTATATAATTTTGTCTAAAAAGAGATCGCGTCGCATGTGAGCGAGCAAACAATTAATTTCCTATGGTTATTTTTTTGGTAATAGGCCAATGGCAAAATAAGGCATAATTGCGTGGTTCCAAAATATTGTTGTGGAGCTGTATGTGAGCACGATTTTAAATATATGTTGTTTATAGAAGATGTATCGAAAAAAATATATTTGGTCAGCTTTCATTAAGATGATTGTGTGGATTTGATTTCCCAAAGTTTGAGTACATATGTATGTCCAAATCAACGTAGTCCATTTCTCCTTTTTAGCTTGTCAAAAATGTTGTTTGCACTTGTTTTTTCATTTTGTGGAAACAAATTGTTGAATCAATCATACTGTGACCAGACTATAAGCATAAAGCATTTTTACATCATTTAGCTTATTTAGAGGTCAGAAAACTGGAAGTCACGTTATCCCATCTCTAGCATGAATATCATATAGAAGCACACATGTATTGAAGCGAAGCCAACTTTGAGAGGAGCTAAGCTTCATATCATATAGTTGGCCAAGACCCCAAGCTATAGTCAACAACAAAGTTTATATAGTACTACGAGAATATCAATCTATTGCAAAGGATCTAAAGTAAATACACAATTGGTTCCAAACTTTAAATAGAAGAAAAATCTTTACACTGCTAGTGTGTTAGAAGGAACAAGAAAACATACCATTAGTTCCAAACTATATATATGTAAAGAACTAATAAATCCTTAAGACCTAAAAAATGTAGTGGTGGTTTATGGTCCCTTGTCCACCGTAAGCCCATCCTCACTCCCACGCCCTCTCGAGCGAGTCCCGCACGCATGATGTCCCTTCTGCTGCACGAATGGAAGAACACCCTCGACCCCCACCACCTGATCAAAATCAATCAACCATCATTCCTCGGCGCTTGCCCATGGACCTCCTTTCACGTCTAGCTCTCAACTTGCATGGACGTAACAGCATGTGCACTTGCCAATAAAAAAAAAGGAAAAAGTACGAATTACCCCCCCCCCCCCCCGAACTATCGAGGTCGAACGAATTACACCCCCGAACTCGAAAACTAGACATTCTACACCCTTAACTATTGAAACCGGACAAATAACCCCCCTACTCATTCCGGGGTGGTTTTGGGTCCACATGGCAGTCCAGTCAGCATTTTTTTAAAAAAAAAATCAGTGGGCCCCACCTGTCAGTTCTCCACCCCTCTCTATCTCTCTATACTCTATCCCAATCTCTCCCTCTCTCTCTCTCATCTCACCAGCACGGCGCCGGCCGTGCGAGGGCGGGAGCAGGCGGCGCTGTTGGCGGCGGAGGGCGCCGGGCGGCTGAGATGGAGGCGGAGCGGGTGGCTGGCAGCGGGAGGCAGAGCTCGCCCGCGCAGGTTGCCGTGCAGGTTGAGGCGGCGGAGGAGCGCTGTCGTTGTGTGTTGCTGCCTTGTCGTCATAAAACAAGCTTCTCTTCCCTCACCTTTTGCGTGGCCTTGCCTGCCCTTGTTCACCTCACCTCAGCTTGTCTCTCTGACTTTGATCTCGCCATCCCGAGTTCGCCGGACACGCCCACGGCCACCACGGCGGCGATGGAGGGCGCCGTGCTCTGCGCCGCCAACCACGCGCCGCTCACCCCCATCACCTTCCTCGACCGGGCCGCCCTCGTCTACCCCGACCGCCCCGCCATCGTCGCCTCCTCCTCTGGACTCACGCGCACCTAGTAGGAGAAGCGGGACCGCTGCCTCCGCCTCGCCGCCTCCCTCGCCGCTCTCGATGTCCACCGCCACCACGTGGTAAGATTGACCTTCGCGGTGGCGCCACCAATCGCTACAATAATTGGATTTTTCTCCCGAATCTCCCCCTTCTTCAATTTTTCATGCTTAAAAAAACCAAATCGCTTAGAATTTACTTGTTGAATCTTCTAATTTGGTTCCAAATTAGCAGCTGAGTGATTCGCATTTTCAGAAGAAATCGTTGCCTTGTTGGTTGTCTCTGTGTGCAAGTCGCGGTGTTCACGCAGAATATTCCGGTGATGTGTGAGCTCCACTTCGGCATCCCGATGGCCGGCGCCGTCAACTGCATGCTCAACTCCCGCCTCGACGCTTCCCGATGCTCTCCGCCGCCGGCAGCACCGCCTGCTCCCGCCCTCGCGCAGCCGCCGCCGTGCTGGTGAGAAGAGAGAGAGAGAGAGAGACATTGGGATAGAGTAGAGAGATAGAAAGGGATGGAGAACTGACAGGTTTGGCCCACTGATTTTTTTTTTTAAAAAAATGCTGACTGGACTGCCACGTGGACCCAAAACCACCCCGGATTGAGTCAGGGGGGTTATTTGTCCGGTTTCAATAGTTGAGGGTGTAGAATGTCTGGTTTCGAGATCGAGGGTGTAATTCGGTCGACCTCAATAGTTCGGGGGGGGGAGTCATTCGTACTTTTTCCATAAAAAAATATCAATTGAATTTATAGTGTACTCTTTTTTATTGTACAATCTACACCGAGACCTAGAATTGTTGGATTATTTTCATAAGGCCACGTGCTCCTCCCCACATACGCCTCGTCGAGTTGTCATCTTGTATTCCTATCAAATGTATTGCATCAACTGCCGCCACCGCTCGATATCCAGCTAGCTGCCTAGCTGTGCTCTACCAATTTACTTAGCACCAACCCCATCTCACCATAAATGCTAACCTATGTCCCCTATCGAGCAGAGCCGCAACGGGCCAGCACATGACCCATCTGTCACCGCCATGATTCCATCAACATCTAGCTGTTGATGGCCCCTCTGTGACATATACTATGGATGCTACACGGTGCCCCTCTATGTGCCTGGCCATCACTCCTGACCGTTAGCTCTACCACCCCTCTGTTTTCTGTTAGCATCTTCACCCCTAATATTTTCGTGTCTTGGTCCATATCCTCCATAAACGGAACATCACAAATTTTTATTATTCGCAATTTAAAAAATAAGTAGAGAAAACATGGGAATGCATAGCTACCTTTTGAGAGGTCTGCATGTCCTGCACCAGTGAAACAATCGGAACTACCAAGTTTGCACCTATTTATAGGAATTGTATTAGAGTTGCTCGACGAAAAAGCCGGCCAACGATCTCTATGCCGCACCGTGCATCCATGCCTGGTTTTCTTTGCCCCCTGCCACCATAAATACACACCCAGCTGCAATATGGATCACCAAACACCTCGATCCATCCCTCTACCCTTCAAGAAACAAGAAAGACAACACCAACAAACTAGCTAGCTCACCAATGGCCTCGTTGTCCTCCTTCCGGCTCGCCGTGGCAGTGGCGGCATTGTTGGTCGTCGGCTCATGCGCCACTGAGGTCACCTTCAAGGTCGGTGAGGGCTCTAGCGGAAAAAGTCTAGAGCTCGTCACCAACGTCGCCATCTCTGAGGTGGAGATCAAGGAGAAGGGCGGCAAGGACTGGGTGGCGCTCAAGGAGTCGTCGACTAACACCTGGTCGCTCAAGAGTGAGGCGGCGCTCAAGGGCCCCTTTTCCGTCCGCTTCCTTGTCAAGAACGGCGGCTACCGTGTCGTCGACGACGTCATCCCCGAAAGCTTTACGGCCGGCTCTGAATACAAGAGTGGTATCAACGTCTAATTAATAGACATGCGTACTCTTGCATTGAGTTGCATGATAATTATTAACCTCTAAATAATTTTGTCTTGTAAGAGATCACGCTACGCGTGAGCAAGCAAACAATTAATTTCTTGTGGTTATTTTGTGGTAATAAGCCAGTGGTAAAATAAGGCATACATATGTCCTTCCAAAACATTGTTGTGGAGCTATATGTGAACACAATTTCGAATATATGTTGTTTATAGAGGATGTATGGAAAAATATTATATTTGGTCAGCTTTCGTTAAGACGATTCTGTGTATTTGATTTCTCAAAGTTTTAGTACATATGTATGTCCAAATCAATGCAGCCCATTTCTCCTTTTTAGCTTGTCAAAAATGTTGTTTACAGTTTTTTTTTAAAAAAAAAAATTTGTGGAAAGAAATTGTTGAATCGATCACTCCGTGACATGAAACTACAAGCATAAAGAATCAGCACATCGTTTAGCTTATTCAGATGCTAGAACAAAATGTAAGTCGCATTAATAATATCTCCAACATGAATAAGTGGTAATGGATAGAATGGAAGCGAAGCCAGCTTTGAGAGGTGCTAAGTTAAGCTTCATATCATATGAGGTCACCTTCAAGGTCGGTGAGGCCTCTAGCGGAAAAAGTCTGGAGCTCGTCACCAACGTCGCCATCTCTAAGGTGGAGATCAAGGAGAAGGGCAGCAAGGACTGGGTGACGCTCAAGGAGTCGTCAACTAACACATGGACAATCAAAAGTGAGGCGCCGCTCAAAGGACCCTTCTCCATCCGCTTCCTTGCCAAGAATGGTGGCTACCGTGTTGTTGACGACGTCATCCCCGAAAGCTTTACGGCCGGCTCTAAATATAAGAGTGGCATCAACATCTAAGTGATAGACATGTGTGTTTTTATTTTGAAATAATTCTTAACCTCTCTATAATTCTTTTTTATTTCAAAAGAGAGATCAAGTCTGCATTCGGGGAAGCCAATAATTAATTTTCTATGGTTATTTTGTGAAATATGCCATCAACAAAATAAAGCATTCCGTATGCCATGTCTGCATGTTGCTGCAGAGGTATATATCCAGACGATTTTGAGTATATTACGTATATAATATTTGTGGGAAAAAGTATAGTTGGTGAAACTTCATCGAGATAGTTTCTTACATTTTATTTTTCTAAAGTTTGAGTACATATGTATATGTATTTCCATATCAATGAAGCTCGTTTATCTTCTTTAGTATGACAGTATGACAAAAATGCTACAAAAGTCGCATTTACAATAGTGATTGTTTTGTGACCACAAATTGTTCAACTATGACACCTACAGATACTATAAGCATGATGCATTGGTACATATTTTAGCTTACTCAGAAGGCAGAGTGCCCACAAATCATGTTCATCCCATCTCCAGCACCGAATGTGTGGCCATGGATAAAATGGAAATGAATCCAACTTCGAGAAGATTAATCTATGCTTCACGTCGTACAATTGGCCAACAATTAAAGTTTTATCTAATATCAGTTATCCGTGTGTTGCTTCGGATAATAGAAATATATTTAATATTATCTGAAAAATTAAAATTTGCTTTCTATTAAATGTGTTAATAATATGTTTGGTAAAGGGAATATTGATCCTAATTTAATTTTATACTCCCTCCGTATTTTAATGTATGACGCCGTTGACTTTTTAATAAACGTTTGACCTTTCGTCTTATTCAAAAAATTTATGTAATTATTATTTATTTTATTGTGACTTGATTTATCATCAAATGTTCTTTAAGTATGACATAAGTATTTTTATATTTGCATAAAAAATTTGAATAAGACGAATGGTCAAACGTTGGTTAAAAGTCAACGGCGTCATACATTAAAATATGGAGGGAGTACATAGCTATCCATTTTATACATAGTCTGGAGCTCGTCACTAACGTCGCCATCTCTGAGGTGGAGATCAGGGAGAAGGGCGGCAAGGACTGGGTGGCGCTCAAGGAGTCGTCAACTAACACATGCACAATCAAAAGTGAGGCGCCGCTCAAAGGCCCCTTCTCCGTCCGCTTCCTTGTCAAGAATGGTGGCTACCGTGTCGTTGACAACGTCATCCCTGAAAGCTTTATGGCCGGCTCTAAATATAAGAGTGGCATCAACATCTAAGTGATAGACATGTGTGTTTTTTTTAAAAAATAATTCTTAACCTCTCTATAATTCTTTTTTTTTCAAAATAGAGATCAAGTCTGCATTCGGGGAAGCCAATAATTAATTTTCTATGGCTATTTTGTGAAATATGCCATCAACAAAAAAAAAATCCATATGCCATGTTCGCATGTTGCTGCAGAGGTATATATCCAGACGATTTTGAGTATATTACGTATATAATATTTGTGGGAAAAAGTATAGTTGGTGAACCTTCATCGAGATAGTTTCTTACATTTTATTTTCTAAAGTTTGAGTACATATGTATATGTATTTCCACATCAATGAAGCTTATTTATCTTCTTCAGTATGACAGTATGAAAAAAAATGCTATGAAAGTCGCATTTACACTAGTCATTGTTTTGTGACCACAAATTCGTTCATGCGTTGGTCCACATCCTCCCTAAATGGAAAATGAGGAAATGATTAGTTTTCAATATTTGTAAGTTAAAAAATAAGTAGAAAAAAGATGGGATTGCATAGCTGCTATTTGAGAGGTTTGCATGCTCTACGCTAGCGAAACAACCGGGACTACCCAAATCACATCTATTTATAGCAATTGCATAAGAATTCCTCAACGAAAAAGCCGGCCAACGATCTACATTTGCAATGTGCGTCCATGCCTGGTTTTCTAACCCCAGGCGATATAAATAGATGTCGTCCACATCCTCCATAAACAAAACATGATGAGGTGATTAATTTTTATTATATAAGTTAAAAACAGTAGAGAAGATATGTGAATGCATTGCTACTTTTTATGAGGTCTGCTTGTCCTGCGCCAGCGAAACAACCGGGACTACCAAGTTTGCATCTATTTATAGGAATTGTATTAGATTTGCTCGATGAAAAAGTCGGCCAACGATCTCTTTGCAGCACCATGCGTCCATGCCTGTTTTTCTTTGCCCCCCGCCACCATAAATACGCACCCAGCTGCAACATGGATCACCAAACATATCGATCCTTCCCTCTACCCTTCAAGAAACAAGAAAGACAACACCAACAAACAATCTATCTTGCTAATGGCCTCGTTGTCCTCCTTCCGGCTCATGCGCCACTGAGCTTGCCTTCAAGGTCGGTGAGGGCTCTAGCGACACTAGTCTAGAGCTCGTCACCAATGTCACCATCTCTGAGGTGGAGGTCAAGGAGAAGGGTGGCAAGTACTGGGTGGGGCTCAAGGAGTCGTCGACTAACACCTGGACGCTGAAAAGTGAGGCGCTGCTCAAGGGCTCCTTCTCCGTCCGCTTCCTTGTCAAGAACGGCAGCTACCATGTCATCGACAACGTCATCCCTGAAAGCTTTACAGCTGGCACTGAATACAAGAATGGCATCAACCTCTAATTAATAGACATACGTGCTCTTGTGTTGGGTCGCATGGGAATTATTAACCTCTAAATAATTATGTTTTAGAAGATATCATGCCGTGTGTGAGTGAGCAAGCAATTAATTTCCCATGATTATTTTGTGGTAATAGGCCAGTGGCAAAATAAGGCATAAATGTGTTCTTCCAAAATATTGTTGTGGGGCTATATATAAGCATGATTTTGAATATATATATTGTTTATAGAGGATGCATTGAAAAATTATACTCCCTCCCTCCCAAATTGATCATCATATAATGGAATTCAAAATTTCTCAAATTAATCATCATATACCTGCATGTACACAGATTTCATCAGAATACAATTACTGCAGCATGGCAGAATATGTGCATGCTAAGGTGTAATTGGCATGGTGTTTTAATCGATGCATGCATTGTGGGAGAATGTGTGCTTGATGTCTTGATTGATGTGATTTAAATTATCCTTGGTCTTGGTGCATAAGCATATATGATGATCAATTTGGGAAGGAGGGAGTATTTGGTCAGTTTTCATTGAGATGATTGTTGGTGTTTGATTTTCCAAAGTTTTATAGTATGTCCAATTCGATGTAGTCCGTTTCTCATTTTTAGCTTGTTAAAAATGTTGTAAAAGTCAAATTTACACTTGGTTTTTCTTTTTCATGAAAAAAAATTGTTGAATCGACCATATTGTGATCTAAAATTATAAGCATAAAGCATCGATGCATCATTTAGCTTACTCAGATGCGAGAACAAATTGTAAGTCACATTAATCCCATCTCAGGTATTAATGAGTGGTAATGGATAGATATTAATGAGTGGTAATGGATAGAGTGCAAGTGAAACCTGCATTTGGAGGAGCTAAGTTAAGTATCATATCATATAGTTGGCTAAGGCCCTGAGCTATAGTCAACAACAAAGTTTATAAAATACTAAGAGAATACCAATCTATTGCAAAGGATCTAAAATAAATACACCATTAGTTCCAACTTTAAATAGAAAAAATATTTACACTACCAATGTGTTGCAAAGGATCTGGAAAATATACAGTTTATTCCAAACTTTAAATGTAAAGAACTAATAAATCTTTAAGGCCAAAAAAATGTAGTGGTGATTTATGGTTCCTCATCCATCGTATGCCTAGCCTCACTTCCACGCCCTCTTAAGTGGTTCCCGCACACATGATGTCCCTTCCCCTTGCACGATTGGAGGCATGCCCTCTAATGCCCACCACCCCGTCAAAATCCATCCACCATCCTTCCCCGGTGCTTGCCCATGTACCTCCTCTCACATGTAGCTCTCATGCTGCATGGATGTAACAATGTGTGCACCCGCCAATTAAAAATCAATTGAATTTAAAGTGTACTCTTGTTTGAAGTACAATCTACACTAACATCTGGAATTGCAAGATTATTTTCCCCAGGGCCATGCGCTCCTCCCCACCTATGCCTTGTCGAGTTGTCATCTTGTATTCATGTCAAATGTATTGCAATGACTGCCACCACCACTCGATATCCAACTAGGTGTGCTCTACCATATTAATTAGCACCATCCCCATCTCGCCATAGACGCTAACCTATGTCCCTTCTCACAGAGCCACAATGGGCTAGCACTTGAGCCCCTCCATCGCTGCCAAGGTACCATCAACATCGAGCTGCTGATGGCCCCTATGCCACATCTACTATGCATGCCACACCGTTGCCCCTCTGTGCCTGGCCATCAATCCTAACCGTTAGCTCTACCACCCCTTTGTTTTCCACTAGCATCTTCGCCCCTTATTTGTTCATGCGTTGCTCCACATCCTCCATAAACGGCATGATGAGGTAATTCATTTTTATTGTATAACTTAAAAAATAAGTAGAGAAGATATGGGAATGCGTAGCTACTTTTTGAGAGGTCCGCTTGTCCTGCACCAGCGAAACAACCGGGACTACCAGGTTTGCATCTATTTATAGGAATTGCATTAGAGTTGCTCAACGAAAGAGCCAGCCAACGATCTCTATGCTGCACCATGCGTCCCTGCCTAGTTTTCTTTGCCCCCTGCCACCATAAATACGCACCCAGCTGCAACATGGATCACCAAACACATCGATCCATTCCTTTCAAGAAACAAGAAAGACAACACCAACAAACTAGCTAGCTCGCCAATGGCCTCGTTGTACTCCTTCCGGCTCGCCGTGGCAGTGGCGGCATTGTTGGTCGTTGGCTCATGCGCCACTGAGGTCGCCTTCAAGGTCGGTGAGGGCTCTAGCGGAAAAAGTCTAGAGCTCGTCACCAACGTCGCCATCTCTGAGGTGGAGATCAAGGAGAAGGGCGGCAAGGACTGGGTGGCGCTCAAGGAGTCGTCGACTAACACCTGGTCGCTCAAGAGTGAGGCGGCACTCAAGGGCCCCTTCTCCGTCCGCTTCCTTGTCAAGAACGGCGGCTACCGTGTCGTCGATGACGTCATCCCCGAAAGCTTTACGGCTGGCTCTGAATATAAGAGTGGCATCAACATCTAAGTGATAGACATGTGTGCTTTTTTTTTTGAAATAATTCTTAACCTCTCTATAATCCTTTTTTTTTCAAAAGAGAGATCAAGTCTGCATTCGGGGAAGCCAAAAATTAAGTTTCTATGGTTATTTTGTGAAATATGCCATCAACAAAATAAAGCATTCCATATGCCATGTCCGCATGTTGCTGCAGAGGTATATATCCAGACGATTTTGAGTATATTACTGTAACATGCTGAAAATTAGATATTTTCTAATTATGTATCATGCCGGTTCTTATGTTCTTAATAACCTTCTAAATCTAGGAAATTATGATTAGAGGGACCTTCTAGAACTAACTTGCATAAAACCCCTCTTTGATATTTAACTTCTTTTGTGTTTTTCATTTAAAAATATATTTGGTTAAATTGAGGTATTTCTTGATTTGGTTTTAAATTAAAACCTTCTTTCGACAAAATTTCCTCTTATTCAAATTTAGTTTAAAAACCCTTTTCATTTGTATAAATTATGGTCCAAGAAAACCCTCCAAACCAACTCTTTGTAATTCCAATTTTAATTGGAATTAATTGTCGACCCATCCTTTGATTCCAAACCTATCCTTAGTTCCCTTTCCAAATCTCAAATATCCAAATTCCTCCTTTTGATCTAACCGCCAATTTAGTTCCTACGGCTTGATCCCTTCTCGGCACAAGAATGGTATTATTACAAATATTATGAATAATTGCTCTTGTGCTAAGAAAATATATTTTATCCTTCTCTTCCACACATCCAAATTCCTATTAGCCTCAAATACTTCTCTAAAATCCATGCCATATATTTTGGGGCTAAAATCCTATTTATTTTCCTCTTTGTTTGCTTGCCTCATTCCCAAAAATATTTTGAGGAATTATATTGTTAATTTCTCTCCCATTTGAGTGCATCAATTCCACCATACCCCACTTCTAAAAATATTGCACTCAAATAAATAGAAGATCTTTATTTCGAAATTTATCTCCACATATAAACTCCCTCCAAATATAATTCCATCTATACACAAAATCAATTCTACTCAATTTGGGCCGAAGTTCCTTCACCTAAGCCCAAGTCTGAAAGTCTAATTTCCCTCCCTTATTCCTTTCCTCACTGTGGGCGCCGCCGCCGCCCAGCTGCTCCCGGAGCCGCCGTCGTCGCCTTGCTGACCACGCCAAGCCGACGCCGTGCCGTCCTCTACCTCCTCCGCCGCCCAAACGCAGCAGAGCCGCCGCGTGGACGCGCCGCCGACGCCGACCAATCACAGAGAAGAGCCGGCGCCGTTTTCTTCTCCTCCACTCCACCAGCGCCGTGCTTCCCTTGTTTTTCTCCTCTCTGAACCGCCATTGACCACCTCCTTTCGCCGCCTATAAATAGCCGGCGAAGCCCCTTCTTTTCCCCCAGATCCGAGCCTCGAGCTCCATCCTTCTCTCTCGTCCCCAATGCCGGCCACCGGCCGATCTCCCTCGTCGGACTATTTCCGACCAAGCCCTCGCGCCATCGGCTTCGCCTCGATGGGGCAAACCCATTCCCTAACCTTCCCCTTCCTTTCCCCTTCCAAGATTAGCCACCACCGTTACTTCCCAAACCGGCCGGGGCAAGCTTTTGGCCATCGCCGTTCCGGTCTCCTCTCTCATTCCCCCTGCCGGACACCACCCTCCCCAGATGCGCGTCGTTCGGGAACACATTCCGCCACCGATGTCGCCGCCTCCCAACCACCAGAGCCCTGGTGCCCCTCCTCCCCCTCCTCTCGTTTGCTCGGCTGGAAGAGAGGAGGAAGACGACGGGAGGAAGAAGAAGGAAAGGAAAAAGAAAAAGAAAGGCTGACAGGTGGGCCCATGAACAGTGCACTTTCATCTTTTCTAGATTTAATTCAAAACCTAATCTTTAGAAACCCATATCTCCTAAACCATAGATCCAATTCCGATGAAACTTAGACCTAAATTCATCTAAATTCAAAATCTACCTTTTGGTACCAAATTTACTATTCTAATATTTTATTTGAATTTTCTTAATTTATTCAAATACTATTTGAATAAATATTTGATTTAAACCTATATTTGCTTTTCAAATATTTTATTTTATCCCAATTACCCTTTTAGCCACTAAAAAGCCGCCGGTTGGAACTTTGCGCCTTCCATGGGGACGTTCACGGTTTTCTATCCCCGACGTCGAACCGTTGGTTGTAAAGCCCGGCATAAACCAAACCCAAGGTCGAAGTGCTGCTCCTGGCACCCCACGCCTCGATGCGTATAGCGGTCGGAGCTTCACTATTCCATCGACCTCCACAGCACGCCGCACAGTTAGCTCTCGGGCTCTGTGTAATCCTAGCCGCTCCGTCGCCACTCACGGTTATCGGAGTAACACTTCCACCCCACTAAACCTGCACCCACCTACTATTCTTCTAGCCGATATGATGTCTATCGACACCTGCTAGAAATGATACCAAATCTAGTCGCTATACTGTCCAACTCTAGCGACAACTAGCAAACACCCAAAACCCTAGCCGATATTTATCCTACCTCAATATCGGCTTAAACAACTAAACCCTAGCTAACACCTTGCTAGTTAAAACCCAACCGTCATCCAAATACCCCACCTACCAATATCGCCTATCCACTATACGCAGCCACCTACTCTCCTAGAACCTATACAGAGCCTAGCCAATATGCTTCCCTATTCCGTAGTCGGCTTAAATATAACCAAACCCTAGGTATTATACTACCTAAACCTACCACCAGCTAATACTAGCCATATACCAGTTGAACCAGTTCAATTACCCAATATACATCCCATCCTTTCAGCAATCAAGCCACACATAAAATACAAGTGACCCTGATTGCTTAATCCCCTCTAGCCTCCAAGCCTTTAGAACTTACACATGAAATACTAGCCCAATAATCCTAATAACCTATAAAAGAGATAGGCTATACCCTAAACCCTATCCCTCTTAACCGTTTATCGCTTTCTTGCTATTTTATGGCTTTTATTGAATTTAGTTCTTCCTCTTCTTCAAGTAGAGTCTATTGTATTTTGGATGACAACCTGTGGTATTTCGAGGATCGGATAATCAGGTTGTCTATCTCGGATTTATTTGCGTTGGAGCAAGGCAAGTTATTATTCCTCCCCTTGAGCATAATTACCCTATATTCTATATCTCTATTCTATGCATTAGCCATTCATGATTTTGAATGCATAACCTGAACATATAGCAAACCAGTTATATGCTAGATTTTGCTTAGCCATGCCTAGTTAGATTGCATAAAATATAATGAACTTAGATTGGAATAGTGTGGTAGAAATGGTTGATTTCCGGGTGGCTAGTACTGTTCCAACCGACATAAGACTGCCAAGTACATGTGAAGAACATACGAGTACGACCGCAATTCTCGTATGGGCATAGACCTAGCTGATTAAGTTATCTAGAAAAGGTGGTACCTCTGTATAGTGGTTCTTCTTAAGTCCTCGCGCAGGAGGCAAATTTATGCCGCGAAGGGCAATTGTGATATTTACCGAGGCGCAGGTAAATATGAGATTTATTGACGTCAACTTGTTTGTGAACCCTGATTGTGATGACATGGTGTCATACAATCAGTTCTCTCTAAAGACCTCGGGAACGCCAAAACTCCTCTCGCTGCTGATAACGTTACGTTCAGAGCGCATGGGAACTAGAGTTCATGGAACAGGTACCACTAATGTTAGTAACTGAAAAGCTTTGCCATGACAAAGCTAATGTGTTTGGCACGTCATGGATTGCGGGTAAAGCGTACATTTACTGCAGTAAAATATAAATGAATATATTCGAATAGCCGTGCTCACGGATTTGAGCATTGGGACTCATATGGTATTTGGTTAGAAACCTAATTCCAAACTTTATTAAATACTGTTGCATTAAAATCATTACAGGCTTTCTACTTTTTCTGCAAGTAATCATAGCCCTACTCAAATACCACTATTTCATACATTCATATTGAATTTAATAGCTTGCTGAGTACGTTGTACTCACCCTTGCTTCAACCCCTCTTTTTCAGAGTCATTTTGGAATTCTTATCGAAGCCGGGAGTTCAGTTATATAAGTTAGTCTCATTCTAACTTAGTTCTCAAGTATAGATTAGATAGATGGTTTACGTCTATAGTAAAACACTAGAGTTGAGTCATTCTATAGCTTCTGCTATAATAGTTAGCCACAATCTTGTAAATACCCTATTATTTTATGTAAGAGAATCCCCATGGAAGCCTTGCTCAAATGTATGCAATGAAGATCCAGATTGTTGAACCTGTATCAATTTACTGATCCAGGGCTTGATACAGTTAAACATGTCGGTTTCCGAATCATTAGTTTTGGGACCCGACAATTACGTATATAATATTTGTGGGAAAAAGTATAGTTGGTGAACCTTCATCGAGATAGTTTCTTACATTTTAGTTGATTAGTTTCTTACGTTTTTTCTAAAGTTTGAGTACATTTGTATATGTATTTCCATATCAATGAAGCTCATTTATCTTCTTCAGTTTGACAGTAAGAAAAAAATGCTACGAAAGTCGCATTTACACTAGTCATTGTTTTGTGACCACAAATTCGTCCATGCGTTGGTCCACATCCTCCATAAATGGAAAATGAGGAAATGATTAGTCTTCAATATTTGTAAGTTAAAAAAATAAGTAGAAAAAAGATGGGACTGCATAGCTGCTATTTGAGAGATCTGCATGCTCTACGCGAGCGAAACAACTGGGACTACCCAAACCACATCTATTTATAGCAATTGCATAAGAATTCCTCAACGAGAAAGTTGGCCAACGATCTCCATTTTGCACTGTGCATCCATGCCTGTTTTCTAACCCCAGGCGATATAAATAGATGTCATCCACATCCTCCATAAACGAAACATGATGATGTGATTAATTTTTATTATATAAGTTAACAAAAAAAGTAAAGAAGATATGTGAATGCATTGCTACTTTTTAAGAGGTCTGCTTGTCATGCGCCAGCGAAATAACTAGGACTACCAAGTTTGCATCTATTTATAGGAATTGTATTAGTAAATACGCAATTGGTTCCAAACTTTAAATAGAAGAAAAAGCTTTACACTACCAGCGTGTTAGAAGGAACTAGAATATATATATACATATATATATATATATATATATATATATATACATATATACATACATATACATATATATATATACATATATACATACATACATACATATATATATACACACACACACACACACACACACACACACACACATATATATATATATATATACCATTAGTTCCAAACTATATATGTAAAGAACTAATAAATTCTTAAGGCCTAAAAACATGTAGTGGTGGTTTATGGTCCCTCGTCAATCGTAAGCCCATCCTCACTCCCACGCCCTCTCGAGCGAGTTCTACACGCATGATGTCCCTTCCGCTGCATGAATGGAAGCACGCCCCCGACCCCCACCACCCGATCAAAATCAATCAACCATCATTCCGCGGCGCTTGCCTATGGACCTCCTTTCACGTCTAGCTCTCAACTTGCATGGATGTAACAGCATGTGCACTTGCCAATAAAAAAAATATCAATTAAATTTATAGTGTACTCTTTTTTATTGTACAATCTACACCAAGACCTAGAATTGTTGGATTATTTTCATAAGGCCACGTGTTCCTCCCCACATACGCCTCGTCGAGTTGTCATCTTGTATTCCTATCAAATGTATTGCATCAACTGCCGCCACCGCTCGATATCCAGCTAGCTGCCTAGGTGTGCTCTACCAATTTACTTAGCACCAGCCCCATCTCACCATAAATGCTAACCTATGTCCCCTATCGAGCAGAGCCGCAACGGGCCAGCACATGACCCATCTGTCACCGCCATGATTCCATCAACATCTAGCTGTTGATGGCCTCTCTGTGACATATACTATGGATGCTACACGGTGCCCCTCTATGTGCCTGGCCATCACTCCCGACCGTTAGCTCTACCACCCCTCTGTTTTCCGTTAGCATCTTCACCCCTAATATTTTCGTGTCTTGGTCCATATCCTCCATAAACGAAACATCACAAATTTTTATTATTCGCAATTTAAAAAATAAGTAGAGAAAACATGGGAATGCATAGCTACCTTTTGAGAGGTCTGCATGTCCTGCACCAGTGAAACAATCGGAACTACCAAGTTTGCACCTATTTATAGGAATTGTATTAGAGTTGCTCGACGAAAAAGCCGGCCAACGATCTCTATGCCGCACCGTGCATCCATGCCTGGTTTTCTTTGCCCCCTGCCACCATAAATACACACCCAGCTGCAATATGGATCACCAAACACCTCGATCCATCCCTCTACCCTTCAAGAAACAAGAAAGACAACACCAACAAACTAGCTAGCTCACCAATGGCCTCGTTGTCCTCCTTCCGGCTCGCCGTGGCAGTGGCGGCATTGTTGGTCGTCGGCTCATGCGCCACTGAGGTCACCTTCAAGGTCGGTGAGGGCTCTAGCGGAAAAAGTCTAGAGCTCGTCACCAACGTCGCCATCTCTGAGGTGGAGATCAAGGAGAAGGGCGGCAAGGACTGGGTGGCGCTCAAGGAGTCGTCGACTAACACCTGGTCGCTCAAGAGTGAGGCGGCGCTCAAGGGCCCCTTCTCCGTCCGCTTCCTTGTCAAGAACGGTGGCTACCGTGTCGTCGACGACGTCATCCCCGAAAGCTTTACGGCCGGCTCTGAATACAAGAGTGGTATCAACGTCTAATTAATAGACATGCGTACTCTTGCATTGGGTTGCATGATAATTATTAACCTCTAAATAATTTTGTCTTGAAAAAGATCACGCTACGCGTGAGCAAGCAAACAATTAATTTCTTGTGGTTATTTTGTGGTAATAAGCCAGTGGTAAAATAAGGCATACATGTGTCCTTCCAAAACATTGTTGTGGAGCTATATGTGAACACGATTTCGAATATATGGTTGTGTGTGTGTTTTTTTGAAATAATTCTTAACCTCTCTATGATTCCTTTTTTTTCAAAAGAGAGATCAAGTCTGCATTTGGGGAAGCCAATAATTAATTTTCTATGGTTATTTTGTGAAATATGTCATCAACAAAATAAAGCATTCCGTATGCCATGTCTGCATGTTGCTGCAGAGGTATATATCCAGACGATTTTGAGTATATTACGTATATAATATTTGTGGGAAAAAGTATAGTTGGTGAACCTTCATCTAGATAGTTTCTTACATTTTATTTTTCTAAAGTTTGAGTACATATGTATATGTATTTCCATATCAATGAAGCTCGTTTATCTTCTTTCGTATGACAGTATGAAAAAAATGCTACTAAAGTCGCATTTACACTAGTGATTGTTTTGTGACCACAAATTGTTCAACTATGACACCTGCAGATACTATAAGCATGATGCATTGGTACATATTTTAGCTTACTCAGAAGGCAGAGTGCCCACAAATCATGTTCATCCCATCTCCAGCACCGAATGCGTGGCCATGGATAAAATGGAAATGAATCCAACTTCGAGAAGAGTAATCTATGATTCACGTCGTACAATTGGCCAACAATTAAAGCTTTATCAAATATCAGTTATCCGTGTGTTGCTTCGGATAATAGAAATATATTTAATAATATCTCAAATTTTGCAAAATTATAATGGCATGGTTCCAATTTTCCCTTCTATTAAATGTGTTAATAATATGTTTGCTAAAGGGAATATTGATCCTAATTTAATTTTATACATAGCTTTCCATTTAATGCTTGTTTTTCTAATAATAAGATGCTCAAAGGCTAATTTATATATTGGATGGGAATAGGTGGGGTGGCAGATTCACTGCCACCAGCACTATTTTTTCAAAGGAGTATAGACCATCATAATACCAGCGTGTTACAAAGGATCTCAAATAATTATATTTGATTATTGTGTGGTTTCATTGGCTAATCAGGTGCGAATTTGGTTTCTGGATAACTGGATTTGCTCCTCCTTTGGTTCCTGTCCGTTTCTTGATTTCCTCCGGCTTTGCATTGATTAATTCCACTGCTCTGGTACTGGTGAGCTGTAGAATTAGAGATTTTAGTACTTTTATTTGGTATGAACATTTTTTTCATGAAGTGTTTGAATCATTAAATCGTAACGAGCGTAACAGATAATCCCAGATTGCATCGTTGCCAATCATATATTGAGAACCGCAAAAGCTATCATAATCACACCATCCCGCTTGTTATTAGTGGTGAAAATGTCAGTGTCAATGGAAGGCGACAGTGACAACCATCATCAGTTCTTTATTTAAGTTTTACTCTTTTTTTCCCGTTACACGGAAGACGTATTTGTGGACACCATATTCACCTATCCGTGAAAACGTCCTCTAACACAAGCTCAAAAAGGCAGAGACAACGGACATCACTATAAGGCCCCCTTTGTTTATAGGCTTATAAGCCAACTTATAAGTCGAAAAGTCTAAGCCTAAACAAACAAGCAGCTTTTCCGTTTGGCTTTTTTAAAGCCATAAGCCACTCTAACACTATTAAGCCAAAAGTTAGATTGGAGAAGCTTTTTTGGCTTATATGAGGTAGATGTATGACTCAACCACTAAACTTAAGACATTAAATCCACCGGCTTAAACAAAGAGGGCCTAAACTTGTTGAAAGCACAACGGTGTGTTCTTGATATACTCATTCACGTGCTTTCCTTTGTTTCTTAACTTCCTTTTATCCAATTTTAGGTCATCTAATTTCAAAATATGAGGTCTATTATGTTACTGAAATTGAATGGTACCACACTACCACTCACTGGTAGTCATCTTAAACCAAAAAACAAAGAAGCCTATTAAGGATGCTGTTGGTTAAACGTGTCATGGAGAGTTGATTAGTTAAGATAGGTTCTGTCAGTTTGCTTATTTATTTGTGTCGGGGATGAGTATTATATTGGCTTAGGTGGTTTCTTGGTAATTACCGGCGTCATTTACCATCTTAATTAACTGTTGAATTGGTCACATTTGGGAGCCATGTGGCCGTGAGGTGTGGAGAAGATGCGAACCAGAGAGAATCATCTATTGTACTATATGGGTATCATGTGCGTTGCTACGGAAGAATTGTGTGATAATATAGTAGATATGAGTTCTAAAATTTTCTTTCTTACGTATTATACGATTTTTTTTCATGTGTTTATATATTTTTTACGTTTATTAGTTATCCAAATGTTATAAATGATTGGGTTGTATGGTGTGCCTTTTGAGAGGAAGAGATGTAATTTACACCTTTGATGAATCATCCAAAGGTTAAAAATAATTGAGATTATGTAGCTTTACGAGAGAAGAGAGAATGAACTTTATAGATACATAGCGTATGTGCGTTGCTTGGAAATCTGAGGATTCCCAAACTTCTGATCGTGAACCCTGCTGGTGCACGGATCGAGTAGTTAATTAAGGTTCAAGAATCACTTATTGCTTGTTTGTATCTGTCATAAACTGTCAACAACCCACAACTCACACCCAAATTACAGAGAGAATTGCAACGACGAGAGAATTAGAGCAAAAGGAATTATGGCAACTCAATATAGTAGTCTTCTCCGATTCCAACAGGAATGGAGCCGCCGCCGCCTACGCCACCGTGGTCGCCATTCAAGTTGCCCTCGAGCTCGCTATATATATATATATATATATATATATCTCCTATCTCTCTCTTCTTTCCCCTTGTTCACGCTAGCCTATTACAATATGGACTTCTATTACATGGTCCAGTTAGGCCCACAGTACTTGGGGGTTTTGCTTAACAGGCCTTGTAGTACGACGCATATTGCCTCCCTTTGACTGCACAGCTCCAACTTGACGATCTTCAGCTTCGTCAGAGTTTTGCTCCCCAACTTTAGTCAATGGAACATCGTCAGGTACCGCCTGATCCTTGACAATCCCCTCCCCTTGGAATTTGGAAAGTCGCTGGAAAACGAGCACGGAGTTCCTCCAAATCCTCCTAGGTGGCATCCTCTGCTGCAGTACCAGACCAATGAATTAGCACCTGAGATACAGCTGAATTACCTTTATTGATCACCCTGGTATCAAGAATTTGGAGTGGCACTTGAAGGTCAGAAAGAGCTGAAGGCAAAGTAGACTGGATGTCTCCTTGAAAACCACAAGCTGCCTTAAGCTGGGACACATGGAACACTGGGTGAACATTACTAGTCTCAGGAAGCTGTAATTTGTAAGCTACTATACCAATCTTCTGCAGAACCTGGAAAGGCCCAAAATACTTGAAGGAAAGCTTGTGGTTAGCTCTAGTGGCTACAGAAGATTGCACATATGGTTGGAGCTTGAGATATACCCAATCACCTTCAGCAAACGACCTGAAACTCCTTTTCTTGTCTGCCATGTGTTTCATTTGTTGATTAGCTCTATTCAGATGTTGCTGCACTAAGGCTTGCATCAACTTTCTTTCCTTGAGCCATTCCTGCAGATCTGGGATTGCACATGCTTCCACAGAAATACCAAAGTGACGAGGAGCATGACCATATAAGACTTCAAACGGAGATGCCTTCACGGAAGAGTGGTAAGAGGTGTTGTACCAATACTCAGCTAAATGTAACCAAGTGGCCCATTTGGAGGGATTTGCATGGACAAAACAACACAAATAGATTTCAAGACATTGGTTAACCCTTTCAGTTTGACCATCTGACTATGGGTGATAAGATGTACTCAAATGCAATTGTGTACCAGAAGATGTAAACAGGTGGTTCCAGAGTTGACTAGTAAAAATCTTGTCCCTATCCGAGATAATCACCAAAGGAAGCCCATGCAGTTTGTAAATATGCAGCATAAAGAGTTTTGCAACTTCCAGAGCAGTGTAAGGATGTGCAAGAGGAATGAAATGGCCATATTTAGAGAACTTATCCACAATTACCAGGATGCAGTTAAAGGACTTAGACCTGGGCAAACCTTCTATAAAATCCATGGATATAACTTCCCATGATCCATCAGGAACAAGCAGGGGTTGGAGAAGTCCTGGGTATTTAGCTCTATCTGGCTTAGCTTGAATACAAATTTGACACTGCTGAACAAATTTCTTAGCTTGAGATTTCATTCCTGGCCAGGCAAATAATTTCTTGAGTCTGCTATATGTGACTGGGAAACCAGAGTGACCACCAAGTGGGCTGGCATGAAATTCAGTTAACAGTTTCCATTGTAGCTGAGCATTATTACCTATCCATATCCTCCCCTTGTATTTGATAACACCAGATTGCAGTTGGTAACCTGGTTTAGAGTCAGCTTGCAGAGCCAAAGCTGTCAGTAATTCGGTAGCGTGGGAATCTTGTTCATACCCCTTAACCACATCCAGTAACCAACTTGGAGTGCAGTTGGATATAATAGACAATTCTGCATCTCCTTGGAACTTCCTTGACAGTGCATCTGCTGCAGCATTGCTTGTCCCCTTTCTATAACAGATTATATAGTTGAGTCCCAAAAGCTTAGTAAAAGCTTTATGCTGCCAAGGGGTATGTAGCCTCTTGTCTGATAGGTGCATAAGGCTGTGATGATCAGTGAGAATTATGAACTCTCCCAATTGTAAGTAGGACCTCCAATGGTCAACAGCTAAAAGTATAGCCATACATTCCTTTTCATAGGTTGACAAACCTTTTGTTCTAGGACCAAGTGCCTTACTAACAAAAGCTATTGGATGTTTGTCTTGTGACAAAACTGCACCAATCCCTGAATCTGAAGCATTTGTTTCTACTGTAAATGGTTTGCTAAAGCCAGGTAGTGCTAGGACTGGTGCTGAAACTAGAGCTTGTTTGAGCTGTTGGAAGGCTAATTCTGTTTCCTGAGTCCATTTGTAAGGAACCCCTTTCCTCAGAAGATTTGTCAATGGTTTACTGATGATACCAAATCCTTGGACAAACTTCCTGTAGTAGCCAGCTAAGCCCAGGAATCCCCTCAACTTCTTTTGATTGGCTGGAGTAACCCAATTAACAACTTCCTGAATTTTAATTGGCTCAGTAGCAACCCCAGCAGCACTGATAATATGCCCTAGATAGGTAAGTTGTTGCTGAGCAAATGAACACTTGGAGAGTTTCACCTGCCATTGATACTTCTGTAACAGGGACAGTACTTGCTGTAGATGGTCCAGATGGGAAGACAGATCTGGACTGTATATGAGGATATCATCGAAGAATACTAAGGCAAATCTTCTCAATACTATTTTCAAAGTTTCATTTATTGCACTCTAGAAAGTGGTTGGTGCTCATGTCAATCCAAATGACCTAACCTTGTACTCATAATGACCAATGTGGGTCTGAAATGTTGTTTTGTATTCATCACCTTCCTTCATTCTTATCTGATGATATCCAGCCCTCAAATCCAGTTTTGAAAACCACTTAGCACCTGACAGCTCATCCAGCAATTCATCAATAACTGGCATTGGGTAAGAACTCTTAACTGTGATAGCATTAAGCTGTCTGTAGTCAATTACTAACCTCCAAGTTCCATCCTTCTTTCTAACCAATAATGCAGGTGAGGCAAAAGCACTTTGGCTGGGTTGTATGACCCCTGTGTGTAGCATTTCAGAGATCTGGGACTCTATCTCATCTTTAAGGGCTGGATTATACCTGTAAGGTCTAAGGTTGACAGGTTTTGCACTAGGTATTAGAGGAATACTGTGATCACAAATCCTCTTGGGAGGTAACCCTTTTGGTTCCTCAAAAACACTCTTGAATTGATCCAAAATTTTTCTGACAGAATCAGGAATTTCTGCAGATTCAGTCTGAAACATAGAATTCAACTGAATTAAGTACATTAAGGATCCATTCCTGGCCATGCCTAGACACTGATCAGTTGATATAGGAGGGCAAATAGTAGTCTGAGTTGTGATGCCTTGTAGGGTGATCAACTTTCCTTCCAACATAATCTCCAACCATTTGTTTACCCAGTCAACCTTCATGGGACTGAACTGCTCCAACCAGTCCATCCCTAAAATCACATCATAGCTTCCCAAGTTAAGTAACTTAAAATTACTTTTGAACACATGGCCTTGCATCCACCATTTGCACCCCCAGAATTTGTTGGTTACAGGTCATGGTACCCCCATCAGCTATCTTTACAATTACAGGTTGGCGCAAATTAGTAATGACAGAGAGAGTGCTGCCAATTTCTATATCAATGAAAGAGTAGGAACTCCCTGAGTCAACCAACATGAGTATCTCAGTGCCTTGTATCCATCCTCTCAAACGAATCGACTTGGAGGATTCAGTACCCCACAGAGCCTGTTGGGATATAGCCATCAAAGTACCTTCATCTTGCTCTTTGGTTCCTTCAGGACTAGTATCATTTTCAGAATAAGATTCAGACTGCAGAGCCTCTAACAATTCATGTACAACATGTAAATGTACTGTAGTGGCACATTTATGGTCCCTACCCCATCTCTCACCACAAACAAAGCACAACCCCTTAGATCTTCTGTAGGCCTTGAGTGAAGCCACTCTGTCCTCTTTAGGTTTGGTTGATTCAGTCACCTTACCACCATCAGAAGAACTACCAGGAAAAAATTTATGCCCTGGAGTGGCAGGAATGAAGCTAGAGAATCTTGGAACTTGTTTATAGACAGATGGTGAGTCGGCTCTTTTGCTAACAGTGGGTTTGCAACTATCCAGGATTTCTTCCTGAAGCAGAGCAATTGAACAGGCAGAGTCCAAATCCTGAGGCCTCTGTAACATGACTACCCCTCTGTTCTCATCCCTGAGTCCTTCAATGAACTTGGTAACAAAGTACACAGGTGTGAGGGCACTATCATAGGCCATAAGCTGATGCATGATCTTATCAAAATTTTCCACATATTCAGCAACAGTGCTACTCTGTTGAGCATGAAACCACTGCCTGATTAGTGCCTCCTGTCTGTCCCTAGTGAATCTAGAGCAGACTAATTCACATAAAGTGACCCAGGTAATGTCAACAATCTGAGATCTAATGGACTGGAGCCAAAAGGCAACATTACCAACAAAATTAAGAGTAGCCACCTTAACCCAATACATAGGATATATTCCATAGACATCAAAGTACTGCTTGCAATTACTTTTCCACATCTGGGGGTTAGATCCATCAAATTTTGGGCAGATCATTGGGGGGATACAAGCACTCAAATCATGATTGGTACCAGTGGATGCAGAAGTTGGTGATGGCAATTCAGACTCGGCCTTACCAGCAAAATGAACAGGGGTTTAAAGATTTGGATCACGCTTACTAGCAAGCCAAGATGCGTTGTTCCCGATCCCTTCCGTTGGTGGTTCAGATTTGAGCATGCTCCCTTCCATCAGCTCCACCTTCTGGCTCAAGCTTTGAACCGAAACGCTGAGTGTCTCCACCTTCTTTTCCACCACCGGCAGTCGGGCCTCCACCATCTTCTTCAGATCGGCGAAATCTGCTCGAGTCCTTTCCTTCGCCGCCACTCTCTTCCTCTCGTTCTCCTCGACCACCTTCAGAAGAAGATCTAACTTACTTTCCTGCGACATACTCGACTCCACGGAACAGTTTGGTACTAGAATCACTCGCTCGCTTCCCGAACTCGGCTAACCAGGAGAAGGCAAGTTGCCTTTTCGCAGAATCAGTTCCGAAGAACAGTTCCAATCCTACCCTGGGATTTTACAACCAAGCCAAGGAGATCTGCGGAGCGGAGTGGCTCTGATACTAAATTTTGTCAACAACCCACAACTCACACCCAAATTACAGAGAGAATTGCAACGATGAGAGAATTAGAGCAAGAGGAATTATGGCAACTCAATATAGTAGTCTTCTCCGATTCCAACAGGAATGGAGCCGCCGCCGCCTACGCCACCGTGGTTGCCATTCAAGTTTCCCTCGAGCTCGCTGATCTGATATATATATCCTATCTCTCTCTTCTTTCCCCTTGTTCACGCTAGCCTATTACAATATGGACTTCTATTACATGGCCCAGTTAGGCCCACAGTACTTGGGGTTTTGCTTAACAGGCCTTGTAGTACGACGCAGATTGCCTCCCTTTGACTGCACAGCTCCAGCTTGACGATCTTCAACTTCGTCAGAGTTTTGCTCCCCATCTTCAGTCAATGGAACATCGCCAGGTACCGCCTGCTCCTTGACATAAACATGCTTATTTTCTTCTCCGTTTTGTTAATTTTGCCACTGAATCTTACAGATATATGTTGTTCATCCCATTTAGTAGTGCACTGTGATAGCACATCATCACAAACTAGGAGAGCCGTTGGATCTATTCCCAATGGCTTGATTGCAGTCTCTCATGTAACGGGCACGTGTGCTCTTGCATCGGGTTGCATGGAAATTATTGATGTCTAAATAATTCCTTTTTCAAAAGCGTGCAAGCCAACAATTGTTTTTATGGTCATTTTGTTGAAACAGACCATTGACAAATAAATCTTACCATGTGCCCTTCCCACATATTGCAGCGAAGCTATATATGTGCACATGATTTTGAATATGTTGTTTATGTAGGAATTATGGTAAAAAGGTATATTATTTGGTCAGCCTTCACCGAGATGGTTGTTTACATTTGATTTTTCCAATGTTTTAATACATATGTATATCTAGAACAATGATGTTCATCTATCATTTTGCATGTAAAAAAATCTTGTAAAATTCGCATTTACACTTGTGATTTTTTTTGGGATTTCTTTTTGGGAAACACAAATTGTTCGACATACCATATTATGACCTGAAACTATAAGCAGCATTGGTGGTTCTTTTAGCTTATTCAGAAGTTAAAACAAACTATATATTTGTGGATGTGTTCTAGTGTTCTAACGGATGATGGATTATATATGAACTATGTTTATTACAATAATTCAAGGGCACAACAAAAGAATAGATAATCATTTTCCGTTAAAAATATATTATAGTGAGTGATGAACCTATCATCGCTTACTCCCACCACCACCTGATATGTGGGTTCTATTGAATAGTGAGTCATGCAAACGGTTCCTTCTCAAACCTAAACATGTTCAAATATTGTTTGTAGCAACGCACGGGTGTATTTACCTAGTTAACACCATGTGTCGAAACTCGAAAGAGTTTGCCTATGTGACATATACTTTGGATATATATATGCCAAAAATCTCCACTTAAATACTATGTTTCCCTATTTTTTCACTCTCACTTACAAACTAGTACATATACAATATAATAGTAGCATGACATCACTATAGAGTATAAATTGATGGCCGGTGATCAGTGGCATGTGCATGTTATATTATTTATTCGATTCCACTCGTTTGAGCTCCAAAATATGCCAAACCGTCATCAAAACCATATTAGGGGTAATATAAGTGGTGTTGTAAAGTTTTTTTTTTTGGAGAGCAGACCATGGGAGGGGGTGATTGGATGTCCGATTTAGGACTTTTTCCTATTTGAATTATATTAATGCACTTTGCATTTTGAGAGGTCTACATCATTACATGTCAAGACAAGACTACCAAGCTCGGAGCTATTTATAGAAATTGTACAAGTGGTTGTCTACAAACAAGCTGGCCAGCGATCTCCATGGTGCACCACACGTCCATAGGTAAGCTTTCTTGCCCTCGCCACCCATAAATACGTGCCCAGCTGCAACATCAATCACCAACCACATTGATCCATCCCTCTATCAATCAAGAAACAAGCAAGATTATTCTAGCCAACTAGCTAGCTTGCGAATGGCTTCCTTGTCCTCCTTAATGCTCGTCACGGCAGTGGCCGCATTGTTGGTCATTGGCTCATCTGGCACTGAGGTCACCTTCAAGATCGGTGAGTCCTCTACCACCTCTACACTGGAACTCATCACCAATGTCGCCATATCTGAGGTGGAGATCAAGGAGAAGGGTGGCAGCGACTGGAGGGGGCTCAAGGAGTCATCGGCTAACACCTGGAAAATCAAAAGTGATGCACCGCTCAAGGGCCCCTTATCCGTCCGCTTCCTTGTCAAGAACGGTGGCTATCGCATCGTCGACGATGTAATCCCCGAAACCTTTAAGGCCGGCTCCGTCTACAAGAGTGGCATCCAGGTCCAGTAATGGACATGCATGTCCTTGCATTAGGTCACATGGAAATTATTAGCCTCTAAATAATTATCTATTCAAAAGAGAGACCGAGTCTGCATGTGAACACGTCAATAGTTAAATTTCTATTGTTATTTTGTGACAACAGACTATTGACAAAATGAAGCATACCATGTGCCCTTCCCACATATTGGTATGGAGCTATATGTGCACACGATTTTGAATATATTGTTTATGTAGGATTTATGGGAAAAGGTATATTTGGCCATCATTCATCGAGATGGTTGTGTACATTTGATTTTCCATAGTTCTAATATATATGGTTGTGCACTAAACTACACCTTGGATGCGCACCCCACCCCCTCTCCCCTCCCGCACCTTTTCTGTTCCCACATCTTCTTCCCGCACCTTCCTACCATATATCTTCCAGCTTTTGTTAATAAATAAATTACTCTAAACTAGTCTTTGTTAAGTAAATAAATTACTTATAAGCAATTGATCTTGCCATAAAATCTGCATTTGCGTCCCTTTCAACCTTCATTCAGTAAATAAATTACTCCTAACTAGTCTTTAGTCAGTACATAAATAACTTAAAAACATATTGGTCTTACCACAAAATCTTCATTGGCATCCCAACCTTTCTTATCACTTGGCAAACTATCTGCATTGGCATCCCATCATTTCTCATCACTCGGCAAAATATCTTCTCATTATGCATCGTTAGTAAATATTTTACTATCGAGATTAATATCATTAGTAATTCTTTTACTAACATTTTATCAATCGGGCCCCTCTTGTACCTTCTATCTGTACAGTAAATACTTTACTATTGATATAATATTTGCAGTAATTCGTTCACTAAAAGTATTAATTATTCTTATACCTCCTACTATCCATATTAGTAATACAATTATTAAAATGGCACCTATTAAAATCTACATGACAAAAAGGTGGCGCTGAATGTTTTTCCACCGCCTATATGGGAAACAGGGGAAAATCACATCTCAATGCCTATGAATAAAAAGATTTACTCTTGAATCACACCAGTAGAAATTACACTCAATCAACTGCCTCCGGTGACACACTGGCGAAGGGGCAACGTCGACATGCAAAAGGAAAGTTACACTCAATCAGATTGATGCCTGCACGAATCCGGCAAGCAGGACATAAGGACATTACAACACCAACTAGCTAGACCTGGTTTAGTTCTCAATTTTTTTTTCGAAAAGTCACATCGAATCTTTGGACACATGCATGGAGCATAAAATATAGACAAAAATAAAAATCAATTTAACAGTTTGCATGGAAATCACGAGATGAATCTTTTGAGCCTAATTAATCTATGATTAGCCATAAGTGCTACAGTAACACACATGTGCTAATGATGGTTTAATTAGGCTCAAAAGATTCGTCTCGCGGTTTCCAGACGAGTTATGAAATTAGTTTTTTTTTAATTCGTATTCGAAAACCCCTTTCGACATCCGGTCAAATGTAACACCTAAATTTCTCTTTTCGCAAACTAAACAAGGCCTGTACACATAGACGTCGAGGTGATGCAGCACTGCAGCTTCCTAGAGACCCAGATCCTCCTCGTTGACAGATATTTGTCACCCACAGTCGCCTCCAACACGAGCACCTGCATGGGCTGACCCTGCTGGCTGTCCATCTTGCTGCAAACAAAAAGCTATAATGTAATACATCCAAAATCTGTAACTTAACGAATCAAGAATCAGCTCGTGAAGTGCAACGACGGGATGCGGATTTCCGATATCCAACGGGAATACAATCAATAAGCTGCTGACGCTAGTGGCCACAAGTAAAATTAAGAATATCTAGTCTAAAAAAAGTTTATTCTGTCAAAACATTCAGATAAAAAATCAACGGGACCATATGTAATGAGCAGTTCAGGAAAAAAAAAACAATCCATCTGCTTTCTTGAACCACAAAATTCAAGAGAATCGCCATCAAGCTCCTTGAGTTTTCATGTATTGAAAATTTCAGAAGGAACAAAACAAAGGAGCTCAAGAAAAACATGGCTCAGTTGCAAGCAAATGAACCTCTCAACTAGCGGACCCATCGTGCTGCCCGCAGCCCCCTGCCCATGTGGGATCGATATGCCATCGACGAGGCTGACCCATCGCAACAGAACTAAAGCTTGTATACCCTTCATCCCAAAATAAGCTCATTTATAGGTTTCTGTATCCAATCGAGCTTAAAAAAGTAGCTCAGTTGCAACCCCAACAAAGCAAAGCTTCACATACACACATACGATGCGTTAATTACGTTTCTAAAATTACTCCCGCATGACACAACCGTGATTAGATTTGAGAAAGATAGTGATGTGTGTATGTGTTATATTATTTGTTCAAATCTGCTCGTTTAAACTCCAAAATATGCAGATCTGCCATTAAAACCACATTAGGAGTAATATAATTGGTATTGCAAAGCTTTTTTGGGGGGGAGGGAGGGGGTGGTTGGATGTCTGGTTTTATTAATTTTTCCTGTTTGGATTAGATATGAGGATTGCATGCCCTTTACATTTTGAGAGGTCTACATCACTCCATGACATGTGCTAATTTTGCCTGACAGAAAGACAAGCGGGACTACCTATCTTAGATCTATTTATAGCAATTTTACAAGTGTTTGTCGAAGAACAAGCCGGCCAACGATCTCCATTTGCACCATACATCCATAGCTTAGCTTTCTTGCCTCGCCACCCATAAATACATGCCCACATATGCAACATCAATCACCAAAATCATCGATCCAATGGCCTCCTTGTCATCCTTCCTGCTCGCCACGGCAATGGCCGCATTGTTGGTCATCGGCTCGTACGCCACTGAGCTCACCTTCAAAGTCGGTCCAGGCTCTAGCACCACTAGCCTGAACCTCATCACCAATGTCGCCATCTCTGAGGTGGAGGTAAAGGAGAAGGGCACCGGTGACTGGACGGGGCTCAAGGAGTCATCGGCTAACACCTGGACGCTCAAAACCGGGGCAAAACTCAAGGGCCCCTTCTCCGTCCGCTTCCTTGTCAAGAATGGCGGCTACCGCGTCGTCGACGATGTCATCCCTGAAGCCTTCAAGGTCGGCTCCGTCTATAAGAGTGGCATCCAGCTCAAGTAACGTACACTTGTGCTCTTGCATTGGATCGCATGGAAATTGTTGATCTCTAAATAATTCTTTTTTAAAAAAAGAGAGATCGAGTCTGCCTGTGCGCAAGCCAATAATTATTTTTTATGGTCCTTCCCGCATATTGTTGTGAAGCTATATATGTGCACATGATTTTGAATACGTTGTTTATGTAGGACTTATGGTAAAAAGGTATATTATTTGGTCAGCCTTCACCGAGACGGTTGTTTACATTTGATTTTTCCAATGTTTTAATACATATGTATATCTAGATCAATGATGTTCATCTATCATTTTTACATGTAAAAAAAATCCTGTAAAATTCGCATTTACACTTGTGATTATTATTATTATTTGTGAAACACAAATTGTTCGACATACCATATTATGACCTGAAACTATAAGCAACATTGGTGGTTCTTTTAGCTTATTCGGAAGTTAAAACAAACTATATATTTGTGGATGTCATGTGTTCTAATGTTCCAATGGATGATGGATTATACATGAACTAAGTTTATTACAATAATTCAAGGTCACAACAAAAGAATAGATATTCATTTTCCTTTAAAAAATATATTGTAGTGAGTGATGAACCTATCACCACCTACTCCCACCACCACCTGATATATGGGGTCCATTGAATAGTGAATCATGCAGACAGTCGTTCCTTCTCAAACCTAAACATGTTCAAATTGTTTGTAGCAACGCACGAGTATATTTACCTAGTTAACACTAGATTTGAAAGATTGATTTAAAAGGCTCTCTAAATATTGATGAAGAAGACTTCCGTATAAATCGTACCATTTAAGAAACACCATGGGATATTTTGGCCATGTACAACACTCCACCGTGGGTAGTGGCCACAGCACTCTAGCTAAGCGATGGGTAAATTCCCTTAAACCTACTCTATTCATCATGCGCTAATGGCCTAATTCGTTTTACGTATTTTCACAGCCTTCTCCTCTCCTCTTCTTTTATACTCCCTTAGTTTCATATTATAAGTTGCTCTAAACTTTTTAGTAGTCAAACTTCTATAAATGTTATCAAATTTATAGGAAAATTGATCAGCATCTATAACATTAAATTAGTTCCAATTAAACTAACATTTAATATTTTTTTAGTATGTTCATTTTATATTGACAATGTTACTATACTTTTATATAAACTGAACCAATTTTTTTAAAAAAATGACTAGCAACAAACTTAAAATTAAATTAAAATTAAAGTGACTTAGGATATGATGAGACGAAAGTAACAGCTCTTTTTCTCTAACAACGAACTGGCGTACGTGGAAGGAACACGGCCACGATATCGTACAGACAAGAGAAGCCGCTTCGAGAAGACAGCCGCTGTCCATGCCGACGCGACTCCACGCGCGCCCCGCGTCTCCCTCCGCCGCAGCAGCCTCGTCAGCTCGCGAGATCAACGCCGGCCCAGTCAGCCCAGCCACATCACCGCCCACTCCACCACCCCACCCCGCATGGCCCGGATCTAATAACCAACGGACGCGGCTCGCGGGCCCACCGGCCCACCCACGCCCGCCCACGGGATCTCTCGCTGACTCGGACGACGACATCGCCTTCGCCGCTTTCACAGTGTGGGCCCCGCATGTCGGCGCCACGGGGGGCCACGCCCGCCTGCGCTGGATCCGAGTCAGCCTCGCGTCGCTGTCACACTGACGCAGCCGCGTGTTATCTTAATCAGCCACAACTTTTTAATGCCTAACCTTTAAATTAAGCCGCGACGAGCACTGCACGGTGGTCGGAGGAAGGCGATGATGAAGAAGTGCCCGTCGGAGCTGCAGCTGGAGGCGTTCATCCGGGAGGAGGCCGGCGCCGGCGACCGCAAGCCCGGCGTGTTATCTCCCGGCGACGGCGCGCGTAAGTCCGGCCTGTTCTCTCCCGGCGACGGCGAGATGTCCGTGTTGGATCAGAGTACACTGGACGGAAGCGGCGGCGGCCACCAGCTGTGGTGGCCGGAGAGCGTCCGTACGCCGCCGCGCGCCGCCGCCGCCTTCTCGGCCACGGCCGACGAGCGGACGCCGGCGTCCATCTCCGGTAGGTACACATGACATAATTTGAGTTTTTTTGAGTTACAGAGCTATTGTGCAAACAGCCCATTTTCTATGCGTTTATTTGGAGTTATGAAACACACCCAAATTTAGTCAAATTCATCACATGTTGGGTTCATTTTGGTTGCAGATGACCCCAAACCAACCACCTCAGCGAACCACGCGCCTGAAAGCGACTCGGACTCCGATTGCGATTCGCTGTTAGAAGCAGAGAGGAGTCCACGCCTGCGTGGCACGAAATCCACAGAAACAAAGCGAATAAGAAGGTACATAGTGATCGATCAATCTTGATTTCTAGCAAATGCAACAAATTTGAACAGAGAACGCATTCTTATGAACTGCTTGTTCGAATTTCAGGATGGTGTCCAACAGGGAGTCCGCTCGACGATCCAGGAGGAGAAAGCAGGCACAGTTATCTGAACTCGAATCACAGGTATTATAAACTTCAAAGTTCAAATTTCCAGATGCGTTGATGCAAATATCAGTGTGATCTTACAGCAATCCATCTATGATCAGGTCGAGCAACTCAAAGGCGAAAACTCATCCCTCTTCAAGCAGCTCACAGAGTCCAGCCAGCAGTTCAATACAGCGGTCACGGACAACAGGATCCTCAAATCGGATGTAGAGGCCTTAAGAGTCAAGGTAATTAGAAACCAAACTCTCCTTCAGCCACCAATTATCGGCGCATTTAACTTTTCGCCACTTTTAAGATGAGGTAATTAAGAATTTACCACCCATAGTCTATGACAACATATGGGTCTTTATCACTTTATGTGTCTATGACATGTGAGTCCAATTGCAAATTGTCACTCGTAAGAGTGGTAAATAGTTAATTGTTTCTGATGATCGGCTTCCGGCATCTCTCCAAACTTACCAATTCTTGGCTTCGATCCCAGGTCAAGATGGCTGAAGACATGGTCGCGAGGGCCGCGATGTCGTGTGGCCTGGGCCAGCTCGGGCTGGCGCCATTGCTCAGCTCCAGGAAGATGTGCCAAGCTTTGGATATGCTCAGTTTACCACGGAACGATGCCTGTGGTTTCAAAGGCTTGAACCTGGGTCGACAGGTTCAGAACTCACCGGTTCAAAGCGCTGCAAGCCTAGAGAGCCTGGACAACCGGATATCCAGCGAGGTGACCAGCTGCTCGGCTGATGTGTGGCCTTAAGACACTTCATCCGTGTTCGAGAGAGCTTGAGATTCTAAGAAGCAGCCGGTGAGAATCTGAAAAGGCTAGTTGTTCAGTTTCCTATTTTTAGTTTATGTTTGAATTCTCTGGCTACTAATGCTCAAAATCTGGGAGAGAATCTAAATCGTTTGGGACAGATAAAAAATTATGCGAGAAGGTGTAGCTGACAGAAACCTTCCCAAACAAATCTCCATCAGAACCTATATGTAAAGTAATACGGTATCCTCTGTTACTAGGTGCATGTGCATAACTGACAAGCTGCTAAGTACTAGGTACTACAGTCTGAGGCAAGTATTTCTGGTGTTTTGGTGCTGAAGAACTATGTTTTAGTGCGTTTGATCTGCGGCAATCAAGGCCATCTGATCGAAATTTGATTGGTATAAATCTGATCGAAATTTGATTGGTATAAGTATAATAGTTTGATTTTGATCACCTCTAGTCGTCAGCGCCTTTGGTGTATACGCTCTGTAACATCTGTTACGAATTGATCTGTTCAGTATACTTCAACAGTCCTGCATTGGTTCAGTTCTTGGCGTAGCTCTGGTGCTTCTGGTGCGCATAGCATCGGTGTGAAATGTGCCACTTTTCATGGCAGTTGTAATAGTAAACGACTGCAAAATTACGGTGTACTATAATTCCTAAACAAATATGTGACAATTACGATGAAAATTATCACTAAGATGTTATTACCATTATTTTTCGTACACAAATCTCTTAATTTTTACAAAATTTGTTACTAGCATGTGAACTCTCTAATCCCACACTATCCTTATTCTTTTTCAAGAAAAGTACGGTTGGTGGTGGGGATGGTTGACATATGGATCCTCTGGCCTCACATGTCCTTTCCCTGAAAGTTGGTGATGGGATGGTGACAGATTAACCACTCACCATCACCATTGTTTTTTTCTTTAAGGAATATAGATTGAATACATAAGATTTAAGATTTATGGGGAAAAGTATAGTTCGCCAATCTTCAAGATGGTTGTGTACAACTGATTTTCCAAAGTTTTAGTATGCCCCGAACCAATGAAATTCGTTCATCTTTTTTTAGCATGTCGGAAATGATGTGAAAATTGCACTTACACTTGAGGTTTTCTTGTGGATACAAATTGCTCAACAAACCATATTAAGACCTGAAACTATAACATCAATCATTAGTACATCTTTTAGCTTATTCAGAAGCCTGAACAAACTGCATAGTATCCACAAATCACATTTGCCCCATCCGCAAAGCAGAATGAGCGGCAATGGATAAATGGAAACGAAGCTAGCTGCGAGAGGAGCTAAATTAAGCTCCCCATCTAATAATTGACCAAGGCTCCAACCTACGTCCAACAACAAAATTTATATAATACTACCACAATACCAGTGTATTACAAAGGATCTCAAATAAATGTACCATTAGTTCCAAAAAAAATAAAGAAACAAATAAATAACTCTCAGGACTCTCGTCTGCATCTCCTAGCATGCATTCTGGAGAACAGATTTATCAATCGAAAACAAAACAAGGCCTCTGCTCTAATCCTGCATTCCTAGTTTGCAATGTTCAGAGTCTGCAAGTTGACAAAACTATCACGGTAGCACCATACGATCTTCAACATATTTAATTCTAGCAATTTTGAGACATGAATCAGTATAAAGCTGACTAATATATTCTCAAAACTTGTCGTTAAACTCTCTTTCACTTACACTTCATTGTGCATTACAGACCTAACAAAGACAAACAAGGATTAGTAATGAGAATTCAAATTCGTGAAAAACAATGCCACATAAAAATAAAAAAGCATTGCACAACTACTAATTTCTGAAACTCGAGTTTGACATGCTATGTAAGTAAGTGCATGAAGAGGAATATCACAAATACACAAACCATGTTTATGCACATGTAACCCTTTGATTAGATGACCACATGTCAGCCGTCAGTGAAACCCGGGGATTTGTGTTCCTCAATACCTTATGCAAACCCAGCCGCTTGGTCTTTGTAGCCTATCAAAAGCATCATCCTTTATAGTAGTTCTAAACTATCATAAAATATGGATTTAAGCTTGCACAAAATCTTCTAAATCACAGTATGTTCAACAAAACTGAAGGTAAGTTATAGATGTGACACATCAAGATCAAAATTCCAATCTGTGAAGACAGATGAATCAAGAGTTAGGTTACAGTGCATTCTTTCAACCAATTGATGCACTCGACGCTTTTCTGGACATTTCTCTAAGTGCCAATGGCACTAACTTGTGCCAATACCATGATTAGCTACAATGAATCTGTTGCGATCAATATATTTTCCACGTGTCCACTTTCAGTTAGCATAGATCAGTTCAAATCCTTACTAAAATATAGATTTTATTTTTTATTTTTTCTTCAACATTAAATCATATAAAAAATTAATCATTGCCGTACATGTGCTATCAAATGTTGTATATGCAACAGTAAATATTCCCAAAGTAAAAGATGAAATTGGTGCTACTCCAATTTGTCAAACCCCGCCTTGGCACCAGTACCGCGTACAATGGTACGGGAGACAGTGTGCCATGGAAGACAGCGAACACTTCAGCACTAATGTTAACTGCAGGAGTTTAAGACATCTGGAAAGGAAAAAAGGGCCCAAAAAACACTTCAGCACTGTCACGAGCTTCGGTGAGACTATTTTGCGGAGTTGAATGTAAAGCGTAGCCGTGGCTGGCGGAAGGGCAAGGGCAAAGTTCTCCTCGTCATCCCGACGCCGTAATGGCGAAGAGAGAGATAGATTGAATAAATTTCTTCTTATTCGATTACTTCCTCCCAATCCCTTTAAATAGGAAAATCTTACAGATAACAAAACTCAATCGTATCCTAATCTGAAAGTAATTGATTAACAATCCTAACTAACTTACTAACAAACTCTAGAGATAAAACGAAATTAAACTAAAACATTATCCTTGTTTAACTTGAGACTTATGCCTACTCTGATACTTACGCCCCCACATGACAAGCACTATAATTGTAACAAAAAAAAAAACCTGAGAACCTCTAGATGCATGAAGATAATGGGAAAATGACAGTGAAGAGAATCAGATAAAGGGTTGACCAAACAGAATTTCTCAGAGAAAAGTAAAGTTGTCTCTGGAAAGATCAAGAGCCGCAAACTGCGGCGCCTTTTCAGCTTTCCCCCCACCTAAAGGGCACAGTGACATTATTCTCTTCTTTAGAAAAAATGATATGGCATTGCTCACACATGTCACCTTGCCACAGAATTTGTTCTGGTCCACTACAATCTAATGGTCCATTTTGTAAGTAACATACCTTCTGTTATTTGGCAAGCCTAGCTAACGCTGTATATGAACACTACGCAGTTTCTTGCCCAAAGAGTAGGTCAGAAAAAAATTGCACATTGTCTCCTCCAAAATCACCCATATGCAACTTGACTAAATCGAATTTAAACCAATGAGCATCGAATATTGACGAGTAAGTGGTAGGGCAATCTGGAATGATGAGTCCAGGGGTGAAGGAATGTTCTCTCAGAAAGAGATTAATCCAAAGTCAAAGAGGGAATGGGCATGAATTCTCACTGCCTCTCAGCCAACCACTTAGCGACAGAAATACCCAACTTGTGAATATTAATTGATAATAAGAAAATAGGCATCAGTAACTTATATTGATCGATCTGGATACAGCTCGCGTGGGAGGGAGGAACACATATCTTGGAGTACTGTTGATTCCTTCAGGTTTCCTACTAAACTGAATTCGATTTGCTTTCCCTTGATATGAGCATATTTAACTTTGCTCCAGATTGTAGCCATGGTAGCCTTTAGTGTTTCGTGTGTATTTTCAAGAAACAACAGAATATCTACACACAGATTGCAGATCTTCCCTCCTCAATAGTTCTTCCACAAAAAACTTTTAAGTCAACAAAATTCAGAACACATTCGATTGTTCTGAAATTTTAGCATCCTAAAATTATTTAACTAATTACGTTTTTGACATTATCATGGAATTGCCTTTTACTTTTAGAACAATATTATTAAGTCTAGTAAGCCATGAAGAACTCCATGATTTTTCAAATCCATTTCTTTTATCCTGCACCCACAATATCATTGAGCTGCACTGTATAGCTAATGCAAAGTCTGATTCAAACAACTTTTAGCTAAAATTTTCCTCGGTCCCAATAGCTCCAGTAGATAAAATAATTGTGTAAGCCAAAGAGAGCAATGCACAATATATCAGTAAGGCGCATTGCTCTTTGTGTGAGGGGGCAGAATATCTATCCATATCAAACCTAACTCCTCCATATATACAAAAGAATCAGGCATTGTCTTTGATAAAAGAGGCAGATCAGATTTCACTTGTACACTTTTGGAAGCCTATAAATAGCAAGCCAGAAGGATCATAGAGTATTGCAGAACACAGAAGGCAAAGTCATATGGATGACTGAAATCCTACATAGAAGCGGCAGTCGATGGCATGCATCATCTAGTGGTGCATATCCTAGAGAAGTTCCGAGAGAAGTATAGAGAGACTATTTGGTGCTTGTTATCACCCAATGCTAGGTATGAGTTATGGCTATCAGTGGCCACTCGTGAAATGAGATAGAGAACGGAATGCAGCCAAGGATGACTTGCCGGTACGTGTATGCATGTTTCAAGGTACTATATGTGCCCCCAACTGTTTTAGATCCATGCTGACATTTTCCGGCAAGTTGTCCTTGGCTACGTCTTGTTCTTTTTCTCTCACGTGAGGCCATTGCATGGTTTGCATTTAGCTTCCAGGTCATGCATGTACAGTGATGTATATCAATGTAAACCAGAAATATATTGATGGGATTAAGGATTAGTTTAGTTGTGAAGGTGATGCACTTCTGATTGCTCACATATAGATATCCAGGCAACATCTGATTCAACCTGATTGATCTTTCCGGTATGATGACGGCTTGTTCAGAGTTGGATATGCCATTGATGTAAGGTGTTGCACCTCATGTTCAGTTATGTTACCTCATTCAAACACACATGCCGCTGGATAGATGTTTGGACACTTTCTTTTTATTTTGTAATTTAAGCAAACATGTTGATTATAGGTGTAGTGGCCCATGCTCAACAACATTGGCAATCCAAGGATAAAATAACTTGCAGAGGCTATACCTTGTCATAACTAACTAGCTAGCATTATATTCAAAGTTTTCCCCTTTTAACTAAAACCCACCGCTTCAAATGTTTCAAATGATCTGTTAAAAGAAGCATAGACAGTCAAGTTTCTTGATTACTCAAATTTTGAAGTGATGCATGCCCAAGATATAGCGACAGCTGATAAGATGGGAATATATGTTTTGTTGTTTGAGGTTAATGGAAGTTGGTAATAGCCGATAAGATGCAGGATCCTATGTTTGGGGTCTGAGTTTAATGGAAATTGGTAGTACCATGATGCGTTGTGAGGTGGAGTGACAGCAGTAATCAGCAAGTCTTTCTTCATTGGTGGAGTGACAGCAGGAAGATGGTGCCTAGAGCTAAGGGACGTGGTTATGACACAATCATCATTCTCGCAGCTTGGCCGATTTGGAAAGAACGGAATAACCACATCTTCAACAATCAACAAGAACATGGATGGAGGTGGCTGCTGCAGCTGCAGAGGAAGCTGCACTCTGGCATTCAACCGGGGTGCCAATCTGGCTCTCGCTGGCACGGAAACTGTGGTCACAAAATAGATGCCGTGAGAATTAGACCTTTAACCGCATAATCAGTTTTTTTTTCTTTTGTTTCTCATTTTAGGGATTTGTAACTTGAGCTGCTGTACAAACACTCCATCTTAATACAAAAATACGCAGTTCTTATGCGTATTCCCAGGGAAAAATGATGTGTTGTGAGGGTTGTCCAAACTCAGTTAACTCCTGTTGATGAGAAGTTAGCTGGACAATCATCAGTAGCTAAGAGGGAAAAAAAAAGCACTGGTTCTATTGGTCGACACTAGATTCAATGCTACTATCCAATACCAAAGTCAGGACATATATGGTCTAGTAGCAATATCAAAGTCAGGATATATATGGTCTACTTTTTTTAGGGGATATATGGTCTAGTATTTGATATAGAGGGAAAAAATTTTCCATTAAAAATCTACATGAAATGAAAGAAGCAGTGATGATTGAAATCCCCCATTTGGCCACTAGCCCCAGGAAACCCAATCAGTCAATCTAAGTGTCACTACTACTAGTAGTACTAATTAGACCTGCCCTAGCAATAGAGCAACTACGACGAGCTCCCACCGTAGTCAGATTCGCAGGCACTAGGGTGTATCAATATCAATCAAATCGAAGGATCCCACGGTTTCATCGGCGATACAATTTCGCAGCGGAGCTTCAATGCTTCATCAAGATGTACACTACAAGTTGGTTACCTCTCGAGCGCCCGTGGTCGCGTCGCGTCTTCGCGCGTGGCCCCGTACGTCGTACGCGGCGGCGGAGCGCGCCGCCCACGACGACCAGCGCCCGCCATCTGGCCTGGGGTTGCCTCGGATACGACGCCGCGGCGGCGCGGCTCGTCGGAGAAGGGGAAGAAGGCGACGCCGCCCGCTTGCCTCTTCGTGGGCTTCGAGACTAGTATTTGCTTTGGATTCTCAGTCACTCACTAGGCCTGGTTGAGAGATGGGCTGGTCGAGCTAGTGGGCTGGCATGTGAGGATAGGTTGGTTGGGTAGACTATTCCATCTTTTAATTCTTAGGGTAATTTTCGCAAAACTATAGGTGTTTTAATCAAGTTATTACAAAACTATGAAACTACCGATTTAACACTAGGTTTATCATAGAGCTATAAAATATCGCAAAAGTACATATTTAGTAACAAAGTTATCACAAAACTACAGGTTTTATATCAATTTAATCATAAATTTTGGACATTTATAACTCAAACATAATATTAGAGCTAGGAATTAAAACGTAAAAATATGTACTTTTTGATTATTTTATTATTAAATTTGTAGTTTTATGATACTTAGCCTTAAACGTATAGTTTTAAGAAAAAATTATTGTTAAATATGTAGTTTTATGGTACATCAACTTTTTGCAATAATTTAGCTTAAGTATCTATTGTTCTGTGAAATTTACTATAATTCTTATAAACAAAAGATTCCTTCGTTTCTTAAAACAAGAAAAGGATAAAATATTCCAGGAAAAACTTGGAGTGGAACTTCGTACGAATTTGGAACAAATTAACAATAAATAAGGTAATAAAATAACTAAAATATTGTTCAACAAGAAGAAATCGTCCATAAATTCAGGACTTTTTATAGATTCCAAAATTGAGAATTCCCATTAAGTTGCTTGAATAATTTGTTCTTCTTCTTCACCTGTACAAAAGCACAAATTTTACTGTTTAAAATTATCCAAGGCTTTTATGGGGCGGGCTTTCTTTGGTCAATGGTCACTAATCAATAAAATGTTATTTGGTTACAATAGAAATTTGATCTTTAACAAATGAAATACTTTAATCAATAAAAAGTGTTTACTAGTGTCACTATAATACCATTTATTGTATAGATTTATTTAATCATTTTGATGTTAACATGTCCCAACCAATTCGTTGACAGCATCATCACCACCACCACTCATGACATGCCACAATGAAAAAACCAACAGCTAAAGCAACACAAAATCAAACCCCAATCAGCTGCAAAACAGAAAGACAAAACAAGAAAAACCCATAGATTCAAATTTAAAATTCGCTGGAGGAAAAAAAAACAAAAAAAACAAATCGGAAAACAAAATCCGCTTATGCAGTCGTGGCCCCCTTCCCCATCGCGTCTTCCATTCCAGCCCAGATCGAGCGAGAGAGCCGTCTCCCTCTTCGCTTCTCCTCTCCCCCCCGTGATCTGACCGCCGGCGACGACCCCCTCCCACCACCCGCCGCCGCCGCCGCGCCCCCGCCCCCGCCGGCGACGACCACCATGTCGTACGATCGCGTCACGACCTTCGAGGACTCGGAGAAGGAGAGCGAGTACGGCTACGTCCGCAAGGTTCCCTCACCCCTCATCGTCTTCCTTCCTCTTCCCCATGTTGGATTGGATCGGTCACTCTCGTGCGTAGATGCGGCGGCCTCTGCTTCGGATTCGGCTTGTTCCGGATCGGTGGAGTTTTAGCTGTGAGTCTCTGTGGATTTTAGTGCTGGTCTCGAATCCCCGATCGCGAGAGTGTGGGTGGCACTGCTGCTGACTGGGGAATCGTCAGGCGATGCGACTGTGCCGAGAGCCTCGGACTCGGGTGGTGTTTGGATCGAGTTGAATTGATGCGAGATTAGGTTGATAGGACGGTTGAATTTAGGTTTCTACTGGTGTTCGGATCACGCTGGCTAGACTGCGTGGATCGACGTTTGATGCGTTAACTTCCAAACTCATATGCGGGACACTATTGTGATGGGGTTGGTTAGTGAACCATCCCCGATGTGGAGATGCGCTATTATCCTTGGGAGTTTAGCCCGTTTGGATAATATGTTGATTGTCTACTATTGGCACATGATCCATCATTTCATCCCTCTTTTTTTTTTTTGTATTGAACGAATTGTTTCGCCTTCATATTGCATTCTTCTAGGTTTCTGGACCTGTGGTCGTGGCTGATGGAATGGGTGGTGCTGCCATGTATGAACTTGTCCGAGTTGGTAATGATAACCTCATTGGGGAAATTATTCGTCTTGAGGGTGATTCAGCCACCATTCAAGGTATAGGACGGTGAAATTCTACCTCACATATTTGTGGTGCCTTTTCCCCACATGACATGTACAATATAAATTTCACCAATTTTTTCTTGTGATTACCGTTTGCAGTTTATGAGGAAACAGCTGGGTTGATGGTCAATGATCCAGTGTTGAGAACAAGAAAGGTGTGATGCATTGTTAAATTCTATGTGCATTTCACATATGGTTTTCTTACCCTTTTCATTTCTTTTATAACACATTGTTGCTATTTTCATCAGCCTCTTTCAGTTGAATTGGGACCTGGTATCCTTGGAAATATCTTTGATGGAATCCAGGTGAGACAAATGTAATAATCGGACATTTATTAGGCTGATATGAGGACTTTATGCTGACTACATGACCTTTTTTCCTTTCTACACTTTGCAGCGCCCTCTAAAAACTATTGCTATAAAGTCTGGAGATGTGTACATACCACGTGGTGTTTCAGTCCCTGCTCTTGACAAAGATCAGTTGTGGGATTTTGAGCCAAAGAAGCTAGGTATTGTGCCTGCTAACCTGTTATAAAATCTGAGCATGTCTCTTTTCAAGTTTTATCCTGTACATAGATAAATTACATTGGTCATTTGAATAGGTGTTGGAGATGCCATCACTGGTGGAGATCTATATGCTGTAAGTTAACAAGACAGTTCCCTTTTTTACAAGTTATTATCTTGTGTTATTGCTAGCGATCTTCTGCAATCTGCAGATCCCTGATGATGTTAATCTTTTTATGTGTCTTTGTGTTGCCTAACTGCCTCACAGACTGTGTTTGAGAATACGCTGATGAAACATCATGTTGCCCTTCCTCCTGGTTCTATGGGGAAAATTAGTTACATTGCACCAGCTGGCCAGTATAGCTTGCAGGTTAGTATGTGTTACTTAAAGCTGCTTCTTCTGTGCCTCATTTTTTTTTCTGCTTAACTTTATGTGATGTCCTAATCATAATGCTCTGTACACAGGATACAGTTCTGGAACTGGAATTCCAGGGCATCAAAAAGCAATTTACTATGCTCCAGGCAAAGTGCTTTCCCTTTCATTAAATCCGTATTTACCGAGTTTATGTATATCTGAATGTCATCATATTTATTCTCTGCAGACATGGCCTGTCCGGTCACCAAGGCCTGTTTCATCAAAGCTTGCTGCTGACACGCCTCTTCTAACAGGACAGGTACACGAAGCTTGCTACTCCCAGCTCCTTCATAATGTGTTATTTTATTAGTGTCAAAATTTAATGAAGTGATGCTTTCCTGTCCTGTTCTATCATATTTTGCCGTGTCTCATATCCTGTGAACTGTTTTCAGCGTGTACTTGATGCACTATTTCCCTCAGTTCTTGGAGGAACTTGTGCTATTCCTGGAGCATTTGGTTGTGGAAAAACTGTCATTAGTCAGGCACTTTCAAAGGTATTTTCACTATTCCTCTCTATTTGATAACTGCTAGCATTGCCCATGGGCATTAGCCTTTTAAAATGACTGAATTCTGTGCCTTTCCTGACTGAAAATATCTTATGCAGTACTCCAATTCTGAAGCTGTGGTTTATGTGGGCTGCGGGGAAAGAGGAAACGAGATGGCTGAGGTCCTTATGGACTTCCCACAATTGACAATGACATTGCCTGATGGACGTGAAGAGTCTGTCATGAAAAGAACTACACTTGTTGCTAACACATCCAACATGCCTGTTGCTGCTCGTGAAGCCTCCATTTATACAGGTAATACATATATACTGATTACTGATGTTTTTAATTTCGCATTCCACTAGTATAGTACTACATGAATGTGTTTCGATCTTCTGAAGTTCATTTTCTCTAGAAGAAAGTGTTGCTTTGTTGGAGACTATAGCTATCTCAATACATCAGACCATGGATTTCTGCAGGCTTGTCCTTAGCCATTTGTGATCTATGAGCTAATTTTGGAATAACTAAGGTTGCATTGACAAATACATCTATGCATGTTCCATAATTGTTCAGTAGAACATTGAGGATCACATCTTTATGTTATCCATGGCCTTTATTATTTATTGAGGATATACACATATTCCTGTTAGCCATGACCTGTATTACTTACTAACTGTTCTGTTGCAGTTCAGTTTATGAGTTATGACGGATGGTAACTAACTTGCTAGCACTAGATCTTTTAGTGAATGAACATCATCAAAGTGGTACAATATGTGTAGTTTCTTGTAGAACACTAAAAGGAGTCCTTGCTTAGTTATGCTTTATGCCTGATGTTTTCTTTATCAACAAAACAATCATATTTTTTTCTGCCCACCAGGAATTACAATTGCTGAATACTTCCGTGACATGGGCTATAATGTCAGTATGATGGCTGATTCTACTTCTCGGTGGGCTGAAGCTTTGCGTGAGATTTCAGGACGTCTGGTATGATGCTTCCTTTCGAGTTGCTATTTTACCTTTTTGGCCTGTATTTTTGTAACTTATATTGACTTCTCAATGCTGTGCTGTGACATGAATGAGAATTCTTTCTAATGTATCATTATCCACTATTTGTATTTGGGGTTTAATTTTTTCAGGATTATTGTTTATTTTCTTTCCGTTCAGTAGCTTATTTTATTACTAATTTCATTAATAGCTGACTGTACCCTCCAACATCAAGAATACTAGTGCAATGGGGATATATTAATGTGTTGAACAGAAGTAAAATCTGTTACTAGTACATCATGCATGAAACATTTACATGGAAGTTATCATATACGTCTGATGCATCGTGCTTGAAATATTTACTATGCAGTTATCTTACTAGGAAATTATTTGGAGTCGAAAGTGCTCTCGCTAGCTAGTTACTGCTTTACTCTGCACTAATATGAATTTGAAACTGATGATTTGATCAATTTCCAGGCTGAAATGCCTGCGGATAGTGGTTACCCTGCATATTTGGCTGCACGTTTGGCATCCTTTTACGAACGTGCTGGTAAGGTGAAATGTCTCGGCAGTCCAGATCGGACAGGCAGTGTCACAATTGTTGGTGCTGTCTCTCCACCTGGAGGTGATTTTTCAGATCCTGTTACCTCTGCAACTCTTAGTATTGTGCAGGTAAGGAAACTGCTAGATTAATCCAACCTTTGAATTAAATTTTCAAACCTTTCTAACTGCATGTTCATTGTTTGATAATCTTAACTCCTCTCAATTGCAGGTCTTTTGGGGATTGGATAAGAAGCTGGCTCAAAGAAAGCATTTCCCATCTGTCAATTGGCTCATCTCTTACTCAAAATACTCAAAGGTTATTCCTAACTTCCCTATGATGTCAATACAATTAAAATCGCCATTTTACACTAACATACTATATCCTGTACTGTAGGCTCTGGAATCCTTCTATGAGAAGTTTGATCAAGATTTCATTGATATTAGAACAAAAGCTCGTGAAGTGTTACAGAGAGAGGACGATCTAAATGAAATTGTCCAGGTATTTTTTTTCACCTTGTGCAAGGATGATCTGTTCCCTAGATTTAGTCGTAGAAGCAATAGTTTGAACTTGGACCACTTAAACATGGTGTTTTTGTTTTCCAAGGTCCTCCTTTTTGGTCTTTCACAATATTTGTTTTCTTCATTAGATTTGGAGTTTCTCAAACTATTCAATTTGTATTTTATTGATATTTGTTGACCCTTCTTGCTTTGTGTAATATTATTGTGGCACCATTTGGCCTAATATCTTCACCAAATTTCAGCTTGTTGGTAAAGATGCACTGGCAGAATCTGATAAGATTACATTGGAAACAGCCAAGCTACTAAGGGAAGATTACTTGGCACAGAATGCATTTACCCCGTGAGTCATACCCTAGTTTTTTCTGATTTAATACAGATTTATTGGTTGTCTCTATTTTAATGATTAACCATTTTCTTTAGTCTGATCATCTCTATATAATGAAACAGATATGACAAGTTCTGTCCATTCTACAAGTCTGTTTGGATGATGCGCAACATTATTCATTTCAATACATTAGCAAATCAGGTAAATCTAACGTGTTTTTACCACTCCTTTCGTCCTTGAACCTTAAATTACTCAAGCAACTTTGATTTGAAATTTGAAGTATGAACCTGTGAAGAATGTTTTCTATAGCATTAGTAAGATTGATCTTGTTTTGAAGTTTTTTATTGCTTATGACAATTTTCTTTTTACCAATGTGGATTGAAATATTGTTGTTTTTTTGCTACATGATCTAGGAGCTTATTGGATTAATTATTTGATGTTTCTTGCATGGAACTGATAAATATACCGTGCTTTACTCCTATCATGAACTGTGTTGTGATATATGTCTTAAATATCAATGAGCCATGCTCATTATCTTTAGGAGGCTAGCCCTAAACAAAAAACATTAAAGCACTAACCCTGGGTATTGGCACCAATCGCACAGATCCTCAGCCAAACAGAATTCTCACATTAAAAGTTGATTAAAAATAATGGCTTCGCTTACTTAACCCCAGTTCTGTTGCATTCTTGCATCCACTCTCACTAGCTCCCTTGGTTGGCTTCGATGCTAGTGTGCTAATGCCTAAGGGTTCACCATGACATTGTGTTCATATGTCCACCTCAACTGAGTCAGCAAGGGCAAGTTAAAAGGATTTGGGTTTAAGGGAACCATTTTTGCTCAAATTCCTCTGGTTGAATGAAAGTGTGTGACTTCTTTATTTTTTTCTTTTTTTTTGGCAATTGGTGCACAAACTACTAGGTGCTAGGGCTAAGTGTAAACTCGAAAAGCTTTGGCTAGACTTGCAACGGGCTGAAGTTTATATAATGATTATGTCAATAAGAAAAGTTACCAAGCAAATACTTGATATTTATTCACCTAGTTTTAGAGAAGGTATGTAGCAAGTAGCAATATCCTTTAGTTAATTGTGATGTATGAACTTTCTTGTAAGACTCATCTGATATCTGCACTATTTTCTTTTGCTGGAAAGAAACTTATAGTATTCATAAGTGAATGTAGCTTGTTTGAATCCATCATACCTTAACAAATTGTATGTTTCTGTCTTGTCTTGTAGGCTGTGGAGCGTGCAGCTAATGCTGATGGACAAAAAATAACATACAGTGTCATAAAGCATCGTATGGGTGATCTATTTTATCGCCTAGTGTAAGTATTTCAGTTCCATACCTCAAATGGTGACCATTTGATTGGTTTTATTTTCATTGGTAATCCTGTTTGCTGAATACTTCACTCTTGCAACAGATCTCAAAAGTTTGAGGACCCTGCAGAGGGTGAAGATGTCCTAGTCGCAAAATTCCAGAAATTGTATGATGACCTCACAACCGGATTCCGCAACCTAGAAGATGAAGCTAGGTGAAGTGCTGTAAATTGAGGATCACATTCGTGTAAACAATAAAATATCACCAGATATTCGAAGCGAGTTGGGGCAATTTATTTTGCTTCGCGTGAGGTTGTAGATGTGAATTACGTTTCAGAATCATCATATTTTCCTTCTGCATCGACACTGCTGCTGCTTTTTGTAGCTTCCTGTTTGACCTCCGGTGCTCGATGAAGGCATTCTTTTTGGTGTACAATTATTTATATTGTAAGATACCTGTGCACATGTTGATAGTTGAATAAGCACGATGACCATCTACTTGAACATCATATATTTTTCTCCCATCAACACCTTACTTCCTGTATGTTTCCATTGGAATGTGAGATGGGTTCCCCCCATGTGCAAAGCACAAAACACGCAACATGCCCAATCTTGCACCTGTGAATGTGATTTCTTGGCTTACATCCGGGCCAGCATTTGGAATCCTGCCGGTGCATGAGATGAGATGAGATCCATTTGTTCTTTTTTTTTTTAATTACCAAGTCCATCCATCCATTCATCGTTGCGGACCAGGCCAGCTTACCTAGCTTTTGTCTCGACCTGGATCTCTCTGTCTTGGCTCATGGAACACCCAACCCAAACAGGCCAACACCACGTTCGTTTCCTGCTGGATGTTCTGGACAACCTTCATGCTTGAAAGAGCCATCAGCCATGGCTCTTCTTGTTTGCTTCCAGGTGAGATTAGTATTTTGCTAGGTAGATCCAGAATCCAGATTCTCTCTACCTGTCATTTCTAGGTACGGTACTTGCGTTGCGAGTACTCCAACCGTAGTAGTAGTATTGTACATTTGTACACCCAGTCACCAACCCACAGCATTAACCAGTCAACAAACAATTTGGCACCGTTTCCGAGTTTCAAACTCTGTAAAATTCCTCTGAATCTTTGCTGAAATGTTCTGCGAGAAAATTGCTGTTGACCTGTTGTTGTGCTCCAACATCCAAACAGGGGTCTGATCTGATCCCAAAGGCACCAGCAAAGATGTAGTGGTGGTGCTAATGTGCTTTTTTGTGGGTGGCTGCATTACTTTTGTGCCACACATGCATATGCACTCTGATACCAAAGGTAGATGTATATTCAATCAAAGGTATCCCTCTTTTGGATTATTTTCTAGATTATTGCAACTTTACCACATTATTTCGAAAAAAATCTAAACAAATAGATTTAGGCCCTGTTCTTTTTAAATTATTCACCGGATTATTAAAACCGGTAATTTGCTCTACACTTCGGAAAACACGTTTTTCTAAAAAGAACTTACTTCTATTCTATTTGCTAAGTTTATTTTTCAAAATATTTAATGTATCCCTATAATCAAACCGATAATCCGTGATAATAATCTGTTCAATAATTTATCTTAAACAGGGCCTAAGCATAACACAAAGCATAAACAGCATCCAATTCAAACGGATCAAGACTTAAATAATCCCAAATCTAGAAACCTAAGAAGAGCCCATGACTACCTCGAAAGGTAGAAACTTTCAAGGGACCCAGGTGCAAAAAAAAAGCACACGCCAAAAATTGATTACTTAAATCCAAATCCCTCCTCCAGTTTTGAAGCCCATCACGGCAGCAAGAGGCGACTCCCTCCCAGCACTTAACCCAACCAATTAGTGCCACTTCCAGCTTAATTAATCCATTTGTTTATATCTCCCTCCTCCTCCTCCTCTCTCTCTCTCTCTCTCTCTCTACGACTCCCACCTCCACCTCCGCCATCCCAATCCGATCTCCCGCGAGCTCCAGATCCACCTCCCGGGTCGCCGCCGAGCTCGCCGCGGCCACCTCCTCGCCGGAATCGGCCGCTCGCGAGCTCCAGCCCGGTGCCCGTTTTCGCGCCATTCGTGCGTGCGAGCTAGCGAGCTAAGCTCCAAGAGCTGCGCCTCCTGCGCTGCGGTGAGGTGCGGCGCTGTGTGAGTCCTCTCGCATTGGGCTTCTGGTTGCTCGGATAGCTTGGGTAATTCTTCTCCGTGCGTGATTTAGCTTGATTTTTTTTGGTGGTTCCGATTTTTTACGTGAGCCTCTTTTTGGTAAGGATTGTGGCTTAGGCTGTGTGATTTAGCGTGGGCGTGGTTGGTGCTTGTGGTGGCGAAGCTGTGGATTGGATCGAGTTGGAAATGGCGTTCTGGGTTAGCGAATTGGATCGGGATGATTTGGTCGTAGTTTGACTTTTTCCGCGAGCCGCCACCATGGACTTGAGCAACGCTGCCTGCCCCTGTGGAAATCACCTGATTTCAACGCGTAGATCACCTGTTTCCAACCAATTGCAACCGCCAGCTTTTGCTAGATTCATCGAGCAGTTTAGAAATCTCCAAAGTATGGGAGCTGGTAGCTCGCATCACAGCTGGTCATAGCTGAATCGCGTACTAGACGCATCAAGATTTGTGCAAAAACAATCATTGGCCAAATGGAATGTTGTTTGTGATTGTGCGGCTGAATTCTGTCCCTTATCTAGGAGCTTTCTTGATTCCTTGATTAATGTTGTGCTTACTTGCAATTGCAGGAAGGTGTCACCTTGTTAGTTCCCTCAAATTTCATTGGGCCCTGGTGTAGTAACTTCACATCATAATTACCAGAGTTTGATTACTTTGATGGTGGTAACTTCTAGATGATCTGAACATATGGAGAGGAGATAGAAGTGTCTTGAGTGTTGCAGTAGGACAGCAAGGACATGACTGTCATGCCATCTCTGCGCCACCGGGCTGTCGCCAAGAAGCCCAAATGGATAATCATTCTTGTGTCACTGGTTTGTTTTGTATTGATTGGGGCATATGTTTTCCCACCACGGCGGTATTCGCAATGCTACCTCTTCGGTTCTGGTGCATGCGCAACTTTCAAGGATTGGCTCCCATCTGTAACCCGCAGGGAGCGGACTGATGAGGAGATCATTTCATCTGTAGTTCTTAGGGATATCCTTGCAATGCCCATGCCAGTGTCGAAAAATCCAAAGATCGCTCTTATGTTCCTGACACCTGGTACACTGCCCTTTGAGAAATTATGGGAAAAGTTTTTACAGGTTGGTAAAGATATATTTGTTGCATTTGTGCTATTTAAGAGTATAAATCATTCAATGGTCATGTCGTTTCCTTTAACTGCAAAGCAACATCAGTTTCTTTTCAGCATAAATACAGACAACAAGTTGTTTCAGTGGTTAATGCTCTAGTATTGTTTTTAGATACATATTACTGAAAAATGGCACTTAATCAATATGTTGCTGTTCTTTATGAAAGTTGTAGACTTGTAGCAGTGCTTCACTATTGTATTATGAACAGCATTTTAAATTTGATAGATACTGAACTAACATAATAAAATCCGTAGGTAATGTCTTAGCTAGCATCTTACAAGGGTCATTATATATCATTGAGAGAAATGCTAAGGATGATTTCCATTACTGCACAAGAAGTCAAACTAGTGGATATTTCCTTATACTAGTTAACAAACCAACTAGTATATTATACCGCAAGTCCGCAATAACTAACAAGTGTACTTTACAAGTTACTACAATCTACCCCCAGTTTCAAAAAAAAAAAATCTCCCCCCTCTTCTCTCCTGAACCTCTGGAAGTATATATATATTGTGATAATGCCTGTTGCTTTTATAATTCATTTAAACCTAAAAAATCTTAATAATTTTGACTTCTCCAAACAGGGTCAGGAGGGAAGATACTCCATCTATGTTCATGCATCACGTGAAAAGCCTGTACATACTAGTTCTTTGTTTGTTGGTCGTGATATTCACAGTGACGCGGTAATTACTTTCATCTTCAGAAATTCTGTATTTAATGCCTTTCCTTTGATTATGTTCTTTATTAAGGATTTGACCTGCAAAATATGTCTATTTTCAAAGCTTATGTCTATCTCTCTGCATTCCAAATGACTGATGGATGTGTTAATGACCAAGTGGTAGATCTTGGTTCCATCAGAAACTTCTTTGTTTGGCTATCTAGCAAGGTAGTAGTGATGGACAAATAGTTGTTTTACACACCAGAGGACATAGCACTATAGCGACGAGCACATAACGAGCATATATTTGATAAAGATAATTTTCATAAATTTAGCATTCATTTTTCAGGATGTTCTATATCAGTAGTAGATCATGCTGTAGTAGGTTCTATGCCAATAAGGTTCTTTATCTACGCCAATAAGAATTATTTCACTCTTTTTAGCTTAAGGGCTACTACTATAATGTGAGATCTAGCTATTGTAAGAACACTTCGAGCAATTTAATCTGCTGTGGAAATAACAAAAAGAAACTGTTAATTTCTTCACCTCTTAATCCTGGCAAATTGAATAACTTTGTATATTTTGTGTATTTTTCAGTAGACTTCTCAAATGGATTATTATATTGGCTTGTGTCTGAACAGAGTGCGTGGTTGCTCTGCAGGTAGTATGGGGAAAGATTTCAATGGTTGATGCAGAGAAGAGACTATTGGCCAATGCACTGGCAGATGTTGATAACCAGTTCTTTGTGTTGCTTTCTGACAGGTTCTGACTCTGATTATGGATAACGATTTTTGGGCCTTTCTTTCACTATATTGAAGTTATCTTCCTGTTTCTTACAGCTGTGTTCCACTGCATACATTTGATTATGTCTATAATTATCTGATGGGAACAAATATCAGCTTCATTGATTGGTAAGAAGCTAAGAACACCAAATTCATATTCAAATTTCATAAATGTAAAAGTAAGAGTAATAGGTGAAACAAGTTCTGTTGACATGTGATCAATAAGTTGATGTTGATTCATTCTTTCTAGTATCACTTGGAAATGGTGTTGCATGTATATTTTGATCATATTTTTCTTCATTGTTATTTTCTCAGTTTCCGTGATCCTGGCCCTCATGGAAACGGGAGGTATTCTCCTGAGATGCTCCCTGAAATTGAGGAGAAAGACTTCAGGAAGGGTGCCCAGGTAGTTTGTTGTGTTACATACCTGATTACCTGGCATTACAGTTCATTCTTTTAGCAGTATATGGTTTGTTTTTGGTTTTTTATTTTTTCATGTCGATTCTAAACTGACATGTTTTATATTGTGTTAATGTTTGTTGTTTTAATAGTGGTTTGCAATTACACGAAGACATGCTCTACTGATTCTGGCAGACAGCCTTTACTACAAAAAGTTCAAGTTGTACTGCAAGGTTTGCTGCCTATTCGAATTATCACTCTCGTGTGATATAATAGAACAAAGAATAGGATTCAACTAATGTCCCTAAAATATGATTAAGGAACTGAATATCGGTCTGATAATTACTTTCTGAAACATTTGGAAGTGGTAAACTTCTTGCAAAGTTACCTTTTCCAAGTATTTAAAATATACTAAATAAGGTCAATTCTCATGGGATCAAATTGGATTCATTTCTTGTGTTGGTTACAGAACACCTAAGATTCTGAAAGTGTTTGGGCTTGTCCTGTAGTCATCATTTATGAAAACAAGTGCTTATAATTTTTTTCTAGTTTTTTTGTACATGTTTCTGCAAGACTGATTTTTGTATGATTTGCCTTCAATGATTACAGCCAGCAGACGGACGCAACTGTATTGCAGATGAGCATTACTTACCAACCTTATTCAACGTCAGTATTTATTTACAATATATTGAAGTGACATTTGATTCTTTTGGGGGCTTACTTGCTAAATACATATCATTTTGCATATCTTCAGATGGTAGATCCTGGTGGAATTGCTAATTGGTCAGTTACACATGTTGATTGGTCTGAGGGAAAATGGCATCCGAGGTCATATAGAGCTGCAGATGTCACCTACGATCTCTTAAAGAATATAACAGTATGTTTTTGCTTTGTTGTATGTCTTTTTTTTCCCCATAAACTCATAACAGTACGTTCTCATGCTAATTTACATTACTGTTGTGCAGGCTGTTGATGAAAATTTCCATGTAACAAGTGATGACAAAGTAAGTACAACAATTCTTTGTCAGTAATAGCAACTGAACAACATCACATTAATTACGCATGTTAAATGCTGTTCATTTACTTCATCTTGGATTATCATGTTACATATATAAGTGCCCTTGGTTGCCAATTTTACCATGGACTCATTGATTTCATTGCTCATATAATGCATGAAATGTGAAACTGGAACAGCTAGAAAGACTGACTTGCTTTTTTTTCGCCTTCCTTTTGTAGAAACTTATGACACAGAAGCCATGCTTATGGAATGGATCGAAGAGACCATGCTATCTTTTTGCTAGGAAGTTCTACCCTGAAACTCTTGACAACCTACTGAAGCTATTCACCAGCTATACATCTGTTTGAGCTCCATCAAATTCTTTGTCCTTGGCATATGGTCTCAAAATCCCATGGGCTTTTTTTTGCTGTTTCTGTAAATTGCAAAATCAATACCTAGACTCTTACACATGGATCTGGACCTAGAGACTACAAGACTACACACGCAGATCGTCATCGCAGCAACTGTGACGGCTTGGAGTTCTTAGTCACTGGGAAGGGCTGTGGCGAAATTTGTAGCAATGACACTGCCCTCACTGTAATTTATTGTGCTCTCTGTAATTTTTCCATTGATGGTTCTTAGTCCATTGACTCCATTCCTGTTGAAGAACAGATAATTTTCCATTTTGTCATACCATTATTATATGATCCATTTTTTATATAGTCAGATAACAAGAGAAGTACCTCATCCTATTTTTGCCATGATGTGCATCTTTTGTTGATTTTGTTTGCCCTCTTTCCGAAATTAACAATATGTTAATATGCTCAAATGAAACCATTTTTTCAAGATTACATGGACGGCGCACACCACTACACAACAGGGTTTACCTTACCGCCGGTAACCGCGCGGTTACCGGGCTTACCGCGGGGGTACGTACCGGCGGTTACCGGGCTTACCGCAGGAGTACGGTAATATAAATACTGCGGTAACCTCCTTAAATTCAAATAAATTTAAAAAATAATTTAAATTTTTAATAAATTTTGTACGGTTTTGTACGGTGGTTTGGGAAACTTGCTACACACACCCCGTGAATGCGCTCTCCGCTCTGTAATACGCACTCAAATGAATTATCTAAGCTCTATATTTATACTCCCTTTGTCCGAAAATGAGTACACTTCTAGCAATTCTTATTAAGATTAGTAATATTAAGAAATGTCAGGATCTCTAATTAAAATAGGTTAGGTATAACAGCCTTAGAAACAGTGCCACATGCACGGCAGTTGCTGCAGCCGCAAAGACTGGCTACCAAACAGCCTCAACAAGTCAATGAGAGAAGGGTACTGGCTTGGGACAGGTATGGAATTAATGAGATAAACCTCATCATGCTAGCTAAAAATATAGTCTCTGTAAGATAAATTTTGAACAAATGAACCTTTTTTGAGATGTAGTATATCATATCCTCTCATTAAAAAGGAGTACTATATCATGTTAGAGACAGTTGTTGTCTTAGACCCTATTTGAAATTTTAACTACCAATTTGATCCTATTTTCTCAACTTTATTTATTTTATCGTCTTTTTCAAATGTATCAAATATCCTAGTGAAATTTCTTCCAATTTCCTGCGTAAATAAATATATCTCTACTATCCTTTATCCATTCCAAAATACTGTACATCGACCTTTGGGTAATTGGGTCCACCCCTCACGGGCCCACAAAATCCATTTAAACCCGTTTCCTCAGGCCCACGAGCGAGCCACGTAGCACCACTCACATCCCTCCACGTGGCACCCCTCCCCACTCTTCCCTCCACCTTTCCCTCCCTCCCGCCACGTCTCGCAAACCAACCTCCCATCTCAAAAATGCTCCACTTCCTCTCCTCTTCCTCCCCTCTCAATCCCCAATTCCTCCTCCTCCCGAGGCAATCCGCGAGGCTGCGCGTCCTCCTATCCATCCCGGTCTCCGCCATGAGCTCCTCGTCGTCGTCGTCGTCGCGGGGCGCGCTGGCGGCGGCGGCGGTGCCTTCCCTCTCCGCCGACGAGGCCGGCGCGGCGGCGGACGAGGCGTTCTTGAGGTACACCTCGCCGAGCATGCGGCGGAGCGGCGGCGGCGGGGTTGCCATCGTGTGGTTCAGGAACGACCTCCGGGTGCTCGACAACGAGGCGGTGGTGCGCGCGTGGGCCGCCTCCGATGCCGTCCTCCCCGTCTACTGCGTCGATCCCCGGATCTCCGCGGGGAGCACCCACTACTTCGGTTTCCCCAAGACTGGAGGTGAAAGAATTGGGCGTCAATCTCTGACTGAAATTCAGTTTGCTTCGTGCAGATTACTTTTATGTTTTGGTGTGATTTTGGCTGCATGTTCGTTGGGTTCATGAGGGAAACGCGTTGATTTGATTCGTTTCTTTCAGCATTGAGGGCGCAATTCCTGATAGAGTGCTTGGAGGATTTGAAGCGCAACCTGACGAAACAAGGTCTCGACCTGCTCATCCGCCATGGGAAACCTGAAGACATCCTCCCTTCAATTGCAAAGGCTGTCACTGCACATACGGTGAGTTCATCCGCCTAATCGTGCCCGCGACGAATTCTAGTAGATTTCGATGTGGGAATTTTGGGCCTTGGAGACTTGGAATTCTGAATTCAGGAGGAGGTTTAAGGCAGTAATTTGTGGTGTATCTCCAGGTCAGTAATTTGTGGTGTATCTCCAGGTCTATGCTCATAAGGAAACCTGCAGCGAGGAACTCCTGGTTGAACACCTTGTGCGCAAAGGCTTGGAGCAAGTTGTGATTCCTCAGGGAGGAGCATCTAACCAGAAGAAGCCTCGAAATCCCAAGTTGCAGCTCATCTGGGGAGCGACATTGTACCATGTCGATGATCTTCCATTCTCCGTGAACAATTTGCCTGACGTATATACACAGTTCAGAAAGGTATATTCTCATAAAGTTTCTTCATCTAGGTTGTCCATTGTTTTATTGGCATGATAGTTACTGTCAATAAAATGTTTTTACCAGGCTGTTGAATCTAAGTCCTCAGTTCGGAATTGTAGCAAGTTGCCACCGTCACTCGGGCCGCCTCCTGGTTCTGGCCTGGATGAAATTGGAGGTTGGGGAACAGTACCAACACTGGAGTCACTAGGCCTAAGCATGACAAAGGCAGGTTCAGTGATTTCAGTTAACTGTGTTGAGCTAATTTTCAGTGATCAACTGTACTTTGCCACTTTGGCAGATAAGCTTTGAGAACTTCACCTATAAGTTGTAACTGTCACTGTTTGCTTCTCTCTATAGTCAGAGAAGGGAATGCATTTCGTGGGAGGGGAGAGTGCAGCTCTGGGAAGAGTTCATGAGTACTTCTGGAAGAAAGACCAGCTGAAAGTCTACAAAGAGACCAGGAATGGCATGCTAGGTCCAGACTACTCCACCAAGTTCTCCCCTTGGCTTGCTTCTGGCAGTCTTTCGCCTCGTTATATTTGTGAAGAGGTAATAAATTCATGGTAACCTCTGGAGATCAGTAGCTTTGTCTCATGCTGTATTTTTGGCCATGGTGCAGGTAAAGAGATATGAGAAGCAGAGAATAGCAAATGATTCTACATACTGGTATGCCTTCTCCAGAGTTTTATCACTTCTAAACTCTGGTTTTTCAGCTCTCGTTTATTATACTATTTGAGAAATGAGAGTTATTACATATGCTATAAAGTTTGTAAGGAGTGTGAAATATTTATAGATTATTGCAATTAAGGGTTTCCAACTTCCTTAGAAGTCAATGGTGAAACTGAAATACTTTCTTGATATGACAATGTTTTCAGGGTTTTATTTGAGTTGATATGGAGAGATTACTTCCGGTTCATATCAGCAAAATATGGGAACTCCATTTTTCACCTAGGTAAAGATATAACTCTCTCTCTCATGTCCCTAGATAATGCATGAAAAAGAAGTATCACTCTGAAATTCACTTTTATTGTTTATCCTGAAAATACACAGTTATTTCAGCTAAATATATGTAGAATAGTTAGATTTGGCTGGAAAAAGGTATAATCCTCTTTAAACTACTGTAGGGGGTCCAAGGAACGTAGAGTCCAAGTGGAGCCAGGATCAGGCACTGTTTGAATCTTGGAGAGATGGTCGAACTGGGTATGGAGTACTCCAAATTGTTCTAAAATTTTCTCAGTTTAACTCATAATTCATCATGTAAACCTGCTGAATCTGTTGATGGTGACTTTCAGGTACCCTCTTATTGACGCCAACATGAAGGAGCTTTTAGCGACAGGTTTCATGTCCAACCGTGGCCGTCAGGTAACCATTGGCATCTTATCACATAAGCAGAAATGCAGAATGACTGCCCAAGGGTACACCCAAGGCCATCTGATCCAAGTATCCATCTCTCATTGCTTCTCTACAGATTGTCTGCTCATTTCTGGTCCGAGATATGGGTATTGATTGGCGAATGGGAGCTGAATGGTTTGAAACATGCCTATTGGATTATGACCCAGCTTCAAATTATGGTAATTGGACATATGGAGCAGGTTAGTGTTTCTTTCCTCATATACAGTTACTTATTCTTGAAAGCATTGTATAATCATTAGTCAAAGCAAACAAATGACACAAAAGTGGGAGCTCATTTACATATCATGCCAGACTCTGAGACTGAACTGCTACTACTGTAATCTTGACAGGAGTTGGCAATGATCCAAGAGAAGACCGATACTTCAGTATACCTAAGCAAGTAAGCCCCAAAACTAAATATTGGACTCTTTCTTACCAGAGTTAACACTTAAAAAGGAATCGTTCTATACTACTAGAAAGAATCATAGCTAGAGTTCTAATCTACTAGCAAGTGACACGGCAAGAAGAAATAATAAGTTTTTAGGCACCATTCTCACCTCGACATTTTCTGACCATGAGTGAAACTGTACATTCTTCTGCAGGCCAAGACATATGATCCTGATGGAGAGTATGTTGCCTACTGGTTGCCAGAGCTCCGATCAATTGCAAAGGAAAGAAGGAATTTCCCAGGAGCTTCATACATCAAGCAGGTTGTCCCACTGAAATTTGATGGTGGACATCAGAAGAGAGATCAGCAGTTCAACAGGCAGAGAAGGCCAGGCCACATGTATAGAAGACAAAAATAATAAGATGCATATATGTATTTATTATAATTTACACCATATATCAATACGAAGTGAAGCAGATTTACAACAGATAGCTACAGAGCAAACATCAGTGAGCCCTTGTATGTCTTGTGCAGAATTTCAGTTTCAGAGGTGTTGAGGATGGTGTTGCAAAATGATTGATGTTTAATTTGCGAGCTCAGAAGTTAGAAATACTGGGCAAAATTTACGATAAGAATAAGAGCGCACCCTTTAACCTTCTAGAATGGAGATAAATCAAATTGTTGAACCTGAAACATTGCAGAGAACATATATAAGACTGATGTAGCTCTCCTCAACAACAGTATAGGGGCTTTTCAAAACAAATGCAGCACTCAGAAATAGAAGGCCAAAACATTCAATCATCCATTAACAAATCCAGCACAGGTCAACATGGTAATCAGAAACTAAAGGAAAACAAATTCTCTTTCATTCAGGTTACCTCATTTCTCAGCAACATAGGTTTGACAGACTTTATTTGCCAAAACTAACTTCACAGACGACAAAACTGAACACAAAAGATATGTACACCACTGCCGATGACAACGGCACAAAACTTGAAAACGGCAGCTTCTAGAGGGTGATAACTCATATGTACAAATTGGCCTTGAAGAGGCAAGCAAAGTTACAACTACAACTAATGTCAAAAGCCGGAATGTTAACCAAGCATGTCCTCTGAGGTCTGGTTGCCAGCGGTCATGAAGCTCATAAATGTAGCTTCAAGCCTTTGTAATAGATCCTTCCCTCACACAGTAACGAACATTGCAACCCTTTGTTGGTATAGGAATGCTAAGCGACTGATCAACGTTTTGCAGCTTCCATGCACAGAACTGTGTATCATGTACAAGTGGATTGCTTGCTCGAACTGGTGGAGATCCCGTAAAGTATGGAGGAGAAGCCTGTAGATTGCATTTCTAGCTTAATTTGGAAGCACATTTGAGCAACAGCCAAAAAATATGGGGTAAAGAGAAAAGAGATAAGCTAACCTTGCTCATAATGAAATCAGAAAGATCCTGTGTTAAATCATACTCCTTATATGACCTGAACAGCAAAATAAATCACCGATGCTATGCAGTTAAAATCAAAATACCCGAACTTATCTGAATATGAAAAATTCCAGATGAGAAGTGAGTGTGTCAATAGAGTCAAATTGAACATGCAGAACACAAACGGCAATGTACTCAGCCAAAGCAAGATGATTCAAGCAATCCAACGCAGCAATAGACAATTAGACACTATGATGAAATGAATTTGATAACATGTGATCTATTAGAATATTGAGGGTGTGTTCGCTACCAGGGGATGGGAATGTGCGCAGTGCGCACGGAAAACGGGACAGTCTATTAGCACGTGATTAATTAAGTACTCCGTTTTTTAATGTATGACGCTGTTGACTTTTCGACCAGCGTTTGACCATTCGTTTTATTCAAAATTTTTGTGCAAATATAAAAATATTTATATCATGCTTAAAGAATACTTGATAACGAATCAAGTCATAATAAAATAAATGATAATTACATAAATTTCTTGAATAAGACGAATGATCAAATGTTAGACAAAAAGTCAATGGCGTCATACATTAAAATATGGAGGTAGTATTTGCTTTTTTTTTCAAAAATAGATTAATTTGATTTTTTAAGCAACTTTCATATAGAAACTTTTTTTTAAAAAAACACACTGTTTAGTAGTTTGAAAAGTGTGCGTGCGGAAAACGAGGGAGAGGGGTTGGGAAGAGAGGCATCCGAACACACCCTGAGGGTATTTGACAATGTTTGTTTATACCACAATTGTCTTGTGGACAAAGAAATTTAGATTTAGAATCATATTAAAACCAGTTAACCGGATTGTAAGTATACCTGCCACTCTTGCGTGGTACTGGACATCTTATCGCTCCAGCCCTGCTTGTAGTGCTTTGGCAGGATTTCATCATTGTTTCTGTTCTCAGCTTCTCTAGCTCCCTCATTTCCTCAATAAAGCCTTTTGGGTAAGATGTAACCAAAGTATGAGCAGTCAGTAGTGGTTCCTTGTACATTGAAACAATGCATACCAAGTTAAAGCATGGCTAGAACCTGATGAAGGACTCGCGGTGTTCAGCAGATGTTCCATGCCCATGACAGTCAGTCAGGAATAAGATTTAAGATCAGCAAAGTCCCTGCACAATCAATAATTCCTCAAAATGTAGAATAAATCAAGAGTAAAGAAATACTTTTGAGTCTAATTGCAGCATTAACATCAAATAATCAATAGGACTTAAGAAAATATTTTTCCACTGTATTTTTACATGCCAATAAAAGTTACAATATCTCTGATAGGAACAGTTCATCCCAAGAGTCACATGTACTCCGTATGACAATATAAGAAATTTTATCTTACTTAATCAGGAGTTGTCATGAGAAATGCAAAAATCTTTAATGCAGCGCAGTTGCGCCCATTGCCCAATATATAAAAAAACCACTCTTCTACAGAAGCAAATTCTAATAAACACATACTCCTAGGTGAATTGGGAATTGATTGCCTATACCATATATGTAAGATTTTTTTCACTCCAAATCTTGCTAATTTTGGACCATTCAATTAAGATCAACCGTTGCACATCAGACAAGAGACAACCCTACTGATCTCCCCTCACAACAACCTCACCAGCGAACCCGCCGCTCCCACCTCCCTGCCCCCGCTCCATGCGCCGCCATCTCTTCGCCTCACAGAGACACCAGCGAGGCCCTCGGGACAATGCTCCCATTCCCATTTCGCTGCTGCAGCAGCCTCACCGGCCCCGTGTTCCCTCTTAGCGAGGGCTCCCACCACCCAGAAACCTTAACCTTGCTGGCCACTGGAGCAAAGGCGGATTTCGTCGAAGGTCACCAGCCCACGAATCATCATGGGATAGATCCAAAAAGATGAGAAATTTGTAAGATTCTGTGACAATATTCCGCAACCAATCCTCTGATAGGTCCAGATACACACACAGCAAAAGGCCCTAAAAGAAAAATCATACTTTTATACACAAAATCGTCGGTGCAAGATTCTTTAATCTGGCGATTTTGATTTGCACCGCAGAAACTGAACCTCGCGCCTTTCTCCCCCAACATATCCCCACAGATTTGAACCCTCACCCCGAAATACCTCAATCCTACGGCGACATAGAGATTAATCTACAGAAATCCACGGAAAGAAACCACAAAGAACCACGAGGCGTAAGGCCCCACGCAAAGCAACTAGATTGGTTACCAATCTCATCTCATCTCCTACAAAGAAGAGCGCAAGAGAACTGACCTGAACCGCGGGAATCGAGAGGAGGGCGGAGAAAGGGGAGGGTGGGGAGGAGGGGAGAAGAGACACCGAGGCGCACAGCCCCCCCGCCTCCGGCTCGCCGCGCTCCCCGCTCGCTCGTCCGTTCGTCCGCTCGCTCGCGAGGCGAGAGAGGGGAGGAGAGGCAAGGGCTATATTTATGCGGCGGGCGAGAGAGAGATTGGGCGAGCTGAGAAGGAGGCCGTGGCGAGGCGGCGGCGAAGATAAGCGCAAACACGCAGCGCCCCGCGAGAGAGAAAGAGAAAGAGAGAGGGGGGAAAGAACGGCAGGTAGGAGGCCTCGCGTGCGTGCGGTTGTGTGAATGTGTGTCATGTGCGGTTTGGTTTGGTTTGGTTTGGTTTGGTTTGCGCGCGCGACGCGGGGTGGGCTCTGGCTCTTGGCGGTCGGCATCACCCGCGAGGCGCGGCGCGGCGCGAGACGACGGGCGCTTTTTTGCGGTTGCGTGCGTGCGTGCGTGCGCACGCGAAACCGGGGCCGTTGATAGTAAAGATTGTTACGGGACGCGAACCGGTGCACGGCGACGTCGTCGAGATGCGTTGCGCGGGGGAGTGGGAAGTGCCGTGCGGCTGCGTCACGGTCACGGGTCGTGAAGGGGTGAACGAGATTGGGCAGGATACGGTGCGGGTGCGGCGTGACGTGGGGTGGGCTGGGGTTGGTGGAGTCGTGGGCTTTTTGCAGTTTTGCACGCACGTTTCCTTTCCTCTCTCCCTCTGGCGGGGACCGGACCACACACGTACGGAGGAGGATACCCTCGTACACGGTAGTACAACATACGTCCATACCACTCATCCTGCCAGTGCTGGTAGTTCTCTATCAATATAGGCCATGTTTAGTTTCTCTCCACCAACTTCGAACTTTTAACTTTCCATCACATCAAAAACTTTCGTACGTAAATGAACTTTTAACTCCTTTTTTTTAAACTACCAACTTTCTTTAAACTTCCTGGTAGTAAAACTTTATGAAAGGGTATGTATCTTAATGGTTACAGTGACCTGAACAGCACCCTAAGATCCCGAGTTGAAATCTTCTTATGAGCAAATTTCATATTGGGTTATTTGAGTGTTGATTTTTTTAAAAAAAAAGGTTACCTACACGTGAATCATCGAATTTGGAATATTGGAATAAAAAATACCCAACAAAAACTAATACAGGCCTTCACCCTCATACATCAAATAGCTTGTTCTAAAAATATATCATCACAGGTGGCGAGCAAGTAGAAGATAATGTTGGCAATAACACACTGAGAGTGAGATAGGAATCAACTTCATTTCTAGAAGCAACGAGCGTGCGAGTCTAATAATATATGTAGGAACCAGGACCAAACAATCGATAATAAGCGTTATAGTTCAACTACACTTTATTTTACATAGTGTCCACCACCATTTGAAAACTTATAAACTTTATACAAATTGGTTCATTTTATCGACAAACGGAAAAATCATCTACACTTCAAATTCTCAGTGGAACCATCAATCGACCGTAGTGGGAACTGGATCCTCTTATATAGCTGCTCGCTAAGTCAGAGGGACATCGGATGCACCAGCGACATCCGTTCCACATCGGTCGATATAACAAGCAAGACGGATGACCATGCTCGTGTCTGGCCCCCAGCAAAATTAAGACGACCCATTTGAATAAAGAGTTTATTTTAGAAGCCATAGCCACCAATAGCTCGTTGTCGCTCACCGTCTCAGGTGAAGCTTGCAGAAGCCATGACTGCTGACAGTTCGTTACCGCTTGCCGTCTTCTCCGGCGTAGGCGTGGTTGGAGCGGATCCCCGAGGAAGCCCCTCCCCTCCATGGTGCCCTCCTTCCCATCCCTTGCACCCATGTCCCTTGCCGGCGCCCTCCTCCCCATACTTTCGCCACCACCTACATTAAAGCTCTACCATTTACTAACGAGAAAGAGGCAAATACTTAGATATACATTTTCGTTATTAAATCAGTTGTTTATTCTTTATGGTGGATTTTGATCAATAGGTTAAGACTTGCACATATATTAGATTGCGTAAGTTCCCCTGAGACAGCGAGCAACAACGAGCTATAGGCAATTATAGCTTTTACAATAAGCTCTTTCATCAAATGTGATGTCTCGGTTTTATTGGTATGAGTCAAACACGAGCTCGTTCGGCTATCTAACTCGTTATCCAATACGAAACGGAAATCGCTGGTATATTACGTCAGAGGATCCGATTCCGCTATAGTGACACATGTCGGTGAACATAGCACATACCTGAGATTGAGAGGAATTGAAGGCATCATCACAGCTGACACAGCCATTTGCCCGAGGAAACAGGTCGTCGCGTCCCAACCCAACGACACCTGCAAACACAAGTCACCGAGAGACGAGACGCCTTCCGCCTTTCTTCTCCCAACGCTTTCCCTTCTTCCCTCCCAATCCCAATCCCTCCCAAGAACGCTCCCCCCGTGTCCTCCTCGATCCCAATCCTCTCCTCGCTTGGCCCTCCTCGTGCTCGCGGATCGACCCACCCAACCCAGCTGATGATTTGCTCCGGCCGCCTTCTCATGCTTCCTTTTGCCTGATTTGTTAGGGAGGCTGGAAGCCAAAAGGCAGCGGCAATGCCGGAGTGTCCAGCGAGGGAGCGGTTCTCCGCGCTCCGCGGCGCCCGGTGGCGCGCCGATCTCGGCGTCCTCCCCGACTGCGCCTCCGTGTCCACCGAGGAGTTCCGCCGAGCCGCCGCCGACTCCCGCCGCAGGTCAGGGCCCTCGGGGAATTCCAGCTCCGTTCTTGGAATGCTTTGGTGACCCCGGCGATGCTTTCCTTGCTTGGAATGCTTAGCTATGCAGCGATTCTTTAATTCGTTTTGCGATGTATGGTTTCTTAGATCATCTATCCCCGTTAGTGTGTTGATTACGCTTAATGGTAATGAGCTGCTTAGCTATGAATTTACTATTTGCCACTCTCTCAAAATGCCAGTGCTCAAATGCCACTCTCCCAAATTTTCATTCCCAAATGCCACCCGGGCCCACATGTCAGCCTCACCCTCCATTCAAACTTAAGCTTTACATATGCCAATTTGATGTTTCATTTCTCTGGGCATTCGATGACGGTGAATGTTGTATGGTATTATACTGTTATGAATTACTCTACTTATTAATATGGGGGGCAAAAGAATTCAAGTTTGTTAGGTTCGAAGGTTTTTACTCCTGGTTTTGTAATTTGTTTTTGTTGTAGGTATGCTAATTTGCGGCGGCGGCTGTTAATAGATCCCCATCTCTCTAAGGATGAAGAAAACGCTCCTGACCTTGCTGTGGAAAATCCACTATCACAGAACCCAGGTGGGTTTGCTTTTGCCCTTCAGTAAATGTTACTTCTCTGAGTTGCCATTACTTGCATCACCAGGCATAAATACTTGTTGATTTAGTCTGTTACATAAGATGGTCAGTGGTGTTTTGTTAGTCCCACAGTGATTGCTGAAACAATACTGCCAAACATTCTGTTATTAACTGTTTGTTTATACAGTTGGTGCTAGAATAACATAGGAAGGTCAGGGTGGATGAGGGGAGGAGGTGGTAATATGTTAATTCAGATACTCTAAGCATAGGTGATTGTTTTAAGTCCGTTGAGCTGCCAGAAACCTTGTTTTGTTGCTACATCATCACAACTTCAGGTGATAAGTGATAACTGATTGCTCACAATTAGCAGAACTCATCAGTGGGACATTTTCTTGATTCAGCACTATCCTAGGTGATATAATAAAGTGGCGTCAGTCGCATGTTTGGTGGCATCTTTCTTCACAAACTGATCACTATTTAGTTTCATTATATTGTGTTATTTGGTTCTAATCATTATGTCTCGTGAATGCAGAAAGCACTTGGGGCCAATATTTCAGAAATGCAGAACTAGAGAAAATGTTGAACCAAGATTTGTCTCGGCTCTACCCTGAATTGGGAAATTTCTTCCAAACAACCATATGTCAGTCCATGCTTGGACGTATACTGTTAGTTTGGAGCCTTAGGTACCCAGAGCTCGGTTACAAACAAGGTAAGCCATTGATGTGTACACTTCTCATGTGACCTAACAATCACAGATTCCATCTAAAGACACAATCTTGCAATATGATGTTCCTAAACCGAGGCAGCAGCTTTGAAATAGGCCAAGTGAATTGGTTACTAGGTTTGGCAATTGGTAATGTAATATTGTTGAAGTCCATGGGCATAGCACGTTGAACATAAGTTTGTTTGGACTATAGAAGTAATAATAATAATTTCTTCCATATAGGCGAATATAAGTCTTCATCAATAATCAACACTTGAAACTAGGTACTAATGTTCTAATTGCACTAAAGATCCATCTGTCCTTGTAAATTTGTCGACATCAATCACATTCCTTCTTTCTGCAGGAATGCATGAGCTCTTAGCTCCTCTTCTCTATGTCCTCCATGCTGATGTGCATTACTTCAAACAAGTCAGGGAGCTTCATGATGAGCTTTTTAGTGATGATTTTGATGGCCAAACATTTCCAGATAGGATAAAACTGAACAGGAGTGACAGGACAAACACAATTGAGGGTAGTGCAGCTAAAATAAGAAGTTTGGATGATCTTGATTCTGATACGAGGGACCTTTTCTTGATTAATGATGCTTATGGAGCAGAAGGGGAGCTGGGTATTATTTTGTCTGAAAAGTTCATGGAGCATGACGCTTATTGTATGTTTGAGAGTTTGATGCATGGTTCGATGAATGGTGCACAAGGTGTGGTTGCTATTACTGACTTCTATTCTCTCAGTCCTGCACCAGAATCAAGCACAGGTTTAACACCTGTAAGGGAGGCATCATCTGCAATATATCACTTGCTTGCTAGTGTGGATTCCCCTCTTCACAGTCATTTGATGGAGTTGGGAGTAGAGCCTCAGTACTTTGCGCTACGATGGCTGAGAGTTCTATTCGGTCGTGAATTTTCACTTGACAATCTTCTGTTTATTTGGGATGAGATCTTCTCATCTCCTAACCATTCATATTGTGCAGACATAAAGAATCAATCAGACTATCAGTTTAAGATTTTATGTTCTCATCGTGGTGCCCTGATTTTGTCAATGGCAGTTTCAATGATGCTCCATCTCAGATCTTCCTTGCTAGGAAGTGAACATGCAACTTCATGCCTAGTAAGATTGTTAAATTTTCCTGGAGACACTGACTTAAAGAGCTTGATTGATAAAGCCAAATTATTGCAACCTTTTGCTCTTGAAGCAAATCTTCCTTCATCTCCTCTCAGAGGAAAATCTCCCTTGAATCCACCCAACTACTGGGAAGAGACATGGAAGATACTCCAGATGTCAGAAGAGAAAAGAAGTGGTGGTTCAATTAATAGGATGAAGGTAAGAGGTTTGTTCAGAAGAAGTTCCCCCAACACTGAATCAAATGTTTCGAGAACCAAGGATGCTAATTTTGAAGATAGCAATTCGACTTCAGGTACGCAATCTACTGCTGATGAACATCACAGATCTGGTATAGTTCCAGTAAATTTGGTAAATGGTACACTTCACACGCCTATAAGAGAACGAACAAGTCATGTTGAACAATGTACTGCAGAGAATATGATCACCACCTCAAACAATGTATTGGAGGCAGGACAGCCTGAAGTTCACCGCTCCAGTTCTGTTGATGTTAGAGATGCTCTTGGAGTTGCATGTGGAAATTTATCAAGAGACAGCAGTACCTCGTTATCATGTGGTACGGAGTATGACCATGAGACTCATCATGCAGATGAGCCATGTGCTTCCCATGATGATAAGGTGGTTAGTGAGCCTGATCCACTCCCTGTGCATAATGATAAGATTGATGAAGTGACAATCGCAGCCATTCAAACATGTGCATTGGTCGATTATCAGCAATCACAACAGAATAAACCGTGTTCTGTTAATGGGAAATCAGAGGTAAAATATCAACAAAATTTTGCTGTGCATGAAGTTGGCCGCAAAGAAACATTTGAACTAGGTTCAAGCTCAGATGTGGCTGATAAAGAGCTACTTGGAACATTAAGGTTACTTGGGGAATCTATGGTTGAAAACATTGAGGTAACCATGCTTGACAGGAAGTTCTTGATTTTAAGATTTAAAGTACAAAAATGTTATTTCCACTTGAGAGTAATTCATTGCTATATACCCTACCACTTTCTGAACAAAACACCGTGAGCATATATGTAATATAACTTAACATGGTTGATGCATTTTCATCTTAAGATCCTACTTTATGTTGGTTGCGTGTATAATAATCCCTATATTCTTCAACTTAACAATTGAGTTGGCAGTATAGTTCATAATCCCATATATAGATTCCTTTATTTCAGTACTGTCCTCCTGTTTTTTTCTAAGAAAAAACAAAAGATTAAAAAAAACATGGTGGTGTAACTTCAGACTATAAAACTATGCTCAGACCATGAGAATGTTATGCTATATACTTTTTTTATTTGGCTGATTTTCTGGCTTTTGTCAGGTTATTGACTTGTTGTTTCAACCAAATTTGCACTCTACCTCACTGGATAAATCAGAGGAAATTGTTCTTGGTAGTATAGAGCAAGCTAAAGCAAAAGCAGCTCTAGAAGGTCTCAAGAAGATTAGTGAACTTCTACGACGAATCTAACGTGTATATTTGTGGAAACTCGCAAGAGTAGCTCTAACTACCTGTTCCATACTTCCATGATATATTTTCATTTTTTTTCACACAAGTTCTAACTTAACAGAATTGTTGTACTGAACGAACAATGGATAAATGGTCCAATTGCTTTGTAGATATTTTGTACATGTTCCATGTAAGCTGATGAAATCATCACTGTATATTTGAACAACTCTTGGCTGATTTTGAAGTGCTGCTGGCCTTCCGATTTTATATGGCTTTGCTTTTAGCATTGGCAGACCCAATGATGGATAAGCAATGTTTGTTCATATCCTTTTTCCGGCCCCATTGTTTGGCAGCATATTTGCAAACGAGAAGTAATTTGTAAATAAAACTTTTATATACGTGTTATTAGTGACCTAAAAGCAAAGGCTGAAAAATAAACTTCGATGAAAAAAACTCAAAATCAGCTTTAAATTTAAGGTTGAAAATTCAAATGTTATCTGATAAGCATAAGCATAAACGAAAGAGATGGAGCCATTCATCTGTATGTTTTGATAATGAGGAAACACACATGATTGGTGTCCTCTCATGTGTTGAACTTTGTTTACAATATTATGCTCCTTTTATCCGGTTAGAATTTTGATCTTGATCGAGCAGCAATGTAAAGATCTATGCATTCAACATCAATAGAAGAGTTATACCGTGTCAGCATACTTGCACTGCATAAGCTTCATCATCCCCATTTTTTTTCCCCTGAAGAAACCTTCATCAAGATTTTTTACATGGCACAGAGCCACACAGATCATGGAACCGTGACCGAGATTGTAAATCTGTAAGCGCAAGATCGTGTAAAAAAATATGCAACAGCAAAATCTCCAAGCAATAGTTATTCATAATGCCCCGTCAACACGTTGTGGTTTTTTTTTTTTGGTAACTCCGTACATAGTGAATTCAAAAGCCAAAGGTCGATATAACTACTTTCTCATCTTAGAAGTACAAATGCTCCCGTTTGTTTTCTCATCTTAGTTAAGCCTGATTCCATCCTGCTGCAAGCAATGAATGATGTCAGTCAACAATACCCAAATGACAGCAAGAAGAAACAAGCATTCTGAAACTTAAGTAGTGCTTGCAAATTGGCACGAAAATACTACTAATGCAGCAAAGGTTACCAAAAAATGTATAGAATATTATACAGTGTGAATACTGAAATTTGGTGTTAACCAAATCGAGTAAAGATTTTCTAAGAAGTTAACAATACAGATCAAAGTACAAAGAACCATAGGCTCCCCTTGTAGCCTTACCAATACTCTTGGCAAGACAAGAAAAAAACTTGCACACCTAAGACAAGCTCATCCTCCCAGTTAAAATGATGAATAAACACCTATGAAGTCACTATAACCTAAACTTCAACAAGCTTCCTCACCATAGAAAAACTGAGTTGCCAATCTACATCATCAGTTACTCTAATTGTAAATGACTCTTTTGGAAAGCATGTCCACTGGCACAAACAAAACCTAATTTTTCCATCAACAAATAATCCAACAGGAGACCTATCACTCGCGAAAATAAAGAGAGAACCTATCATGCCACATTGCCACATCAATTAACAAATTTCTCCAATTAGTAAACAACCGAACCAAGTAAACACCCCCAAAGCGTCACATTAACCAATCGACTGACAAAAATTCCTGAAGCTCACCAATCACCATCATTCACTTATTCAAGTTGCACAACCGTTACTCTATTTACTTTCTGGACCAATGCCATAAGAAGAGGCTGCCAAATTTCTTTGAGGTAGGCTCATGCCAAAACATAGTAGGTAATCAAATTGCACCTAATTGACCACCTAAATATGTCTTAGTACAAACAATGAAGTTAGGACAATCTCACACCTGTTACAATCAAAGCAATCAAGCCCAGGCGCCATCATATATGAGGAATTCAAAATACAAACATCTGTGGTTTCAGGTTGTACTCAATCCTGAGCATCAATATCCTACTCCTCCATTTTACCTATCAATATTATCAGCCAACCACACTCTCAAAATTACATAGGTCTACTATACTATACATCAATTCCTAACTTTGCAAACCGCTGAATCGCATGCTTGTACCAAGGCTGCATATTTTTTCCCACTTTGTCCAAAATAAAACATACAACAGAGTTCACAAGGCATCCAAAAGCTAAAAATTCAGAACTATTTATTGAATCCATAATCAGGTATACGAATCGCATGCTTGTACCAAGGCTGCAATTTTTTCCCCATAATCAGGTATACGAATCGCATGCTTGTACCAAGGCTGCAATTTTTTCCCCACTTCGTCCAAAATAAAACATACAACAGAATTCAGAAGTCATCCAAAAGCTAAAATTTCAGAACTATTTATTGAATCCATAATCAGGTATACAGGAGATCGATTAATTAATACTCCAAATTACACAGCAACGATTCAAACTTATAACCTAACAAACGAGCACGCTTCACCGGAAACGGATTCCAATTGCGCCAAAAAAAAAAAAACTCACCGCCTCAGGCGACGGCGACGGGGCGCGGGGCCGGCTTGTGCGGGGGCTCCTTGGCGTCGGCGAAGTCCTCCTCGTTGTAGACGACGGTGAGGAAGAGGGAGCAGGAGGGGCACCGCGCGATCTCCTCCCCGAGGCGGAGGTCGGCGAGCGTGATCTGGAACAGGTCGCCGCAGGGGCACGGGTACGTGTACGCCCCGAGCTCCGCGTTCCACTCCATGTCCTCGATCTCCACCTCGTCGTACGCCGACATCTCCCGCCGCTCGCCGCGCGCCCAACCACACACACAAACCCTAGCTCCTCCCGCGAAAGCTTCGGATTTTTCGCGCCGCCGCCTCTCCAACGAAAGAGGGAGTTGAGTCGCGTACACGACAAGGGTAAAGGCGGCGGGTAATTTTCGAATAACCCCTTGCAATAATTTTATTTACGGATAGGTCCCTAAGCCGACTTGGGGCAAAACCGGCGGAGGCAGCCTGCAGTTTTCCGAAATCCGAACCGGATACCGTGTAATTTGCGGAAAAGCCCTCGGATTACTGCTATATTTACCATCGGCTCCCTCCCACTCTCCTCCTCTCAAACCTTCGCGACACCACCACGCGTCCGCGGCGAGCGCCACCGGTTTGCGAGCTCTCCGGCCACCGCCGCGTCGCGTGTCCATGTCGGCGTCGTCGCGCGCGCTCTCCCGGGCGGGGTTCCTGGCGCGGCGCGGCGGGATCGGGATCCTCGCCGCCGCCCGGTGCGGCTACCACACCCGGCGCCGGCTGCCGCTCACGGCGGCGGAGGTGGTCGAGGGCGGCGGCGCCGCCTCCGCGGCGGGGGGCGCGTCGACGTCGGAGGAAGCCGGGTCGTCGTCGAGCGCGATGGCGCGGCGGATGGAGGAGGCCATCGACGGCGCCATGGCGCGGATGTCGGAGCCCGAGTGGGCGCCGTTCCGGCCCGGGACGTCGTACTACGCGCCGCCGCGGCCCGCCGGCGCCGCCCGCGGGTTGCTGGCGCTCGTCAGCCACGCCGCCGCGAGGATGGGGCCGGTGCCCCGCGCGCTTTCCGCCGACGAGGCGCGCGCCGTCGACGCCGCCTCCCGCGGATTCCCCTGCACGACCTACTTCATCGATGGTAAGAGTTCTTCAGAATCTAACCATTCAGGGATCTCGATTTCCCCCATATTGCTCATGCTGCCTAATCATGAAATTTTTCAACAAACTCGCGCAAGAACTACTCGAATTCAGAGCAAATTTGTGACTATTGTCTATTCATTCATTGTTTCCTTATCCCTTCGGCAATTCCTAATCATGAAACGCTTGAACAAACTCGCACAAGAACTGCTCGAATTCGGAACAAATTTGTGACTACTCATTGTTTTCCTTATCCATCCTGCAATTCCTAATCATGAAATGCTTCAACAAACACGCACAAGAACTGAGCAGAACAAATTTGTGTATTTCATTGTTTTCCTTATCTCTTCTGCAATTCCAGTCTAATTTGGCTTGCCTATTTAGTATCTACCCTACTGTTCTTGCACTTAATTTTGCACCGTTGCTCATTTTTAGCTTATTTAATGATCATGCAGGACACTTTCCGGATGAAGTGGAGCGCTCGGATGTCATTCCAGCTGAAGATGAATGAGCGAAATTCCAGCTGAAGATGCATTAGTGGAAGCCAAATCAGCCGAAGACGAATTCAAGCTTTGCCTGTTTCATGTGCTAGTATTTGTTTTCTGCTGTTGTACAAATGTAGAATCCAGAAATTCATGAGCTACTGTGAGGGAATAAAAACGCAGGAATCCATGTAGCTCATCTGGTTATAATATGTAAGACTCATCAAACAAACTATAAAGAGATTAATAATTACCACCCTTTTCTTGGTATTATCTGAGTTGGTTGGTGAAATGAAGAGTGGAGCATAACATGTGATTTTGGTACATCGACATTTGAATGATCATATCAGTTTCCAAATGTGAGTATTACATTGCATCGTCAGGATGCAGTATTGAAAATCGTCGGACTATACAAGTTGCTCCTCAAAATTGGAAAAGGAGATACGATCAAAAATCGGAGGGTGATACAGAAAAGAATGTGCGAATTCAGACTAAATTTGAATTGTTTTGCTTTGGAGGATTAGCCATCGCAACAAGGCCACCGAATGGATCACCAAATGGATTGGATAATCCATCATGAGAAGGAAGAGCAGAATACTGTGTCTGCTGCTGCTGATGGTATGTTTGCGGCGGCAACGTCACCATTTGCTGCTGTTGCTGAATCTGATAATACTGCTGCTGCTGCTCCTGATAATCCTGATGCTGCTGTTGCATCATGGCTAACTGAACATTCGACGGTGGCGCGAAGTTATTAGACATTGCAAATGGATCGTTGGGATCAAATGGGTTTCCTGCAACGCTGCCGTTGTAGGTTGCACTGGCTATTTGCTGCCTCCTTGCTTCATCTTCATACAGGCTGTCTAGCAGTAGCTTGTCAAATCCTCCAGCCTGTTGGGCAAATGCAGATAAGTTATTAGCTATTGACTGATTTTAGTAGTAACTTGGTATCAGCTGCAAATTATGATTATCCTTCTTGCTAGTATTGAGCTTTCTGAAATCCTGTATAGAGTGGTAAAAAATACAGCAACTAGAAAGAAGATAATTACCAACTGATTGTCAACTGGTCGACTTGTGTGGGTACTTGGTGCGGTAACCAGTGCCAATTCCCACCCAGACTTGTCCAGCGCAAACAAATCTTGTGAAGCTGAGGCCTTGTTTTCATTCCCTGAACCATCCATAGTACAATATTTAGTAGCAGATACAATCTTTAGAAACTAAAAAACAGTATCCGCACATGAAAATAGGATCGACGATGATAAAATGCATTCAATGCTGAGGTGTTGTCCTTATCAGCTACTTAGCCAATTATCCTATATGACAAATATGAGTGAAAGTAGTATATCTGAACCAGAGATTGCATCTAGTATATACCTGGTGCCACAATTGCAAGAGCCAGTGCATTACTTTCTTCAATATTTGCAATCAGGGGGTTTACTTCTTCGTCGAAATTCTGCACGCAACATAGAAATCAGCGTGGAGGATGCGATGAAATAGGCACTGAGTTGGAGGAGATGGAACTTACTAACAGATCCCCAGTAGTTGCTAGTGGTACCGGCTCTGTTCCTTCCACGGACTCAGCTGTAGGCTGTGGCTCTTCTTCAGGCTCTGAAGGTTCTTGTTCCTCCTCATCCACTGGTTTCTCTGTTTCCTGTGGAGCTTCATCTTCGTTATCACTAGGTGAATTCTGCTCCTCGCTTTCCTGTTTCAGCAGCAGAAACAAATCAACAGAACTGCTGTGGAATCTTCTTTCTGCTATGACCTTCTCTTTGTAGTTGTACCAACCGTTAACGCACTCACCAAACTTTTACTTGCTATGCTGACACGGGGTGCTTCTCTGATGTACTCTTCCATTGTTATAAGGAATGAAGGGGGAGGCTGCATATGGGTAATCCATCAAAACACCATGAAATCATTGTAACTGGAGATTTAGCAGATAGGAAATAACTGAAGTGTAATATTTATACATAGGAATAGGCAAATAGCCAAGAAAAAAGTAAAGAAAACCGTAGGCCATTATCACGTAAATGTGATTTTGACAACGGGTACTAATTAGGAATGTTTGGTATATCAGGATATTCGTGCTTCTTTCCGCGTCCGATAAAACTATTTCGTTTTATGTAGAAGTAATGAACCTACTGAAGTCAAGATTGGGAAGGATTCTTCAATTTAAAACAGGGATGAATCACTGAATGAATGTACCTGCCTCAAAGTAGGAAACTGGAAAGTCCTTGCCAATTCAAGACGTTTGCAGTGCTCATAAAAAGCAGAAAGCTTTTCTGCCTGTTGAACAGGAAAAATCATACCATAGAGTTAAAAAAAATAGTAAGTTGACGTAGCTATATGCTACTCCTCGCTACAGAATATCACAAATGAGAGCTTTATGTACCTGATAGCCAGCTCGTTTATAAATTTCAAGTGCCTTGATAGCATCATATTTTTGCATATCGAAATACTACATGAGATCAGAAACCAAGCTTATGTTCACAAATTGTTGCTCCACATATGCAAAACACTTGGGAGGATATCAAGAAGAACTGTCAGTGTACCATATCAACAAGATTGATGATGCCATCATTGATCGAACAGTATATTTTGAAGCTCTCCTTCAAAACCTAAGGCCAATAAAAAAAACCTCCACAATAGTAGTAGGAATCACGCACTTGCTGTGAATTAAAATTGTAATGAAAAGGGGATATCTTTATGGCAAAGTTTGAAACTTACAAGGGCCAATGCATATTGTACAAGATAATTTGTGCAGGCTGCACCTTCAGGCTGCAACAACAAAAATGATGGACTTGACGAGATAATAATATTGGAGAACAGGGTAAGTGCATGTGAGCTTGATAAAATTAAACCTGACAAGAAATGAGCCTGAGTAGTAGTCTCTGCAATGCAGGCAAGTGATCTAAAAGATCTCCACATGGTAGAGTTCTTGTTCTGCTGTGTGCCTGGAATTAATTTATCAAGATTTCAACATTACAACCATGAAATCAGCCAGTCAGAATTCTGTTAACGCTGTTCGACTATCTGTATCCAACTTAGAAATCTGATGTCACCTTGCCAGAAGCTTGGGGTAATTTCACCAGGCGATCCGCTTCAACATCATATTTTAGAATTCTAAAGCACTCGACCCGTTCATCTAGATAGGACGCATATGTGCGCACCCAAACAGAGCAATCCCAAGCTGACTTAAGTAGGGTGGAGAGCATCAGTTCAGATGTGAAACTAGGATAGAGAGATCTCTTATAGTTCAGAGAAAAAAAAATCACAAACCTAAAGGGCTCGAATCATCCTTGAATTGTGGAATCTGCAAAATAGTTCCTCTATAAGAATAGTTCAAGAAGTCTTCTTTAAATGTCCCATCACCTTCTCTGAGCAATCTATGTATCACTATCAATGTTTTTAATGCGACCTACAAAAACAAGATAAATAGCTGTTAACATCTGAATTTTTTTTTCTCACCCTTATTTTGAAAATTCCAAACAGGAGCAATTCTCAGTAGCTATTCATTGGAAAACAAAAGAATGAACAGAACCAAATGGAATATGCTTAAAAAATCAGGGACCATCAGCATAAACCCACAATCCAGTTCTTGGTCTTGGATAATCTCCTAGCCAATGTACATATTGAGTAACCAACATCGGATCGCGGTCGATTCGCCGAGGTCGCAAAGAGTATCTCTGCATCCAGCAATAAATAAATAAATAAATAAATAAAATAAAACCTAGCAACATTTGGTGAACCAGAATTGGATATGGCCATATGGGGAATTTGCTTGCATCCCACCCCCAAGAACAGAAACCACTCACTCCTGAGGTATCGCTCCTTGGGCGGGCACTCTACGTGGTTGGTTGCCTTCACAATGGCGATATCCAAATCCTGCCAAAATTCCATCAAGAAAACAATGTAGGTATCAGATCGATCAGGGTAACAACCAACCAAACAAATCTGAAATGCACATTACGCAGCAGTGTTGTGGCGGATCGATGGAGGGGATAGGATTTGGGGAGGGAAAGGGGGCTGACCTTGTACTCGCTGTTGAAGTTGGCGAGGCCGACCTTGGTGGAGTCCTTGAGCGCGCCGTAGGCCTTGCGCCAGGTTCCGGGCCCCATATGCTGCCCTCGCCGTCGCCCGCCGCCGCCGCCGCGCCCGCAGCCTCGCGCAAGGGGGGGGGGGGGGGGGGGTGGATCGAACGGTGTGCCAATTTTAGCTGGGAGACGAAGAGGAAGAGCGAGACGAGGGGAGGCGAGGCTCGCGCGTTGGTGGTGGTGGTGGTGGTGGTGGAAGCTGCCCGGCTACTTCGGCGGTTGCTAAAAATGAGAGGGATCCATCGGCGCACCGCGCCATGGGTGCCTACTCAGATGATCGAAGCATTCGATTCAGCACAAGCGAGCACGCGCGCGCGCGCGCACTGATCATGTCCTCCTCCGGCGGCGGCGGCGATCGCCGTTGCTTGTGCCGAGATGATGCGCCGCCGGCGTCCGGCGAGTGAACCGGACGCGGAGAGCTTCCCAGTTCCAGTAATAAATCGAACACTATCGAACCAGAGTTCAATTTATTACTACTGCTTTTAATTTGATTAAATTTGGTATCATCTTATCAAAATTTGGTAGTTTTGAAAATTTTCTCGCATAAAAACACTATCGAATTTTGTAAAGAAATCAAACTAAATTCATCCAAAACCAACAAGATTCAATAAAGAAATTTTGGTTGGGATGATTTTGGCCACAAAGTGAATAAGCCCGTAACAACCCAGAGTAGGGTCTTTTTGCAAATAATCCAGGAAAGGGCTCATTTCCAAATAGTCCTGACGAAGCAGGTAGTCATTTGCTAAATTCCAGGTACATCAAGCCTATTGTTATTCCCGGCCCAGCCGATCATTGGGGGATGCTGCCGGCGCGGGCGCCAGCCGCGTCCTACGCGTTTCTTTTTTTTTTAGATCTCCTATTTTAACGTAATTTTTTTTCCTTTTTTAGATCGCTTTTTTTTCCAGATTTTTTAATCGCTTCTTTCTTTTCCACACGCGCGCATGATTTTTTTTAATATTTTATAAATTCAATCTTTCACCTTCAATATCAGAGCTTTGAATTTGAGTTGAAATGTTTCTAAAATTTAAGTTGAATGTTTTGAATTTTAAGATGAATGTTTTCAAATTTTATCAAATATTTTGAATTTTGAGGTGAAAGATTTTAAATTTGAGCTAAAAGTTTTCAAACTTGAGTTAAGTTTTCAAATCTTGACTTGAAATTTTTAAATTTGAATTGAGAGTATCAAATCTTTAGTTGAAAGTTTTCAAGTCCGAGTTGAAAGTTTTCAAATCTGAGTTGAAAGTTTTTAAATCTTGACTTGAAAGTTTTCGAATCTGAGTTAAAAGTTTTTAAATCTTGACCTGAACGTTTTCAAATATTGACTCCTACTCTTAGACGCGTGTGGTAGTTAACGGCAAAAAAAAAAAGAAGAAGAAAGAAACACAGTAGTTGCGCCTACTTGAAAAAAAGGGAAAAAAAGAAAAAAGAAGCGCGCAGGCTCGGTCGTAGGAGGACCGGCCATGTGGCACGCTCGCGACTTGGAGAAGTAGCGCGTACGCGCGAATTAGGATTTCTGCGATCATTGACAACGAAGCTGTCCGTCCCATGCGGTGGCCGTGTATATTGGAGTGGGCCAAAACTGGATTGCGGTGTCTGCACAACCCATACTATTTGGGCCGGAAACACGATTATGGCGTACGTGCGACCTATAAAGTTGGGCCAGAACGAAATTACGTGGTAATTTATACTACTATATTATAAGTAGCGTTGATTTTTCTATGTTAAACTTCTTTAGTTTGATTAAGTTCATACAAAATATAGTAATATTTTTAACATAAAATAAATATACTATCAAAAATACATTTAATGCTAGATTTAAGAAAACTAATTTTGCGCTATTAATGTTGGTATATTTTTCTATAAGAGAATCTTAAACATGTCATTGACAAGCACACAATTCTAAGAAATGCAATCGATGAGTACGAGTTCCATGAAATACCATTGTACAAGCGACTTTGTCTTAGAAATGTCACCACTGTTAGGTTTTCGTTAGCAGTCCTTCGTTAAAGTGCTATAGGATGAACCGTGTGCATTTTAACGACGTGGAATGGACATAATCCTATCGACGATGGTATTTCTGGGATAAAATTGTTTGTATGATGGTTTTATGAAAGTTGCACTCATTGATGGTATTTATTGAATTTGATGTTTGTCAATGGTATTTCTTGTATTTTTCTTTTTTTATAAACTTGATTAAACTTTTGAGAAGTTTATCTTTAAAAAGGCAAATCGATCGATAATATAAAACGAAGGGAGTATTATAGTGCTTGTCAAGACTCAAGAATGATTTATACACTTGTGCAGGTAACAACTAATAATATCTCTGCAGCAAACCTGTTTCTCTGAGAAGCATTAAGCAGTAGGACAATCCACTTATCTTGGAGGATACTTGAATCAGATGTATACGTGTGAATGATCGAGAATTCAAGATATGTTCTAGTTTAGTTTAGGGTTGGAAATTGGTTTGAGGTTGCATATTTGTACTCAGCGAGGACGATGAGCAGCCTCTTCTTCCATCTTACTGACGCAATGAACGAGAAAGCCGGTGCTTCGGTGGTACGGAAACTCTGAAAGTGATAGTCTGAACTTGATCAAGTCTTCATCAAGTCTTCAAGATCAGCACATTCACCCAGAAAACACATACTCCTAGTACAGTACATTTCAACTACTAATAAGTAAATACTGCTGGAGATCCAATTCATGTTTAGTCATTGCTTAATCAGTACATATTCGTGTATTGTGTATTCCTTTATGTGAAAAAGATTTCTAGGAGCTGGAAGTGTGGGCAAACTCCTCTTTTAACTTCCAAGTCATAAACCCTATATCAATCCATCATGCTCTGATATCCAATACAGGAGGCAAATATAAAAATGTCAAATCTCAAATTACACAAGGTAGTGCAAACTGTAAGCTTCTGAATTAATCTCAAATTAAAGTCATCCATTGCTAACTTCTGCATGATGACATAAGCCACTAAGGCTGCATGCTGATCTCTGACTCCACAACATTAAACTTTGCAAACAGTTTATGACTTTCTGTTATTCTGTGTGCATGTGCTATGATCCACAACTCCAGATATTTTCCCCCACACGACCAAACAGCATGTGAATGATGTGAGCCACAAATTTGTTCACAAGTCTAATCAAATCACCAATAATTAATTAGACCAATGTATGGTTCCCTATAGCACTATCATCTAATCACATATGTGAAGTTACAGCATTGGTAGCCACCTCTTTTTTTTCAAACAGAAAAGGAAAGAAAATCTACTACACCAATATTCTTGAGAGGCTAGTCACGAGATTTAGTTCTACTTAACACTCTTTGTAATGGGAAAAGAAAAAGAGATCAAACAAAGCCTCTGCATAAGTATCATTTCTGACGAGCTGTGTCACTGACATGTGGGCCACCCAAGGCGTTGGGCGCTTCAGAACACGAGCACTCGTCCCAGCCCTCCTCGTTGTCCGCGGCGGCGCGCCGCCTTGCGCGCGCGCGGGCCATCGACGACGCCACCGCCGTGAGCAGCCTCGCCGGCACGTGCGCGCACGCCTCCAGCCGCCGCAGCGCGTCGGCATGGCCGGCGCCGGAGACGCCGGAGACGCGGTGGGCCGCCACCTCCCACCACAGCGCGGCCGCCATGGCGACGCGGAGCGGGACGCGCGCGGCGGCGACGTCCCCGCCGCACGCCCGGAGCGCGCGCCCGGCCGCCGCGGCGCGCCGCCGCGCCGCCCCCGCCGCGAGGCCCATCCGCTTGCCCCACCCCTCGAGAACCACCTCCGCGCGGGGCCGCGCCGCTGCCCTCGGCCTCCTCCTCCTCCCCCGCCTCGCCGCCGCCGACGCCGCCACGTCGGAGTCGGCCGTCGACACGCACGACGTGCTCGACGCCGCCGACGCCCCGGACTCATACCCCTCCTCCTCCTCCACCTCCACCACCACCACCGCCCCGGCCGCCACCCGCCTCCGGTGGTGCCGCGACGCGAGGAAGTTCGCCCCGTGCACCTTGGCGTCGCACGCCGCGCACAGGAACGCCGCGTCCGCCTCGCAGTGCACCGCCGCCGCCGCGCCACAGAGCGCGCACCGCTCCGCCTCGCCACCCATCCCCTCACCTCACCACACGACACGAGCTCTCTCTCTCTCTCTCTCTCTCTCTCCGATCGCGTCGCGCGCCGTGACGATGCCTAACCACCCCACGTGGCGTGGCGCGCGTATTTAAAGCGCGCGACGAGCTTCAGCTCACCGCCTCACACACAAACACACAAAAAAGCAGCGAATTTTCTCTCGATCACACGTGCAGCAGCGGCGTACATGGAATGATGGGAAACGGAATGTGACGACGAAAATCTTTCGTAAGAGCAAGTTTAATAGGATAGCCAGCTACTAGCTCGAAATCATCTACGGTCAATTTATACAATAGTTATATACAACACTACTAATACCTGATCTCACCTATCACACACAAACTGCGTCTTTAAAGTCCGTGCTATATCTAGTTACAAATATGTAGTATGCTATTTTTCTCTCTAGTCTTTTATCTTTTTAAAATATATTTAGAGTTGGTTTATAGTGTGCTGTTGTACCTGCTCTCTAACGAAACAGGATTCGCAACGTCGCTGTGGCTGTCACACACACATAAACGTACACCGTTGGATCGGTGGATCGATGGGTGGTCGACACTTGGAGGGATTTCCATGGAGGAGTTGGGATACTTTATTAGCAGGATCAAATCAGGCTCACACATTGACACAAGTGGTTATGGGGGGCTAATGGCCTAAAATTGGTTAATTGGAGCCGCTCGTTGGGAGATCGTAGAGGCGTTGGTGGCCACACAAACCTCGTATCGTCCCGGGTCGAATTCAGCGCCCACCGGCCGGTCACTTCCTCCCCTGGTCGTGGTTTTGTTTGTTGTCACGATTGGTTATTGTTTCTGGTGTTTAATTCGTCTTCTTCTTTCGCCTGTCCTGGATGGGAGCTGATCGATGGAATTGCTGTTTCCTTTCGGTTGGGGTTGGATTTGTTTAATTCCTAGTTGGGGGCATGGATTTATTTGTTTGAAATTTCCATCTGCCACTTGTGAGTTTGTTTAGCGTTTGACGATTCTAGACGCACGGTGTTATATATTAGGATCAAATTAAAAAATCCTTTCCATCCCCTTCTCGTCGCACTGCAAATTGCGGTTTAGTTTAGTAAAATATTGCTGTGGCTAGAGAGAACGATATGCTTGGGGTTCAGCTTGTTGCTGACGAGCTGTTAAAAGATTTGGGCGATCGAATCTAGTCCCCTCGTTTGTTTATGCCAACACGAACGTCGTACGTTGCCACCACTGGTACTACTCGTCATCCTCTCCTGGCCTTGCAATTTTAATATGGTCACAATCGTAGAATATTATATACTCGTGGTATGAGAAGGAGATCGATCCGTATTGGTTGATGACCACATTGTGGGTATAAATCGCTGTGACTATCTCGTGGTTACGTCGCGGTAAAGCAACCCACCATCAACGGAGAGGAAAATATCCTAGTCCACTTTCGTTGAGGGGTGGAGATAGGCGACACCGCGCCACGCTTCGAGAGACCAATTGTAAATTGTTGATTAGTACTTAAAAAGAAGTGTTAGAATCGTCCTAGCCACCGTTTGGATTTAGACACGGCGCTTACCCAAAACATCTGAGGATGCTGAGCCCCACTACAATGCTATTTCCTGATACTTGAATATAATCTAAACCGTTAATATCATTTAATCAAAAAGTTTAAATTTGTTTGTACTACTATCCCTGCTAATGAGAGTATAAATATAAAGGGCATTATGTAAAAAATAGTTATGGAAAGGTATAATCAGCATTTAGCAGTGGCTAAAACTTCCAACTTTTTTTTTACGGAATATAAGCGATACCAGCAAAATGAATGACCACATATCGATCTAGAAAGAAAAAAAGTATATGACAAAGTTATCCCTAATTAGTCTTAATAAATTACTTCCTCCATTTCAGGCTATAAAACGTTTTGACTTTAGTTAAAATCAAACTAATTCAAGTTTGACTAATTTTATAGACAAATATAGTAATATTTATAATACCAAATTAGTTTTATTAAATCAATAATTGAATATATTTTCATAATAATTTGTCTTGTGTTGAAAATATTATTTTTTTTATAAACTTAGTCAAACTTAAAGTAGTTTGATTTTGACCAATGTCAAAATGTCTTATAATCACGGAGGTAGTATTAATTTAATTTTTGTAACAAACGGTTCAGATCATATCTACTGGTAGTATAATACTACTGGTAGAGAGCACCGGAGTATCACTCAAAAGACTAAAGGTGAAGTTAGGATAAAAGAACACTTTATTTATTACAGATTTGAAAATAGATTGATACGATATGTTATAGCAATTTCGATATAATTTTTTCCCAGGAAATACAACGTTTAACCGTATCAAAAACGAAAACCGGAATAAAATATGTATCTAGAATTGAACACCCCTATCAAACCATTTGAAAAAAGAAAACCAAGATAAAATATGTATCTTAAGCACGAAATAAATAGCCCTCACACAAAGTGAAAACCGTGATAAAATATGTATCTTAATCGGAAACGATAAAACAGCCGTATCAAACATGTGTTCTGCTTGATCCCCGCGATGACGGCGTGGCCGGTGTTGGCGCCGCGCGCGCCCTGTCTATCAACGACGCGAGAGCGCGGGTGGCCACGTACGTGCGCTGCGAGCCAGCCAGCCGCGGGCGCGCGCGCGGGGAGTGTGCGCGTGGGCGTGGCGGGTTGGGTTGGGTTGGCGATCAGATCGCCGGGGCGACGCGTCCCGTCCCGCGAGCCGCGAAGAGATTCTCTGCCGTTGCCGTGCCGTGCCGTGTGAGCTAGCGCCGCGCGCGCGTCGTCTCGCGCATCACCGCGTCCGCGTGCGTGTGGCCCTCGCGCGCGCGCGCGCGACACCGTGTGCGTGTGTGGTTGTGTGCGTGTGGTGGGCGATGTGTGTTGTGTTGATCGATCGGTAGGCCACCGTGGGAGATCGACACCGCATCGCCATCGCGCGCGTCGTGGGTTCTCTGGACATCAGGTGATTCAGGTGCTTCGCTTCGCGAAGCTACCGCGCGCCCGCTCGATCGCCCGGGGGCCCGAGAAAAAAAGGAGTGACCACACGACGGTGTGTGTGGCGCGCAGGTATACGTAGAGCGAGCGGCGCGCTGCCGTCCACGGCACGAGCGGTCACACGTACGCGCGCGAGTCGCCCGGGCTCGTAAACTGCATTACTGTACGTAGATCAAAGATGTGGATTTGACTGCTGCTAACTAGTCTGGGTACGCAAGAATTCAGAAGCTTTGCTGCACACTGAGGAATTATTATTACTATATGCTGAATGTTGAATACTCCTTCCGTCCTAAAAAAAAAAGCAAACTTTAGATTTTTGTGTCCAACTTTGGTGGTCCGTCTTACATGAAATTTTTTTATAATTTATATTTTCATTGTTGTTAGATAATAAAACATGATTAATATTTTATGCGTGATTTGTCTTTTTAATTTTTTTCATAATTTTTTCAAATAAGACGGACGGTCAAACGTTGAACACGGAAACCAGAGTTTTTTTTTTGGACGGAGGGAGTAGATGGATACTCTCCTGGTAACTTTTCGAGGGTACAAATTAATTGATTAACTATTATAAAATAAAAATAAATTTAAAATGATTATTAGAAACCAGTTCACATATATTTTTTTTATGAAAATTACACCGTTAGCCGTTTAGAAGCTCGGAGATTTGTGTTGCATTAATAAATCCACCATTTTATTGATCGGAGAAAGACACACCTAGTCAGATAGTCAGATATAGGGTTAATCAATAAGCAAACACAAAACCAATAAGGCCTTATTTAGATTAAATTAAAAAAATTGGTTAAAAAGGTCACATCAAATATTTAGACACATGCATGAAGTATTAAATATAGATGAAAAAAAACCAATTACACATTTTGCATGTAAATTGCGAGACGAATCTTTTGAGCCTAATTACACCATGATTTGACAATGTGATGCTACAGTAAATATTTGCTAATGATGAATTAATTAGGCTTAATAAATTTGTTTTGCAGTTTACAGGCGGAATCTGTAATTAGTTTTATTATTAGTCTACGTTTAATACTTCAAGTATATGTGTCCGTATACTTTAAAAACTTTCCACCCAAATAACAAACACACAAATTCCAGACCCTCGCAGGCTGGACCTCCAAAAGATTCTAGATGATTGTGCTGTTATAGTGTCAGGCTAGCTGCAATGTCCTGGTCCAGAAACTAAGGCATGGTTTAGGTGGTGTTTGGATCCAAGTACTTAACTTTAGTCTCTATATTTAGACACTAATTTAGAGTATTAAATATAGACTACTTACAAAACTAATTACATAAAGGAAAACTAATTTGCGAGATAAATTTTTTAAGCCTAATTAATCCATAATTAGAGAATATTTACTGTAGCATTATATAGGCTAATCATGGATTAATTAGGCTCAATAGATTCGTCTCGCGAATTAGTTTAAGATTATGGATGGGTTTTATTAATAGTCTATGTTTAATATTTCTAATTAATATCCAAACATTCGATGTGATAGGGACTTAAAAGTTTTAGTCTTATCTAAATAGGGTCTTAGTTCCCAACTTTTTCTTTAAACTTCTAATTTTTCTATCACATCCAAACTTTTCTACACATATAAACTTTTAACTTTTCCGTTACATTGTTTCAATTTCAATCAAAATTCTAATTTTGACGTGAACTAAGACAGTTAATATTAATGGTACAGAGGCAGTTCTATCTTCATGGTTCTGAAGCTTCTGCCCAGTTAGTATTTATCAGTCTCTTAACATGGACAGGTGGATCACACAGCTGCACGAAGCAAACCTAGCTACATACTACTGAAATTTTTTTGAAATTATACTGTTTATCGATTGATTGTGCAAAAATATACCGGATAGCGAACGATTTGTGGAAATAAACCATCGGTATCGCTTTTTGGAATAGCGATACCGATGTTCGCTCGTTGAAAGTGTGATAGCGTGGCGAAATCGCGATCTGATAGAGCGATAGCGAAGTTGAGCTGGCGCTCTCGCGCAAGCGAGACGCGAGACCGAAGCGGTATCGCTTTTCCCTCGAGCGAGAGCGCCACGTGGAGAAATCCCCACGACTACCTCGGGCGGAGCCATCGCTCTTGCACTTTCGTTACGCGAGACCGATGCCGGTTTCGTAATATGAAACCGCGAGACCGGTTATGACGCGACGGAGAAGACGTGGGCACGCGGTATCGCGCTTTGCGCGCGCGAGACTGCTGATGCGGCATGCGCGAGAGAGAGAAAGCCTGGGGGAGGGCAGTGGGCCCGTGGCATCGTGCTTTGGGAGCGCGAGACCGAACGCGATGTCGCTATACGCGTGCGCGAGAGCGAGGAGCGAGGTGGGGCAGCGCTGTTGCGCTTTGAGGGAGCGAGACCGAGCGATGTCCCGGTTTGCGCGCGCGAGACCGTGGGCGAGAGCGAGTGCATGGAGGGCGCGGCAGTAGGCTCGGTATCGCGGTATGCACGTGCGAGACCGCCCTCGGTATCGCGCTCCGCATGCGCGAGAGCGTCGCCGCTTTTCTCCATTGACACCTTTGTTTCCCATCTCTATTTCTTTTTTGCTTTTTGCACGGGTTATAGCCATCTACCTTAGCTTTTTAGGGAGAGGTGGAAGAGCTCTGTGCATTCTCTTATCAGTTTACTGTTGCAGTCACATCATGCCGGCCATTTGTAACTGCTAGCATTAGAATCCAATGCGCTCACGGGCTTAAATTGAGAGGAGAGGAGATGGTCCTCACAGAGGAAGACAGAAGGGAGTGAACTGAGGAGAGGAAGAGCAAGAGAAGAGAGGAGGCAGTGCATGCAGTGGAGAGAAGGAAAAAAAGACACGTAAGTTGATTAGTTTTCTATTAGCACAAATTCGTACGATGAGGATTTAGAAAATATTAGTTCACGTAGTTAATATTTGTTTGTAATTATGTCAGAGAAAAATTTAGGTATGTATTAGTTACAACTACATTATATTTTGTTAGGTCGTATGTAAAAATAGAAATGTAGAATGTTAATAGAGTCGATTCGGGTTAAAATATAGATAGACATAATTAATTTATAAGGTACATAAGTATAATATAAGTTAGAATTAATTTGTACGTAGTAGTAATTATAAGTTATAATTAATTAGTAGTTCATGTGATGTTTAATTTTATATATACGACCAATATTATATGTAAGAAATGAAAAAAAATAAAATATTAATAGTTATATTTGTAGTTATTGATATTGATATTAATAGTATTGATAATTATTAAATGTGGTACAAAAAATTAAATTAAAGTTGTAATTAATTTGTAGTAATTTTAAGTTACAATTACTTAGTAGTTCATGCATTTATTTATTTTGTGAGAAATGGAAAAGGTATAAATATTCGTTAAGTAGCGGGAAATATATGGTGTGCTTAAACACGTGCTTTACATTGTAGGTTGTTACGAACGAACAAATAAATGCAGTAGTACGAAGAACTTTGAAATTGGGACTTTTATATGAGCAAATTGGTTGAAAAGAAGAAGGCAAGACAAGGTATGGTACTATAATGGAAGACAGTTTGTAATTAATAGACAGTTTGTAATTTATTTGATATTGTAATTAAAGTGCAGTTAAATAAATTTATGTCGCTGCAAATAGTTTTATACTATAATAAATTGGTAGTTATGATTAATTTGATTATGTAATTAATCAAGTGAAGTTAAACTTAGTTCTATTAATTTATCATGTTATGATAAATTTATAGATAATTTTGTACTAACTGATAGTTACAAATATTTTGTATTTAAGTAAAGTTACGGTCCGTTAGATAATTTATAGTTAAAGTAGTAATATATTAAATGTACTCATCCAAATTTGCAATAGTAGTATTGTTTCGGTGGTCATATCTAAGTAGGTACAAACAGTCCGTAGCAAAGAACATGATGCGGCTCAATGAGTGTCATTGTCCTAGATAAAGAATAGAAAGAGCTAACCAAAATGATTTTTAACTTAGCTTCCTTCAATGTTTCTTCGGTGCAAGTAGTCATTTGTTGTATTAAAATTAATTGATATGTATAATTAATTTGTTAGTTAAACATATGGATTATGCAGTGAACTAAACTTTGAGGCAGCAATTGTTATACGAGCAAGCTGGTTAAAAAGGAGTAGGCGGTATCTAATAAACGCAGGTAAATATTTTGTCATCATATTTATGTACGATATGGTATGGTTGTGTTGTTTTAAGTATTACATACTCTTTTACTTAAATTAATTGCCATAGTTATGTTTAATTATGTTTTTTTAATTAATTAATATGTATTAATTTTACTGTCATGTGTATATTTTGTATGTCAAAGTTGTAGTAAAATTATAAATAATGAATTGCATTGTCATGTATTCGTAAGTAAATAATTTATGTTCACGCAATTATTTATTTATAAATTTTTTATTACAAGTACATGATTTTTTTATAAATAATATGGAAATATAAATAAGTAGTTATTGATACAGAATTTTTTATCAAAAAAAACAGTATGCGTGTAAACTAATTTTGGTCGCGAATAGGACACGTTTGTTCTGTTAGACTTCCTTACGGACTAGTCCGTGTTGTCTGCAATGGCAGGAATGTCGGCATTTAGAGTGTATTTCAGTGAAGGTGAAATTATGGAAAATGAAAGTGGTGTCAATCTGAGCAACTTTAGGCAATGCACACTATACCATCCAAATCCTGACACCCTTACCATGCCCGAAGTTTGGTACTGGCTAACATGCACATTTTCTTTAGATCCGGGTATATATAGTGTTAACGTGAGGGTTATGTGGAGCCGATCGGCCAACAACATAAGATGGGAGTTAAAAAATGTGACACGGAGTAAGGCCTGGCAGGATTGGCTCGCTGGCTGCAGGAGACGGGGATATGAATATGTCATGCTGGTGCAAGCATGTCAAGGAAGAGTCCCCACGGAGAGCGCAGCGGGGCAATCCAGCAACCGTGAGGAGTTGGGGTCTAGTTCACACGAAGAAGATGAAGTTGTAGCTCCCCATCATGGTGGCGATGTTGGTCCTGACATTCAAAATCTATCCATACAAGGAGATGAAGTGGTCAACCGCCATCCTACTGGTGAAGCCGATGAAGGGGAGGACATACCTGCTATAGTTGAAGAAATTGAGAGGGTGGACCGACATGCAATCGAAGATGAGGAAAACCTCGCTGCTGAAGAGAATGATGACGAGGATGAACAAGAAGTTGAGGAAGTTCCTATGCCTGCTTCGTGGAACCTTGAAGACCCTGGTTATATTGCAGAAAACTCTTGTCATGATTCAATATGGTTCTACGGGGATGGCCAAATCAATCTGGGTGCAATGTTCCGTGACAAAACGGGGTTGCAAGACGCAGTGAAGTCATGGTCATTCAAGACGCAAAGGCAGTTCAGGGTTGTGAAGTCTAACAAGACTGAGTACACGGTCGTCTTCCGTCTTCATGGTCACGTGCCAAAGTACGAGTCTTACTGGATTCTGTCCAAACTGCAGGAACACTCCTGTCTGATTCGGAACACTAGGGAGTCGCACCGCAACCTGACCGCGGCATACGTTGCGAACAAGTACTACAAGGAAATTATTGAAGGTGATGACCTGCCTGTGCGGCACATAATAAAACTGGTGGAGAAAGGTGAACAATACACAATTAGTTACCACAAGGCTTGGAGGGCGAAACAAAAGGCCATGGAGAAAAGATATGGGACATTTGAGGAAGCATACGACACTCTGTCACAGATGCTTAACATTCTGAAGATCAGGAACCCTAGGACCTATGTTGCTGTGCAGGATCGGGAGTCAATTCGTCCTCCAAATTATCTTGTGATGCAACGGGCATTCTTTGCATTCGGAGCATGCATTCTTGCGTTCCAGTGCTCGAGGCCGGTGCTGTGTGTCGACGGTACTTTCCTAACTGGGAAGTACCGAGGCCAAATATTAACAGCTGTTGGTGCGGATGCGAACAACCAGATAATTCCAGTAGCTTTTGCTTTTGTTGAAAGCGAGAATTACGAAAGCTGGTTGTGGTTCTTGCAACATCTAAAGTGGGGAGTGGTGCAAAAACGCACATCGATATGCATCATCCATGACCGGAATGCCGGTCTGTTGAAGGCAATCAAAGAGCTCCAGGAGGATGGTGATGGTGCATACTACTGGCCTGACATGCACAGCCGTTGGTGCATGCGGCACATGGGAGCCAATTTTTTCAAACAATTCAACAACCGGCGTCTGATGAACATGTTCAAGCGGTTGTGCAAGGCAAATCAGTCCACAAAGTTCGATGAGCTTTGGAAACAACTTGACGAGGTGACAAGGACACATATCCGGTCAAAGCAGACCAACATCAACCTGCTGGATGTACATGTCCCCCAGGCCCTGGAACCAATGGATGATCTTATTCCATCAAATGGAAAGAAGCGTAGGTCATCAAAGAATATCAAATGTTTTACCCATTGGATTGAGTGCGAGCCGAATGATAAGTGGGCACTCCTGCATGACACTAATGGGGCTAGGCATGGCATAATGACCACTAATCTTGCAGAGGCGTACAATGTGGTTCTTAGCAAATTAAGGCCTTTACCTCTGACTGCTATTGTTGAAGGCATTATGCACAGGACAACGATGTGGATGAGGACGAGGCGGGCCGCGGCGTTGCAACAAATGTCTAATGCACAAACACCTTTCTGCAAAAAGATGGCAGAGTACCTCCAAGAGAAGGCTAACAAGGCCAGATTTCACACGGTCATTACCACTGGGAACGTAAGACGAAGGTGGGAAGTCACATGTCGCACTAAGGGGGATTTTGGATCTTCTACTGGGGTCATCACTCATGAAGTTACTCTAGGGCACGAATCTGATAACACATGTTCGTGCTCTTGCAATAAGCCGAAGCTTCTTCATAAGCCATGTAGCCATGTCCTGGCCGCATGCGCTAAAATTAAGCTTGATTCAACATCATACGTGTCGACGTTCTACCTAAAGGATAGAGTTCTAAATGCATGGAGTGCTGAGATCCTCGGGTGGAGGTCCCTCCAACACCTAGTCGAAACTGGGGGTGATAACAGGATCTATGTGCCAGACTTGGATTTGTTGAAGGCCGGTAAGGGTAGAAGACAAACACGTCGCTTAAGAAATGATATGGATGCATCCGAAGCGGGAGGGCCTGTAAGGCGATGTGAGAACTGTCTTCAGTACGGGCACCGCACTAGAGATTGCAAGAATAACAAGGAGGGTACATCTTCAACCATGGAACCTATGCAACAACGTGCGAGGAGGAATAGAAGGGGCTCTCAGGGTGCTCACGATAGGGAGGAAGGAAACCTGCAGTAGTTATAACCTACACTGTCCGGTTATTTATGTTCGGTCATGATATGTTCGCTGCATGACGTTGTATTTCAATAAGTTTGTAATATGTTAGTCAATAAGTATGTGTAATATTTATTTTATTATGGTAATGTTGTAAGATTTTATTGTAAGGTGTTACCAAGTTTGTAACGTTTGTAATCCTATTGTTGTACTATTTATTTCAATGATATTGCTCGAGTTTGTACTTGTACTATGAGAAAATTTTATTCCTTAATTTAATGCATTATGTACTTTTCCGTATGTGCACTTGATGAAATTTCTAATTTACCCTTCATGATGTACATGCAGATATGGAAGAGGAGTGGCCTTACTCGTTGCTTAGCAAAGAGATCGATGCATGACATCGTGCAAAGAAGATATATGATGGAAATTCTTGCTCTAGTCTAGCTGTCCTGATACCGCGTACAGCCGGATGGTGGGGGATTGATCGACGATGGGAGGCGAGGTGCATAAATGGTTAAAGTTTGCAACATCATGATATCGTACTATAACATTGCCTAATGTGACTAATAAATTTCCTCATAGGTTGTCAGCTGCAGGTCTTCTTACCTTCGTGCAGATGACGCAGGCAAGGATGCATTACGACGCTAGAGAACCTAAACAAAAACAAATGGGGGCACATAGAAAACGACGACAAAATATCGACAAGTCCCTACTTATGGCACTGGTTGATAGGTGGAGGCCAGAGACACATACATTTCATCTACCGTGCGGAGAAATGACCATAACTTTGCAGGATGTGTCCATGCTCATGGGGCTGCCACTAGCCGGCCAGGCAATTGTACTTCCGGACCCTCCGAAAGATTGGAGAGATGATATTGTATCACGATATGCCTGTATTTTGCCATGGTACGCTACCGGTGATACAGACGATGATGAGGACAAAATATTTTTCTCTGAAAAAGAAACTCATGGCCCCACATTGAAGTGGTTGTCACAGTTTGAGGTAATTGAATATTTTTAATTAAGGCATATTCCGTTCACATTCACATATCTGACAACATATTGTTTTTTTTGTTAGGTGCGATATATGCCCGACGATGTCCAGGAGTACCAACTGACGTTGTACCTTGAGGCTTATCTACTTTGGCTGTTTGGTTGGGTCATGTTCACCGGGTCACACGGGAACACTGTGGACGCCAAGCTAATCCCCCTTGCTCACCAAATTGCTGAAGGTAATATATTGCCTTCTGCACAGTTTAGCTGGGGATCAGCCATCCTTGCAGCCACATACCGTGGTTTCTGCGACGCTTGTATTAAGACCGGGCAAAGGTAGGCGATTTTCACGGGGTGTCCACTTTTGGTCATGTTGTGGTCGTACAAGCGCTTCTCGTTCGGACGTCCATACATGAGCGTGGCCGTGGCCCACAAGGACGATTACACTAACGCAATTGATGATCGTCCTACCTTCGGTACTCGCTGGTGCTACGGACCGGTATGTATGCTTGCATTAAAGGAATATTTGTGTCATTTCAATGGTACTGCATAACTAAATCTACAATCTCTGATCGTGCAGCCACAGTGGGCGAGAATCCAGGTGCACAATGTGTACGAGTACTTTACCGAGGCGTTCGAAAGCCTTAGGGAAAATGAAGTTCGGTGGACTCCGTACACGAACGAAGAGGCCATTTTGCGTGCACCGCATGGAGTAAGCATCTTATGCTATCACGATGAAGCGTACTGGATGACATGAAAAATGTTGGTGTACGACATATTCGTCGAGGGGTATAATGTTCAAAGGGTAATGCGTCAGATGGGACTGTACCAACAAGTCCCAGTTCCTGTTGGACTTCACCTTCCACCAGATGTGCACACGTATGTTGTTATTTCAATCCTGTCTAATTTCTGTGCACTAAAAATTGTCAGATATAACTAATAGCTAATTGTTGTATTTTTGTTGCAGGCAAAAGAGGCAAGCTGACAACAGGTATCGTCGATCTATGCACTCAAGGATGACCCCATGGATAGAGGCGTGGTCACAGGCCTTGAATGATGTCGTCCAGGAGACCAGGGCATACGACCACAACACTTACGAATAATACATGGCCTGGTACTCATCGCAGACTCTCATCCGGCTGCTTGCACCGGAGGATCCCGACGAGCGAGGTCCACCAACAATTGATCAAATATATGATATGCAGCTAGCACCCCCCCCCCACTCACTTGACGGTACTACTAGCATTTAAATATTTTGTTGCATCAATGTGTCCTTATACATAGGGTTCCACTTTCTAACAATTGTTGCTACGCTCCATGTAGACCGACATTGCAGGGGAGTTAGTAAGGGATGCAAAAACATTGTGGGAGAAGCTTAGAGATGGAATGGCGGGTACCAACCAGGAAGTTATGGCTGCGGTCGACTCCCTCCGTCGAAAAGGAAAGCGAATCATGCGGCTCGCATCGTGCCGGCATTCCTCGGACGTCTATAATCCGGCAACATCAACAAGGACGTTCGAGCCAATGCCGGAGTGTCCCTCTACCTCTTCCCGGCCGTCCACCTCAGTCCGCCCTTCAGCATCCGCGCGACGATCCAGTGATGGTCGTGCAGGAGTAAGGTCAACTTCGTTTCGTGATCCACCCACTATTCCGACTATCCCAGAAATCACTGAAATTTCGGAACGCCTAGGAGGCTTTGGTTCAACTCAAGGTAAAATACGTTATTGCAGAATGCTAAAATAAATGCCATTTGTATTAAAGACTAATTTATACGTTCGCAGCACAACTGGAACGGGTACCCCCACATAGCTCTACGCCCATCACCTCTCAATGGCAGGGTGGGTTTGCGTTGTTTGCTGGTACGGGATAGCTCATCAATATGCTATTTTTTCCCAATTGTTTATGTGAACTGACTAAATGATGTTTTCCAATTGATGACAGAGGGAACGCGAATGGTCCGTCCCGTGCCTCATATGCCTCCTGCTAGGCCACAAATGATTCCTCAAATGGCTCTCGATGTGCCAACCTCACACTGGCAAGGAGGATTTGCACCATTTGCAGGTCCGTGTACATTCAGTACCATATTGGCATGCATATGTCCACTCGTAATTTTACTTTTTGCTAATTAATTGCACATACAGGGACTAGCCAAGGTATCCCTACCATACCCCAAATGTCTGCAGATTTTATCGGTCAAGGAGGGTTTACGTCGTTAGGCGGTCAATCTCCCCTTACATCTAATTTCATATTTTTATTATTTCAATTTATTAATTTTTCATGTATATGAATCTTATTGACTATTTACTTCCTGATATTAACAGGGCCTACTCAGTCGGTTCCACTGCATGCACCTACATATGGCACCAACCCATGGCAAGGACAATCCATAGATTACGGTGGTACGCACAGCCATCATTCTCCATACACATATATCAATGGCACTTTCATGCCATACATGATTCCCACTTCAACTTAAGACAATAACTCCGTGACATTTTATATGGATGCAAGGCACGTCATTTGGTGGTAGAGTACAGGGTTATATGGACTTGTTGTAACAAGGTGATTGGCTATTTGGTCAATATTCCTCGCATCCTAATGAAATTCCATATATGCAAGCACCGTCAACAGGTTTGGATTTTTTTTGTGTTATTGTTGTTTGCTCCAGCTTTGATAATTTCATTGATATCTACATTGCTTCTGTAGGGTCATTTCGCCCTGAAATAATGTCAGGGTTTAGTCCTTACACTACATCGTACGACGACATGTCTAGCTTCGGTGGAGGGTCGTCATCGGTACCCAACGAGCTTCGGACTTCACAAACTAATGATGCGCCTCATGTGACACAGCCCACATAACCAGAGGTTGGCGAAGGAAACGACAATGACCCGCATAGATCTAACCGTGAGCTCCATGAGCCAAACCGTCTGTCACTCTCAGGCCCGCGACATGCCGCAGGACAAAGGAAAAAAAACTACAAAAAAGCGAGGTGGCACATCTAGGACTACGACTGACCATGACGATGATGACGAGTAGAAGTGAACATTATGTTTTTCAGTTCACTGCCAACCCTATCTGAACCTTGCTGTGATTTTGGCTTATTCTTCATGTTATTTGTACTGCAATGAACATTATTTATTTGTACTGCTTATTCTTCATGTTTTGTACGATGTTTCGTAGTTCATAAATATCTCATATTTTTATGCCCTATTTTGTAGCCAGTTAACACATATGATTTTTGGTTAACTATTAATTTTTCGTACGAGAGCTAACAAAAATAATAGTCTCACAAACTAAATTAATAGTGCAGTTTCTATGTTACTCGTGCGGTTAAAATTACATATTACTTTTACTTTTTACTACTATGACTTAAATTGCCCACTAATTTCTTTTCACAGAGATGCAATGATACGCACCTAAAATGGCATCCTCTCTTTCCAATCACGGGACATGCGCCAAAGCATCAAATCATTCACAATTAAACTTTCAAGATTTCGCTGCGCTGCGCCGAAAGTGACTTCGTCGCTTTGTGATTAATAAAGCAAACAGTTATGCAGCATGTGCCGCCGAAAGTGACGGTGTCGCTTTGCAATTATTGTCATCACGAGTGAAACAGTCTGACGCTATTGAATTGATTAGTGAAACAGTCCGATGCACCGTCGTCTCTTTCCAATAATTGAAACTGCGTAGCTTCTTGCCATCCCCTATAAATAACAACCAAACCTAGCACACAACTACATCTCTTCTTCATAAACGTTCTGCTGGTTCCAACTTTGTGTTGCATATTCTTAGGCCCGGTCTTGAGGCAGGAACTGAGTAGTTGGTGAACTCGCTCTATGTTGTTCGTTCACTCGCGACACGGTTCCTGTCCCAAGACTGAGTCTGTGAATATACAAATGTGATTTTTTTAATACATTCTAACACCCACTCTTTTTTTCAAGTTCCAGCATCCGTTTGTAAATATGACCTACTCCTACAAATTCATAAACTCGGTGTTGCATATTCTTAGGCCTGATCTTGTGGCAAGAACTGAGTAGTTCGTTAACTCGCTACGCGGTTCTTGTCACAAGACCGAGCCCGTGAATATGCAAAGGTGGTTTTCTCTGTGAATATAACATATTCTAAATTCCTATTCTTTGTCAACTTTGTAAAAATTGCTCCCGAATGATCTCTCTACTCCTTTATATATTTTTAATAAATATATATTCAATTTCTGTTTTTCTATAGGTAATATATGTTTTCTTTCTCTGATATCATTATTTTGCAAATTCCAAGATATTTATTTTTCTTCTCGTAGCCGCGTACACAATCTTTGCCTATTTTCAATATAAACATGTTTCTCATGTTCATTTATGTATATATATGTTGCACACATAATAAAAAAATATGAAAAAAAAATCCTTTCTACTCCCTCCGTCTTGAAAAAACGAATATAGTACTAAGTTGGTATTTTTTGGGACGGATGGAAAAAAATTATACTTTTTACTCTCTCAGTCCCGAAAAAAACAAATCTAGTACTACTTTGGTTTTTTATGGGACGGAGGAAGTACGTACCAACGGTGACATGAAATATTAGCAATTTGCAAAGCGTAATTAGCTAATCGCTCTCGCGCACGGGGAGAGCGATACCGCTCACGGTCTCGCTCTTTCAAAGAGCGAGACCGAAGCCGTCGCTGTCGCACTGCCGCCTCCCAGGATTAGCAGATGGATTAGGGGCGTGGACCACGCGGCAACGGTATCGCGGTTTCAAAGGGCGATACCGCCGGCGCTCTCGCGCGCGCGTACCGCGAGACCGACACGCTCTCGCTGAGCGTTAGCGCGAGACCGCTCCGGTCATTCCTCGGACCCCACAGGCGTCAGTCGGCCCACGCTGCTACGCTCTCGCGTATCCCGGCCGTGATACCGCACGCGCTATCGCGCTTTCAAAGTGCGAGACCGCTTCGTTTCCCGCGTGCGTCAGGCGGCATCATACGGACCGCGCTATCGCTTTACAAAAGCGCGACACCGCCTCGCTCTCACGCTTTACGACCGCGAGACCGATGCATTAGCTCTCCCTCACTCCCAATTAGCGATAGCGCCGCCGCTTTCGCGCACGCATAGCGCGATATCGCGCTATCGCTGTTTCAAACCGCGACACCAGTATATTTCCGCAAATCCGCCCCTAATCAGCTTAATCTTGCAATTCCGGTCAAGAACACGATTAATTTCAAATTTTTTTCCATACTACTCAAATAATCTCGACGCAAATCACCAGCAACCACAAAACCAAAACAACATGAACACACACATGTGGTAATAATACCAATACACCATCGAATGGTTCCATGGCACAACACATCTTAATACAATCAACCCCAAACAATGCTTTTCTACCAAACAAGGAGAGCCACAGAAACCGGCCTAAACAATTCTCATCAATTCTAGAGATTATTGCAAAGATAAATTAAAAAAAACAAGGGGAAAATCAATCGAAGGGTCCATATATCATGTATCGATCGGTCCCATGCCTAAGCATCCATCCAACATCATTAAAACGGAAGATACTATATGCAACAAGCTGTGGCCAACCACATGGCATGATCGGATCAACTGTTCTTCTAGATCTAAAACCGACGTCACAACAATTCTCTTCACAGACTCGTGTGATCACCATGCATTTGGCGATTTTTTTTTGTGGCCGGAGAGAGGAGGGCTTGTCACTGTCCTGAAGCAGTTTGCAGCTAGCTCTCGTGGTTGTGAAGTTACAGGGTGGTTCAGTTTTCAGGTTGAGCATGTCAGTCTCGCACGAAATTGGAGTAGTTCCAAGAGAGTTTTTCATAGAAAATAATTTACTGCCTTTCAAATTTTGCATCATTTAAGTTTTGGATTGTTGTATGGACTGCCTTAGGTATTGCTTGAGGTTCAAGAGGAAACGATTTGAAGCTCTAAACACAGGTCTGTAGCCAAGACTGAACACATTTAAAACAATTTCAACCAGCCGAATTCATATCTGAGTACAAGAGAAACGTATATCGCGTCTGTGTAAAGTACTGAAGTGTGGTGCCTGCACATTGTGGTGCATGTGCATCTTTCATGTAATCTGAAAAGAAAAGGTATAGTGGAAGTCCAAAATAATAATTTAAAAAAGAAAAGGAATGCAAAATTAACCTAACAAGAAAGGGTGCATCTTGACAAGCACGTTCCGAAATATTTGTACACCAACTAATGACATTTAGATCGAATCTAACAAAAATAAGTTATAAAATTGTATGATAGCCATAAACATCACAATTAACAACCAGGGTATGGTGTGGGGGAAGGACACGGGTAGAGGATTGTTGGCCATGCTTCTGCCCCACGATCCAAGGTAGTAGTACAAACCTTCATAGTTAGACATTATTTGGAACACATGAATCTCGGGGGAGAAAACATTATGACGAGTTCAGTTCCTGTAGGAGCAGATCAAGTTCGTTTAAACATACTAAACATGCCGACATCTGTATTAGGCCTTAGGAATACAAACCCTATCCCCGCAAAACAATATAAGATAAACCCTATTAATAGAAAAGAATACGCAAGGTGAGCATAGCTCAACTGGTTAAGTTCCTTATGATGGAACCAACTCACCTAAGTTCATATCTAGATTTGACGCAGGTATTCATATTTATAGCTATATGTGCCGGCCCATTCCTTTGGAGATGCACATTAGGGGTAGAGCGTGCGTGCGTTATTCGTTAATCTCGAGATATATGCCAGCCCAGTTCTTTAGAGATGCACATTAAGGATAGAGTGTGCGTTAATAAGGGTGAGTGTGCATGTGTTTATAGAGAGAAAAATACCTTGAGGAGAAATAGAAGAATTGGCTGGCACTTATTTTTCAAAATACAATTATGCAAATGGCCTGGCCTGAACCTAAGGAAAAAAAATTGAAAATATACCGTTTAATTTTTTTCTCTCAAAAATATTCGGGTTATAATTTTATTTGCATAAATATACCGTTGATATTACGATCTCGCACAATAAAAACGCGAGACCACTCGGTGTCGTGCAGCAAGTTCGCGAGAGTGAGCGGTCTCGCAAACTCAACCAGCGAGAGCGAGCTGTCTCGCAGACTCAAGTAGCGATACCGATCCTTGCCGCTATTAATTAGTGATTAATTAATTATTAATTAATTTCTAATTAGGATAATTAAGCACTAATTATTATTAATTAATCATTCTCGCACCTCTGCCGCGTGACACCGCGCGGTCTCGCATCCTCTTCGTGCGAGACCGCCTGTATCGTCAGCCCACGTCAGTTTCACGCAGCGGTTTAGCGATACCGGTGGTATATTTGTGCCAAAAAGTTTATATCAAGACTATTTCTGAGAAAAAAAATATGAACGGTATATTTTCAAATTTAAGTCTGAACCTAAGCGGCTAAGCCCAATCCAGGCCAAGTGGCCAACCCAGTAATACCTTTGCGGAATAAGTTCACTTTGACTCCCTTAAAAGTGACTCGAATCTAATCCATGACCCTAAACCGCAAAACCGGATATTTCGACCCCGAACTATTGAAACCGGTGCAATTTGACTCTCTATGTGGTTTTGGAGGGCGGTTTCACTGACATGGTGGTGTTGACCTAGTCTGTAGGGTTGACGTGGCGCTTAGGTGGCATTTGAATTAAAAAGTATCCGTGGGACCTGTTTGTCATTCACACACTAAAAAATTGTGGAGCCCACTGACATGTGGGCCCCACATGTCATCCTCTCTCTTTCTTCTTCCTCCCCTCTTCCTCCCTTCTCTCTTTCCTTCTCTCTCCCCTTCCGCCGGCCGCGGGGAGCACGGGCTGGAGCGGCGGCAGGAGCTGAGCTCGCCACCGCCACGGAGGTCGGCGCCAGCACCGCTGGAGGCGAGATCGACCGGACATGCAAGTGCGTGAGCCCTGGGCCTGGGAGCCCGACGGGATTGGACCGCCACGGAGCTCCGCTTTGGCTGCGGCCCGGGCGCCCTAGCCGAATGCTTCATGCCGCAGCTCGTCAGTGTCATGCGTGCAGCCGCCGAGAGGGTCAGCGTCATGACTCGTGACCCACCAATAAAATCAAAAAAAAAAGAAAATCAGCCATCCAGTGCAAATTCACCACAAAAGCACGGTGAAAACCACCTGTTAATTATGAAATCTCCACCGCGATGCAGGAGATGGGAAAGAGCATGTCTCGGAGTTCTCTTTATATAGGCCGGAGGGGAGGAGGTCGACCGCACGGACGGAAAACGGCGCCGGCGACGGTGGAGCTCCCTGTTGAAGACACCGGTTTAAGAAATCGATTGGGGGCGATTTAGTGCGGGATTAAGTGGGATTTGTTGGGAAAATTGATGCCCACTACACAAGGAATCGATTTTTGCAATTAATTTGGAGGAGAAACGATAGGGCAGGGAGATCAACGGAGGTGGCAGTACTTGAGTTTCACGGGAGAGATGAACAGATGACGGACAGAGGTAGAAGAAGCTCCTGGTGAGCTAGGCCCGCCTGCCAGCACATGGACAGCGAATGGAAGAGAAAGAGAGGAGGGAGGATGAGGAGGATGATTTATGTGGGCCCCACCTGTCAGTGGTCTCACCCATACTTTTGGTGAATGACAAATGGGTCCCACACATATTTTTTTATTTCTAATGCCACTTAAGCACCACATCAACGCCATGTGGAAATGAGACCGAGTCAACATTGCCACGTAGACGCCACATCAGCGAAACCGCCGAGGGAGTCAAATTACACTGGTTTTGAGAGTTGGGGGGGTCGAGATATCCGGTTTTGTGGTTTAGGGTCACGGATTAGATTTCGATCACTTTTGAGGGTCAGAAGGTGAACTTATTCCTACCTTTGCAAGGTCAGAAATGGACCGTAATTAACTTCCACAAGCCCATAACATACCTTGTGCCAGCCCAGCTCGGCCCATAGCTCAGGTCCACGACACTATATACTCTTTGCCAGAGATTTTCCCGGTGTCCAGATTCCTGAATCCAACATAAACTTCTGATCTTGCAGCAAATAAAACAGATCATTACAGAATATGAAGGCCGGGCCACTTTTTCCCCAGGTCTACAGACGATATACATAACATGAAACACAAGCAAGAAAGTAGCCCTATGGCACAAAATTGAACCAAATCATGAATGTTGGTTACAAGAAGGGGGTAATGATATAATATCATGTCTGCAAAAGAATACATCAATTTCAAATTTGCAACAACTAAGTACATGTTGGCTGTACCTCCAGTATCCTTTCCTGTGTAAATGTGGCTCCAAGTTGACACACGTTATGGTGTTAGTGTATACTGCTCTAGGGAAAATAATGTTCTTTGCCAGAATTCTCCCCAGAATGTGCCGAAAGAATTTCCTCCCAGTATCTACAGGCAACTCAGCAGGCGCTCGAGATCTGTATGTCCTTGATTTTTGTTTTGTGTTACTCCGATTCCTCACCAGTTTCATTTACCATTCTAGCTAGGTCTTGGACAACTTCAGACATTGGTGGCCTGAATTGTGGTTCCTGCTCCATTAGGAAAGTTTCAGATTTTACACATGATCCCTAGTACTCAAAACGCTTTGTGCAAAGAATGTAAAGCATTGGAACATGTGCATGCGTAATACTAGTATGCTTGCAAATGCAGTTCCAGTACGAATGAAGAAAATACACATCAATTACCCGGATACACCCGCTGATTATGTCAGCAAATCGTGACAGTGCTTTCTCAGAACATTGCCCTTGTATAGAAGGGTCCACCATCCTGGACAGTGATTCTATGTCATGAAGCTGAGAATTGGCCCATCTAACAAGATGTTGCTCAGCACGTGGGAGTGAACTGAAATTTTTTTTGAGGATAAAACAGGCATGTTAATCAAATAGTTCTTTCCTCGTTTCGCACTAAAATTTTGATCTAAAACAATTACGGACAGCTCTTGAACTCCTGATCAAACATCATGAGAGAATGAGACTTTAAATTTTTCTTACCTGTCGTATGGTTTACGCCCAGTAAGAATTTCTAGCATCACTACTCCAAAACTGTAAACATCACCTTGTTCTGTAACTATCCCAGATTCCCGGAATTCCGGTGGTTCATAGTTCAACAGTGAATGCATTCGATCTGCCAACTGGAACAAGAACATACAAGCTGTAAGTGCACCAGCTGTCATTTCCATCAACATAACAAGATGATTTCTTCACTGCCTAGCAAAATTAAATTAGCTAAATCTACTCATTTGTGATCAAACAACAAAGCATGGCATCAACTAGTCTAGCAGCATAGTAAAAGTAATTGCCAGTGAATCAAAATTTAATTATTTCCAACCAACGGGTAGAGAAGAATTCTCTAGTAAGGTTTATTTAAGGAAATTTCCAATAAGCTTAGTCACACCTAAGGACCTGTTGGTACCTCCTCAAGGACTATAAAATGTAAATCACTCTTTACATGTTCTAAATTTAAATGCTTCAGCTATGGCAACTTCAGCACTTCAATAAATACATGGAACAACTTATCACACATATTGTATCTTACCTGAGTGACAGAACTTGATGCCAACAATTTTTCTAGTCCACATTCAGCAACACGCACTGAAAATTTATTATCAAGGAGTACATTAGCCGGTTCAAAGTTCTGATGCACAATTGGAGGCTGGAAGCTTTCATGGAGATACCTACAGGAAAGGAAGTACAAAGGTTGAAAAAATGAAAGCCATACATGGATTACATTAAACATAGAACCATAATTTTACTCACTCTAAGGCCTTTCCTGAACCAAGAGCAACCTGGAGGCGAGCATTCCATGACAGTGTACTATCAACTCCCTCTCTATCATGAAGTGCATCATCTAGTGTTTTTGTACTAAAGTGATTGTACACAAGTAACCGCTGCCCATATTCAGCACAATATCCAACTAACTCATGGATGTTAGGATGCCTGATATCCGAGACAAGCTGAACCAGGTCTAGAAATTCATCTACTGATATTCTTCCATTAGTATTGTCAATCTTCATTACTTCCAAAAACTACACAGAATAGCAGGAATCATGGTTAATATTTTAACTGCACACTGAATATAATGCATCACACTTCTCATTAGGATAGGTAATACTTAGTGGTTAGCACACACCTTTCCTTCAGGAAACTCTGCTAGGTATACCTTTCCTAGTCTACTCTTTCTTATCAAATTCTCCTCTCTGAAACTGCTTGTATATTGCTGAAGAGATGCCACAGAGAATGAAGTGGCAGAAGTTGGTTTATTTATCCTTGGTGGAGATATGTATCTCTTTTCTGGAGGAACAACAGGATTTACAGTAACTTTTTCAACAGGGAATGGTGGCAGGAAAGGAGGGGGTGGTGGGGGTGGTGGATCAACTGCAAAAAGTTCTGAATTTGTACGCGCCAAATTATTTGGGTGCTCCAAATCAATTATGTGTTCTCTTTGGCTTTCAAGAGGCTTCTTAGGGACAGCTGCCAAACTTTGCTGATCTGAACATGTCAAATAACACTTCATATGAATGCCAAAAGTAACCGAAATCTATATTATGCTACTGGGAATTCAACATAAGTTACCTTTTTTAGCATCATCCCTTGGTTGCACTATAGACGGGTTGATTCTGTGTTCAACTGTATGATGCACCCTTGCCAATTGACTTCTGTTATAATCATACCTTGACCTTCTCTCTTGGTACTTGGACAAACAAAATATCACCAGCAGGACTGTAACTATGAACAGCACTACTCCAAGAAAAACAAATCCGACAATTTTGAGGGTTGATGAATTCTGTTTCTTAGATGATGAAATGTTGTCTCGAGTAGTTGGCCCGTCAGAAGAGTTTGAGGGTGTTCTAGATGGAGGGGCTGAAGAGGATGGAGGTGGTGGTGATGGTTCTAGATTTGGATTGGTTGGTGATGGTGTTGGAGGTCCTGTTGGTGACGGACTTGGTGCTGGTCTCGTTGGTGTTGGAGTTGGTGCTGGTCCTCCGGGTGTTGATGGTGGTGATGCAGAAGGAGCTATACTGGTATTAAATGGATTCCCATCCTTTCTGCATTTGTACAATGTTAGTCACTTAACAAGCCATACAGAATTGTTGTGATTAGTTTTTTTTAGCTTGTATTAGATAAAATAACGTCAAGATAGACAAGATAATGATTATAATTGAACTGGCTGACATCAAAAGGAAATTGAATACAAGAAAAAAAATCTTACTTGAAGTTTGGTATGCTCTGCAACTTTGGAGGCACTGGTCCAGAAAACAAATTATTCTCTATATTCCTGATCAGAGTAAACATGTTAAAGGATATAAGATCAACTATTCAATAAGAACATAGTTGTTTGAACAAAAATGGTCAAGGTATTGAAGCAGCATTGCTAGGGAGTGCTTATCAGAACAATAGTAAAAAGGGAAGCATTCGTTTTTCAAGTGAAACATTCAGTTGCGTCAAAAAAAAACATTCAGTTAATGGTTTTTGTAAAGACACTGTCTCCACCTTTTTTTTTTTTGATCAAGAGGCGTGAAAGCCTCCCATTTCCATTACTAGAAATGATAGAGTTTACAGAGAGACACTGTAAACTCTATCATTTCTGTCTACACCTACTCTCTCTGATTTCTGTTACAAGTCAGTTTAGTCTTTTCAGTTTTATTCTAAATATAAGCCAATTATGAACTTGTATGCATTTTGTTTCTTTTGTTACTGCTATGTCATTGCTTAAATGAATGGATTTTCATCAACAAATGGTTTGCCTTTCCCATGTATCTCCTACCCCATGTCTACATGCACGGATGCACCAAATTCCCCAATCACCATAGAACAGAGAAGTTAGATGTTAGCTTAAATTTATCTAAGAAAAAGTAATAATATAGAATGATAATGGTTAACATATTGTCATTTCATAGACTACCTTAATTCCTATGTGCAAATCTGAAGGGACTTATAAGTACGTATGACATCAGTGATGGAAATTGCAGTGTATAGATTGCAAACACTGTAGATCTGTATGTCCCATATGTTATCTTTAAAGATTCCATAACAAAGTTAAGCACAGAATATATACTTTATACTGTATAGAAGCCAAAAGTTATTATCATACCACAGTCACATGCACTCTTTAAAGATACCATAGGCTTTAGGAAAAAAAAGTACAGATCAGCCAAATTAAAGAATCTAAAATTAGCATGCCTGCAAATTTTTAGATCATAACATGCTAGAGAAACTGAATGAACATGGTGATAAAGGAGAAGAGAGGGAATACAAGTCTTTAAGAGGGAGATCCTGCAAGACGTTAAGAGTCCCAGACAATCGATTGCCTTGCATGTGCCTATGATATAGCAGATGAGGAATTAAGTTGAAAGATAGGAAATGTAATAGGAATTAAGTTGAAACATAGGTGTACACTTACAATGTAGTCAAAGATGACAGATTTTTCATAGATGGTGGTAACACACCAGTCAAGTTGTTAGAAGAAATATCCCTGCAAGAAACCGACCATCAGCAAACTAAGACAACAACCAAACACCAAGGCATAAAAACGTACAGAAATGGTATCTTACAAATTTACAAGTCCAGTGAGTGAACCAAAAGCATCTGGCAGTTGCCCATTTAGTTGGTTGTCATTGAGTGACCTGGGAAAACAAGGAAAATGATATATGTGATTTACAACACAAATTAGCCTGTATATAAACTTTCTGCGGAAAGAAGCGAGAATGTACATGTCTGCCAAATTTTTAAGTTTTGCCAATGAACTTGGGATGCTTCCAGTGAGCTGATTAGCTGAAAGAAAACTGTACCAGTGCAAAGATCACAGGATCAATTGAATAATACCAAAGACTGATAAACTATAGATAAGATCAATCGTACATACATATGCTGCAACGTAACCGGTAGGTCTTCTGGTATAGTTCCACCAATTTTATTGTTACTAAGATTTCTACATCAAACATATAAATAATTCAATGAGAAATTTAACCAGGACATAAAAAAAGAGTTAATTCAACCAGACAAAAAAGAAATCCTAGAATCTTCTAGTTTTGACAGACACTACGATGGTTGTGGAAAAACTTTACAACTTCAACACCCTTACATGGTGACGATGGAGGTGAAGTTCCCTAAGCCACCAAGCTGACCCCCCAAGTTTGCAGCATTCATCGTACTACAAACGGTGAGTTAATATGAGAACAAAACAAAGGATTTCCATGAGATAAAAGAAAACGCAATGAAGAACCTACACTGAGGTTATACTTGAGCCGGTGCATACAACACCCTGCCAAAGCTCGCTGCAGGGGTCTCCGCCATTCCCCGACCATCCAGGAAGTTTTGGCGACCCCAGTGAAATGTACAATCCATTTATAGCAGAGACTACACAAGTTAAGGGAAACATAAAGAAGTCATTATTACAAAGAAAAACAGTGTGCACCTTTCTACGAGGACCACAAAATCACCTAAATTGCAGGACACATGAAGAACAATTGCAGGAATAACATGTGCACATCACGAAAAGAAATTGCTCAGTCCCTGATTTTAGAGCATAAACCTAACTAAATTGAGTAATGTGCACATCACAATGACTCAATGAGAACAACATACACCTATCACTTACATTATTCCCTTCCTATGATCATATCCTACCCCCTTCATTATGTTCAGTTGTTCATCAGTATGGCAATTAAAGGTGTCCATTCTGCTATTACTTGCATAGCCAATACAAATGTTTTCTCCTGCATGTTATCCTGTTTCCACCAATCCAGAATGCGAACAATCCATCTCTTTCAGTCTTTCTCCCATTTCTATTGAGGATGATAAGACATGAAGCACACGACACCACATCATCACAGGCCTCAAAAGTTCCTTTCGTTATCCCAGACGAAAGGGACAGCCAGATTGCTTTATCAAGCAAGAGAACATCAATTAATCCGAATTAGAACATGCCACAACCGCCTTGCCAAATGGCATTTGTGCTGAACTCAAGACAAAAACTAATCAATCCCAATGATGGAGTCGAACCGGGCCAATTCACAGAACCGATGATCCATTCCCACGACGCCCGCGCCGCCACCGACACAATCTCACCACGCACAGTTAATTGCAGCGGCTAAAAAAAATAACAGCGAAAACAACACGAACCATGGACTCATCTCGAAGCAGTTGCAAACTTGCAAGCAGCTGCAGCGGCGGAGCACAACGAGAACGAACCAATCCCCCTGCTCCCCCTGCTCATCTCGACGAAACCGAAACCCACGGACCCCACGCACGCACGCGAGCACGCACCACACGAACAGCACGAGCAGCGAGGAATCCGAGTCGTCTCCCCGTATCGACACCAACCGAACAAAACCAAAAAAAAAAAAACCAAGTCAAAGCACGAACCAACTTACCGTCAGCGGCGGCGGTGTCCGCGCGCGCCACCACCAATGCAGCGGCGGCGACGGCGACGACCACCAGCGCCCGCAACCCAACCCCACCTCCACGCCGCACCGTACCTCCCCGCATCGATCGCCGCCTCCCCCGATCACACCATCCGCCGCGCAGCGCGCGCCTCCGCCTCGATCAGATCGAGACCGCCGGATCCAAGCCACGCCACGCAATGCTCCCCGCTCGGAGCGCGAGCGGCGGGGCGCGGCAGCAGCAGAGCGAGCGAGAGCGATGTGTGCGAGCGCGAGAGCGAGTCAGCGAGCGAAGAGGTGGTGGTGGAGAAGTGGACGGAAGCGAGGAAGGAGATGAGGCTGGCTGGCAACGCAGACGCAGCTAAGAAGAGAACCCCGGGCACGCAACGACGCCGTAGAAAAGGTGGGCGCCCCCCCGCGCCTCGCGACGGCAACGGCAGCGACAAGGAGGAAAAAATAAAGGAAGAAAAGAGAAATGCGAAAAATGCTATCCGCTGGATGGATGGATGAATAACGAGTTACTACATATACAGCGATAACGAGTTAAGTATTAAAAAAGTGTGGAAATTATATTTAAAAGTTTTCTAAATTTATGAAAAAAATTATTATAGATAGATGTATATGTGAAATATATTCTCATCACAAAATATCAAGTTCAAACTTCACTTTGTATCAGAGTGAAACAAAAAGATAAATTTGATATGAATAGTAAACACGTCTAAAATTTATCAATTTTTTCTCTCAAATAAAATTGAGTTTGGATTTCAAATTTAATGAAAATGTATTTCATATCTGTTTTTACGAGTGTACAACAAAACTTTTAAAGTTTCTAATAATTAGCTCGTTTTACATGATATCTACCCGAGTAATAACTGCTTCCAATGATTGGGGATTTATGGCGGCCGCGGCGTCGTCTCGTCCGAGTCGTCTCATCTCACGTTGGCAGGTGGGGCCCCGGTTGACGTGGCGCGGGCTCGCGTCGTCGCCGTGGCGCGGCTGGTCCACTTCGTGCACAGTGCTGCGTGGACCGGAGGAAGCACGTGCTGAGGAGGATCTTTCCCTCTCTGTGATGTGGGTGCGGCCTGTGTTGGCATTGGCTGTTTTTGCCGGGGGTTTTGGGTCTTTCTTCTTCTCTTCTCTCGTAGTGTCACACTAACACTAACATGGGTGGTTCTTTCCATCTTCGTGTTTTTTTTATGACTTGCAAAGCTTGCAATTCCAAGTCGTCTAGCTCCAAAACAAAAAATTCAGGGGTCATCGATCCCAATATGTGTGACAGTGTGAGCGAGTCAAGGCACCAGTAAAATTTCGACACGGTAATGGCGTAATAATTTTTAATTTATTTTTTAATAAGTGCGGACGTTTCCTCGATAGTACGAAATGTTGACATCTAAAGGTAGTGTAGACACGCTCGACCTCGTTTGCACTATTAGTCGATAGTGATGACATATATACTAGTAGGGCATCGATAGTGATATGTCTTTTGATAGGTAAAATCCGCTGGTAATTGTTGTTTTGACCGAGTGGATCATCCGGTACATCTTGACTTAAACAGCATGCACATGTAATTGATTTGTACTGCAATTAATATCATTTTCTCTTACCTAATGCAATGGGTGGTGTACTTTGAGATGGAGAAACGCAATTCACAAGTGGCATATCTTTACGAAATTTTATTGCAGAGTGCTGTGTCGAAGTAGTATTTAATTGCAAGTGCTATAGACCATGACAAACCAGCAGACCCAGATCTCCAGAGGCAATCAATCCTTATCCTCCTCCTAGGGTTGACTAATCAAATCAACCAACCAGGTAATTAATATTGGGATTGAGTACTTAAGTACGAGTAAGATGCAGGCCTAATTAAACAACCACAGCACGCAGTAGTTTTGTCACATGCATGCCAATATGAAGCAGACATTCGTCGAATGATATCGCAAGTGACAGGTTTCATAATTTGATTAGTGCTATAGATAGGAAAAACTAACTTCGCAGCACGCAATTATTTTTGTAATTATTTTTAAAAAAAGGAATCTGAAGCACCAACTCCTGATGTTGCCCACTGTGCCGACTGTCAAACTATGGAAATATAGGAGGTTCATACATTAATTAATTTATTGCAATCATCATCTTGCAAATGAAAATTTTTTAATTGCTTTGTCATGTCGTCCACACAAAAAATTTGTCTAGAGCAAAATTGTTATTTTTCATCAAGAACAGTCTATTCAATTTCAGCTCAACCGTGTGTGACTCAGAGGGGTAGTAGACACTAACGTATAGCTCACGAATATGTACTGATGTTTAGTCTTAAAAAATCACCAACTGGCCTTTCTTTAAACTCTAATTAAAACGAAGTTTACCAAACCTTAACGCCTCATCAGATTATTTAAAAAATGCCACCTGACCTCTCAGAGAAAACGAGTCTGCACGGTCGGATTTTTTCTGCTCCTCTACGTGGCATTAGAGATTCTCCTTTCGTCGATATATAATCATAATCTTGTGGACTTTGGACTCGTTTCAATGCTATCTTTTACATGAGCATTTTGGATAATCCAAAATTTAATCACCAAGTTGGTGGCTCAGAAATCGCCTCGACTTTATTCAAGTGATTGGATCACTTGCAGACGAAGCCATGATGATTGCGTGCGTCTACGGAGCAAAGCAAAAGACGTCACCGACGATGGAAAACGCCCCTGGTTCCAAACTGCAAATGCCATTTAGCATCTACGCTTTCCTTTTCTTCTTTGGGCCCATTTGATCCGGAATTTTTCACTCTCCGGGTCTAAGTAATCAATCAGATAAGAAATCAAAAGCGAAAAAGGCGTAAAGCCTAGTGCATGCAGTGCTCAGCAACTCCCTGTGAAAGTTCCTGAATCCTCTTTGGGTCACGAGAACTTTGGACAGTGGATCATGATGGGCTTGGCTGGCTAGTTGCTTTTGCAAATTGCAATTCACTCACAGATGAAGTGGAAGACGTACTTTGAAAAGATGATTTTAACACGAATCAAATCTTGCAATGAAATTAGTAGACATGAGTTAGTGCTTGAGCAAAGGAGTGTTGGTAGATGTCCTGTGTGATGACTATGGATGTGTTTGAGGAGAAGGGGATTGAGGAGATTGGAGAGATACGCAAAACGAGGTGAGCCATTAGCTCATGATTAATTGAGTATTAACTATTTTAAATTTTAAAAATGGATTAATATGATTTTTTAAAGCAACTTTCCTATAGAATTTTTTTGCAAAAAACATACCGTTTAGTAGTTTGAAAAACGTGCACGCAGAAAACGAGAATCAATCTCCCCTATCTTCCCAGAACGAACAGAGCCTATATGTAGTAGCTGAAGAATCAAGGTGGCCCAAGAATTGCAGTTAAAAAGGAGATTTGGTACAAGAACCTTACCTGAAAACTTCATGATGGCTTCCGATATAGAATAACCCAGGCCTACTTCCAGAAGGATGAGATTTATAGCTGAATAAATCATCATGATAGGGACTCATGTCAGGCCTTTCAGCAGCTTGTTGGTCACACTGCACAAAATGGTACGAATCTTAGACAGGTAGTGTCAACAGTCCATTGGTTCATTTCAGCAGACAACTTAATTGCGAATGTAAGCTTCAGCACCACTGAACAACTAACTACTCCTGGTCCCTGGAGACATGAATCTACTACATGATATAATACATAAACATTAGCACTAACAAAAAGAGCTCACAGGGGCAATCAACGACAGAAAAGACAAGTATTCTTCCGAACAATTGATATTGCACAGACAGTATGGTACACCAACAGTCACAACACACATTCTTCTCTGTTTAACCCAAACGCCGTTTCATATTGCATCAGATGCCCCCACATTATTATCGATTTTACTATGCATCTGGTGATCTGGAACTTATGAAGAAATCTAGATTATTAGCTACAACTAACAGCCTCAGTTTTTCCAAGGCTGTTTTACTTATAGTCTCTTCAAGCTCTTCTTCCTCGCATCAATCTTCTTCTTCTCAACCGGAGCTTTCACAGCATGTAGCCCATCCTTCTTGGGTACTGCTGATGCTCCCAAGGCAGGATCAGAAGGAGCAGCATTCTGATCCTGCAAATTAGAGCCAAATGCTTTATTTGCAGTGGAGGTAGATAATGCTGCTGGACCCAATGGTGTGTTCTTGCTGACAGCATTGTTTGACTGATCCACATTTAGAGCTGTGGTTGATTCAGAAATAGTCCCGCTCTTGGTCTTATTCTTGGGTTTAAGTGCATGGATGCTAGTGTATAGCCTGGATATGAAGCAACATGAAATAATCAGTAACTAATTACAGAGCCACATGAAACTTTAGCAAGTGAAACAACATAGCATGCTACAGTGGCAATCCTAATATGGCATTCTTTGACCAGTAGAGCTCTAATCAAGGTTTGATATTACAACGCTAAAAACTGACCTTGCATGCCGTGCATACTCCTCATAGTTCTCAAGCAACAATTTCCCAGCTTGCTCATTAAGGGCAGATTCAGGAAATGGTTCTATCAGAAGGCATCTCACTACCTGTCACATGCCAAGAAAGAACTCTTACTCGCTGTTGTGCTAAATCATAGCTCAGCAACTGCTTACAAAGTAACATTACTGGAATAATATGATTCTGGTTACCAGCAGAACATGTCTTAATCCAAGGCTAGGATTCCAATCCTTCTTCAGTGTGTTAACACATATTTCACCACTAGTTGCTATATTTGGATGGAAAATTTTTGTCAAGAAGAATCCTGCAAATCAAAAGGGAAGGTCAAAGACTTACAACCAAATGCCTCACTTGAAGAACTAAAGAAGAACATTACTGAAAGTTTTGAGGGATAGCTACCTTTAGGAGGAGACTGAGGGAAGTCACGAGACAACAATAGCTTCATACGGAATACTCCATTCTCATATGGAGTTCCAGCTGCACCAAGTCAAGATTCAGATTTTCAGAATATGGTGTAAGAAGTACAACAGGAAAAATAATACGGGTTCTATTATGCACTGCAAGCAGCAGAACAATGTGCTAGAATGGTGCAAAGCAAGCACAAGAGCATATATTGATATATCATTACCAGGTCCCTCAATATCAGCAAAAATGGTGGTGAAGTCATCGTCATTAACAATAACTTTAATCCCTTCTGGAGGTGACTCATCAAGACTCTTCAGTTCCTTAGCCAATTGCCTAACGACATTTGGTGGGAGGTTCTCGTTGGTTGCCTTGGTAATGCAGACATACAATTAGAAGTTAGAATCATGAAAGAGAGAATAGCTACTTTGAAGTGGTGTTCTCTTGAAAATGAATGAGGTCCCAAAATTATTAAATACTTCTGATGGCTTACCATGGAAGCAATAACAGCAGATAGGTAATTGTTTGGCAACTTCACTTGGAATTTGATTTCTACAGTGTGATCAATCGCCAAAACAAGCCTACAAGAAAATAAATAGATAATAGTTAGGGATGTGTGATTGGATTGATATAGAATGTTTGAACAAAAAAATTAGCAGAAAAAAAAACAGTACAGCACTCAAAATATTTCAATTGATATCTACGGAGCAGCAAAATGAAGACTGTATCAGGTAACCAAAAATTAAAACGTGGCTTGCAAAACTAGAAACTATTGTTGCAGTAATATGCAATTGTGCATGCACCAAGCAAATATTATATCCAATACACTACAAATGAACAACTACTATATGTGCTAGGGGTCACTTAATGGTTCTAGATTATACTGCTATGAATGATACATACAATGAATATTTTAAAAAACAGTAAGTGGTTTCGTGCAGTCATCCCACGTTTTAGTATTTTGTGCAGCATAATCGGTCGCTTATCCGGTATAATTGGCCACTTGTGTGGCTTTAGCGGTACAAGGCTGGGGCACCTGTTTTTTAGAAATAAAAACTCACGATGAATGCAAAAGTGACTGGATAGCAACACATTGCATATGCCATGCAGGAGAGATCGATGTTATCATACATTGCATTTGTCGTGTTATCGCACAATAATCTTAACCTAAAAGCCATTTCTGTGTACTGATATACCAACTCGACGATTTAACATCACTTCCTACTGATATACCAACTCTTTCCCTCTCCACAAGTCCCCTCACGCATGCAAGTGCATGTGCACACTCACACCAAGTAAATTTAAGTGCTAAATTAGTAATTTAATCCCACTAGGAAGCAATGTTCTACTTAGTAACACTTGCAAACATGGAGTACTTCAACATAGTATCTGCAACATCGAGAAGCTAATAACACTGGAACAATGCACTAAGACCACAAACCAGAATTGGCGGTTTGCGTAAATAGGCTACGTACATTATCACATGCTACTGCAATATTGCAAATATGGTAATGAGCCATCTCCGAGCGCTTATTTATTACTAACTTGACCAATCAAGCGTATAAATAGTAACTACTACTAAAGTGCCAATTAACTTTTATAGCCTCGCTCCCTCCACTTACAGAGAGTTTTCGCGCGCGCAATCGCGCACTCCCGCCACACCATGCAAATACAATTCCTGCATATTTATTCAGGGCAAGTATATTCAGGGGCCAGTGCCCTGCACCCATGCATCATGTGTGAACAGAAAATTTAACAGGAACAACACGGAGTGCTTCTCGCTCTAGTGAACAGAAACCTAATCAACAATAGTCCTCTTAGAATTCACAAACATGTCCTGTCCCCCCTGCTCAGAGATGAGATTGGGCGCAATGTACTTCCGGATTAATAGATCGACCGATCGATCACACTCGCCTCCACTATCAACATAAAACGAGTCTTAACAAGATCTCATCTCCATCAACAGGACGAAACAGACGCCTTACCTGCGCTAAAAGGGCAAAGGGAAGCGTACCACGCGGAGTCCCGCCGCTAAAATGCCGCCTCCGGGTGACCCGCCCACGAGATCGACGCAGCAGCACGCAACCAGCCAACGGTACGACGATCGGGGGGGAACGGCGGCGCCGGGCGATTCCCTTGCAGCAGCGGCGGAGGCGGCGGCCGGGCAATTGGGGCGGGCGACGGGCAGGATGAGGAAGCTCCGCGCCGGAGAGAGGATCCCCGGAGGTGGGCGGCCGCCGGCGAGAGGCCGCGAGGGGGGAGGGGGAGGAAACCCTAGGGGCGTGGAGGAGGCGCTCTTCGATTTGGGGGGAGAAGGGGGGGAGGAGGAGGAGGAAGAGGGGTAATTAGGATTTGAGGGCGACTCGAGAACCTACGGAAATAAAAACGAGATCCGCGCGGTGCGCGGTGGTGCGCCGAGCGCGAGATCCGACCGTTGACGTCGGGGTGGGCCCCACGTGCACGGCGCGTGTTGGGGGGTGGGTCCCGCTTTGCCGTCTCGCCGACGCGCTCGGTTAGTTAGCCGTTGGGGGGTGGGGGAGAGGGGGCTTTGGTTGGGCCTTGGGCCGGGCCGTTTTCACGAGTTCGAAATCGTCCCGGCGAGCGTCGCCGGGGAGCGGTTGGAATGAGAGAAACCAACGGTATAATTAGTAGAGGGCTCGAGGCTACTGCTTCATTCGTGCTAGAATATTATAACCTATAACTAATGGAATAACATAGTAATCCAAATCTGAATATATTTATCAGTTAGTCTCTTTAATTATAGGTTCTGTTTAAATTATAGTACTAAATTAAGTTATATTCGATTTTAGGTTGTAATATTCACATATGGAGGGAGTATGTGCTAAACTGCTTATCCATGTGTCGTTGGAGTTTGGAGTACGGATGCAGTATAACCAATGTTCCGTAAAGTTCACGAGAAACTACTATGGGCATGGTATATCTCCTGTGATTCTTGTATTGGCAAGACAAGACTCGTCTTTTTACCCAAGAAGGGTCCATAGCCCCTTTTAGACAGTGGCGTAGCTAAAATTTAGAGTAAAGGTGGTCCATTATACAATTTTTATTATATTATCTAGCATATATACTATAGTTTTAATCTCGATCAAATTTTTAGGTGGTCCATAGATCATAGTGCCACCTAGCTAGCTACGCCACTGATTTTAGGCCTTCTATTGCTGGGCCTAATGGGACAACGCCATATTAGCTCAGGTTTTATCACCAGACGCTATGTATAAGGTGTGCACCTGGGCAGGCATCAACACGTGTAGCCAACCGCCGCAAACTAATCAAACAATAGAATTAACCACAGCTGACGATGAGCAGTGGCATTATCAGGCAGTTCATCACCGGGGCACTCCATTTTCTGCACTGTGTGATTATTAGTACACACATGTTCCTAAGATCCTAGTCACAATTGAGTGTGTTTCTGATTTGATTCCATCGGGGAGAAATGACGTAAAGCCAAGGACGAAGGACATCGCTGCTGTTGAAGCATAGCTTCGCCTGCTTGGCATCACAGTGACAAGAATCACAATCATGCTGTACGAATTTAGGCCTGCTGGATACTGACATGTGGCGTAATAGTGGCCAAACCATTGGGGGCCAAATGTCATGTCGACATACGAGATCATAACTGTACCAACACACAGCACAGGCTTAGACTATCTCCAACAGGCTAGGCATAGCGACACCCAAACCCAAAATATGTGCTCCAGGCTACTGTAGCGGAAAAAAACAGGGTCCAACAGAGTACCCATACTAAGGACCTATTTTGGGTTCCAGCCGAGGCGGAACCCAAAAATGAGCGCCCTCTCTCCTCGACCGAAACACCTGGCGCAACTGTTTCGCGGGAGGTGGAGAGAAGAGGAAAGCGCACCTGGCCCCGGCAATAGGGAAAGCTCCGCCGCCGGCGAGATCTGCTCTGAGCTAGGCTTCGCAGGTATGGATCTCTCTCCAACCCCACCCTCCTTCATCCCTGGTCCCATCTCTCCTCTCTCTGGACGTGGATTTGGCCGCGGCCGCTCGCACCCTAGCCAAGGGCGCATCACGCTGCATGCTGTGCCTAGCCCCGACGACGCCGCTCAAATTTTTGTTGACCGCACCCTCCCCAGCATGTTTGTGCCATGTTTAATTGAATCTCTGTTGTAATAGGATGATGGATAAAAGTATTGGTGGCTCAAGTGCTCGCGCTAGCGAATCTGAAGAAATATTTGGGACAGATCAGTGGGCTTTTGGGTTTTCTGCCGCTTTGCATTCTTTTGATGTTCCTCCGAACCCCCAGGTTTATTGCAGCCATGCATATGATGATTTTCTTTATTTACATATCTATACATCGATGATTAACAGTTCTTTTCATCACTAGTTCAACATGCATGGCTCGTCCCAAATGTCATGCCCACCTATAAATGAGCAACCTAGCCAGGGGCTCTCCATTGACAACAACATTGGCTCTGAGGACCCTCCATCATTGAAATCACAGAGGGCTGCAAAGAAGAAGAAGGTGTCCAGGAGAGGAATTGCATTCACCAAAGAGGAGGACATGGTGGTGTGTTCAGCATTTCTGAATATTAGCAAAGACCCTATTACAGGTAATCATTTGCAACATCTTTTATGAATTCTTTGATGCCCAAATAACATGGTGGCATAACATGCAGGTGTGAATCAAACTTCAAGTGGTTATTACAAGAGGATGCGTGATTATTTCAATGAGCACAAACCTGAAGGGTCCAACCGTAGCCAGATTGCTATTCAGCACAGGTGGGCATTGATTCAGAAAGCGATAAACAAGTTCTGTGGGCACAAAGCAGCTGTTGATAGGCTAAATGAGAGCGGAAAAAATGAGCAGGATCGGGTATACTTTCACTCATATTATCCTCCATCTATCTAATTTACATATGGTTACTTTCTAACCGGTTTAATCTATTTTTTTTATAGAAGGTTTAATCTATATTCATATTTGCAGATAGATGATGCTGTACAAATGTACGAGAAGACATAACCTTTTACCTTCATGCATTGTTGGAAACTACTTCGCAACGAGGCCAAATGGAACAATAAGTTTCTTGAGCTAAACAACTCTACATCACCTGATCGAATGGAACCTCCTTCAACTCAAGGCCATACTGTAGCCGGCCATGCAGAATCTGGGAATGAGAATATAGACACAACACGGCCTGAGGGTAGGGATAGTGCGAAGAGGCGTAGATTGAAGAGCTATGCAGAGACATCATCATCTAGTACAACAGTTGAAGTCCTCCAGCGGTTGCAGGAGAAATCAGAGAAGACCGAACTGAAGCAAGACCAGCAGATGGTTGAAATCCTTAGTAGGAAGGACGAAAAAATTAAAATTCAGAGGGATCTTTTCAACCTTCAGAAGAAGCATATGAAGATGAGTGTGAAGCAGCACAAGAAGGAAAATGAGATTAGGGAGAAGCAGACTGAGGCTCAACTGATGTCAGCTGAGTCTAGTATTATGTCCATTGACATTGAGAAGGTCCCCCCTTATCTGAAGAACTATTATCTAGGCATGCAACGACAAATCATGGAGCGCAGAGGATTCAGTAGTCCCTTGAACAACGGAGACTAAGGAGCGTGTGTGTTGAATATATGTCCAACTTGGTTCGCTTGAGTTGAACTTTTCTATTGTGTGCAACTTTGTACTATTATCTATTGGAGTGATGTGTGTCTGTTCATGTAGTGACTATTGTTCATTTCAGCAACAAAATGTCATATATTTCTTATCAACAACAAAATGTCATATATTTCTTACCAACAGGCAACAAAATATCTTTCAGCCACTATAGTTCATGTGAGCAGCCAACAAAATACAAAGGTCTTATGAGTAGGCAGCAAAAAAACTAAGCCTACAACTAAAGACTAGTTCCTGTGATTTGGAGCAAAGGGACCAGAGCATTGGCCATATGGCATCTACATGTGTTCCATCATGTCATTTTGAAGCAATGCTGTTGTCTCTCTGTCCTGAATGATGTTTTGAGCATCAACAAGTTTCTCAATTGCCGGGATTTCCCTATCCTGGTTAATAGGTGGGTCGGACACTCCAGGCCATTATGATGGATGGACAGTAGGTAGCTGAACCCCACGCTCATCTTCAACTACCATGTTGTGAAGTATGACACAAGCACGCATGATGGAATTAAGTACTTTTGGACTCCATAAACGAGCTGGCCTATGCAAGATTTTCCACTTAGCCTGCAGGACACCGAAAGCTCTCTCCACATCCTTTCTACACGACTCCTGTTGCTCTGAAAATACCTTTTGTTTGTTGCTAACTGGCAAAGCAATGCTTTTCACTAGTGTAGCCCAATCAGGATAGATGCCATCTGCTAGGTAGTATCCAAGGGAATAGATATTGTCATTGACATGGAACTCAACAGAGGGTGCCCTCCCGTTAGGCACATCATCAAAAACATTGGAACGATGCAAAACGTTAATGTCATTGTGAGACCCTGGTAAACCAAAGTAAGCATGCCAAATCCTAAGATCCTCGGTCGCCACTGCCTCAAGTATTAGAGTTGGCTTGCCTTTGTGCCCTCTGTACATGCCTTGCCAACCAGTCAGGCAGCTAGACCATTCCCAGTGCATGCAATCAATGCTACCTATCATTCCCGGAAAACCTCTGGCCAAATTGATGCTTAATATGTGCTCTATCTCCTCACTCCTGGGAGGACGAAGAAATTCTTTGCCAAACACCTTGATCACAGTCATAATAAATTCCTTCAGGGTCTTTAGGGCAGTACTTTCTCCCATTTTCAAATGATCATCCAACTCATTAGCCGGTCCTCCATATGCTAGCATCTTTAGAGCCACCGTGCACTTGTGAAGAGCAGAGAATCCTAATTGCCCAGCAGCATTTCTCCTCTGTGTGAAGAACCTGTTCTTGGCTGTGACCTCATCCACTATTCGAAGGAACAATTCCCGTCTCATGCGAAACCTACAACCCAAAATTACAGTTGTTTATCAAATTAATTCAATATATCTACAAGAATAGTGAGCAATATACAATTGATCATGAAAATGTTGGCATTTCCTTCAACACAAATATGTCATGAAAATGGAAACTGGGCCAAAGATTCTACCTCCTCCTGAAATGTTCTTCATTGTAAAGTGGACGTTCAACGAAGTAGTCCTCATTCAATTGCCAGTCTGCTGCAATTCGATCACGCTTATAAGTCTTGTGGCCAGGGACTGAACCTCCCCAAGGGCGTTTTCGTGGCGTCTGGGTGAGGATGACCACTGCGGCCATGATCTCATCGTCCTCAGAGTATGTTGCGGCTGTCCCAAACATTGACATTTTGACGTAACTCCAAGCCATGGCCACCACAACGGAAGTGCAGGTCTAAAGCCAAGCCGATTTAGGGACAAATTAGCCACAAATTAAAAGGGAATGTGACATCGAACAAGCAAATGCTAGAAATCAGATTACTTGTGTTCTGATTGACTCTGCTGCGCCAACGTTCGGCCTTGTCCGAACGGTTGCTCGCCGGCGGCTACCTCGCTGCTACTGAGACTCCCTTCTCACATGCAGCCAGGGCGGCAAAACAATCCCGCCATCGAGCCAACCCCGTAGTCCCGCGCCCCGCGCCCGGTATATCTCGCACGACACCCTCCGTTTCCCGCGTAAAAATTTCATTGCGGGCCCGCGAAGGAAACTGTCCGCATTGCATGGTTTCCTTTTGCGTTCGCTGTTGGAGAAGGCAAGAAATAGGTGCGTGACCCTTTTGCCGCAAGCGACGCATACCGTCCAATGGGTCTCCTGTTAAGGGTATTATTGTTGGAGATAGTCTTATGAGTTTCGAATGCGTGCATGGTCCCTTCTGCTGGCAGCTGCCGCCTGCCGGTGTGTCCCGTGACCAATCGAGAAATCATCTTCCTCACCGAAAGAGAAATAAAAGTAAACAGTCATTTTTTTTCTAAGAGTTGGTTAAGAAAATCTCCAGAGTCCTACAAGTGGTCTCAAGAACAGGGTGCGCGCCATATAATATGATGCTATGTAAAGATTTTAACATAGATGCCTATCTTTTGGGGTAGTTGTGTTCCAGTCTCCTTAGGCTGCGTTTGTTTGTATGGGTTCCTAACTCACATTAATCCATTTTTCAAGTTAGTTTTAGCTAATACTTAATTAATTATATGCTAATGAGCTGCTTCGTTTTCCGAACTGGAAGGAAAGGCTTTATTAAATTTTATATTATTAAAATAACAAGATTTTTGTATTGTATACCTTGTGGTAAGAAATGGCACTACATATCTATCATTAACTTCACACAGGTCCACTTATCAGTGTCTCTCCTCCCTCCTAACCCCTTTCTCTCCTCCACGCACTTAGATTCCATTACCTCATCGCTCCCTACCATAATCCCCCCCCAAATCACCAAATGCCATGGCTCTCTCTTTCTTGTTGCCCAATGCTGAACACCAAGAGTTGCCTCTCCTCCTAGTCATCGAACGCTATGCTACCTTCACCTCCTCCTTGTCGCCGAATGGGATGGAAAAGAGGAACTCAGGGAGCTCTACGTAGCAAACACAAAATTGTTGTGGATCCATAGGCTTCGTGCGGCTCAGATCTTGCAGTTGTTCGTATTTTGGCGATGACGGAAAGCTTGAAGGTGTAGATGGAGCGGTAACGATGAGCTTAACGTCTCATGGTGAGTTAGAGATGAGCTTGCTCGTAACTCATCGGAATACTATCTTTCTCCTTTGGTTTTGTAAGGTGCCACCCCCATTATTTCTTTCCTTTTGAACCACTCCTCTAGATCATTCTTTTTTTTTCATGGGGCACTCTTGTCCTCTGCAGGGCACGAGGAGTCTGACAAGGTTATTTGATGGGCTGACATGGAGTTAGGACAATCTTCTTTCTAGGGCATCACCAATATTTAGGGCCAATTTGGATTGCTACCAAAAACATGCCCTATCAATATTTTGGTAATTTGAATAGTACTTGTGTTTGATTTGGATTGAAGCCCATTCATTGGTAATACCTAATCTAGATTTGGCATTATCTAGAACATTCTTTACTACAATTTCACATTTTGACTCTATGTTGGTAGCAAACCAAATATGATCAAAAACAATCTTACCTTACCAAATATTTGGTAATATTAAAACTTGCCTAGATTTTGGTACTACCAAAAAATTGGCAGGGTAACAATCCAAATAGACCCTTACTACCTAATTTATGGGTATTAGTTATTGTTGTAGCTATAATGGTGAAAGAAGAAAAATGAATAGTAAACTGGACCCCACAACCACTGGCCATGATAGAGAGATAAGACAAATGATTTATTTATTCCTTATGACTAGGTAGTCAGCATATCACCTGATATTTGTTACGTACTACTCCCATAATATATACAACTTGGTAGTACTAGTATTTTATTCCTTACAACCCACTTTACATGCATATTGTGGATGCCCGATATGAAGAGTTGAGCCACTCGCTACCTCATCACACTAAATGGCCTAATTAAGAGAATCCTACGAACAACCTCATATTTTTCTTATGCTCATAAGCTAAAATTTAAATTTTCAATCTTCAATTTAGATTAATGTTGAGGTTTTTCTTATCCTAGTTTATTTTTTAGTCTTTATTTTTAGATTGCTAAGAATACATATACAAAATTTTTATTAATAAATTATTTTTCGTTTGCAAATAAGGCCGATTTTAGTTTCAAACTTCCAACTTTTCCATCACATCAAAACTTTCCTACACACAAACTTCCAACTTTTCCATCATATTTTTCCAATTTCAACCAAACTTCTAATTTTAACATGAACTAAACACACCCTAAGCCAAACGATGGAGCCATAAATTTCTACGTTCTCGGCACGTCTCACGGTCTCACGCCGTTTGCACGAAACAAACGTGACACTGATACACACGCGTACAGCAACAAACCGAATACGTACGAAAACTCCACCTTCCCAAGTCACGCACGGAGCAAAGAGACGAAAGTTACCGAAACAGAACACGGGGACGACGAGACGCACCTTAAGGGTGTGTTTGGTTGCCTGCATGGAACCTGGCTCGCACACGTGGATGCAGTGGGTCGCTGTTTGGTTGCCTGCACCTTACTCCCAGCCAGGTTGAGCGGATGCAAAAAAGCCCCCACAGCCAGGCTGAGCAGGAACGCTCGATTTGAGCTTCGCTGCTCGGCCAGGCCCGCGCGATGCAACGCGCTGCACCCGCGTGTGCAAGGGCAGGTGATGGGGTCACCACCCCGCCCCTTGCCCCCTCCTCATTTTCTCCCAACGAACGATAGGGCGACGACAAGCTCTACGGAGGGAATGGCACCCGACGAATCTGACTTACTGCTGCATCCCCCTCCTCTTCCCACCATCCCCCCCTCAATTTCTGGCCACCGCTGTGCCCAGACATCCTCGCTAATGGCGTGAGCACTGCCAGATCCAGCTAGTGATGAGGAGGCAAAAAGCTTGACGGCGACGAGCTCAGCGGAGGGCGCGGCGACGAGGACAGCGGATCCACCGTGCTGTCGCGTCCCTCCTCCTCTTCCCACTGTGCCCCCATCTTCAATCGCCGGCCACCGTCGTCTCCCTCTGTCAGCCAGATCTGATGGAGCGGAGGAGCGGCGAGCAGCGAGCAGCGGACGGAGAGGAGCATGAGAAGATGGGCGGAGGAGCAGTGGACGAAGAGAAGCGCCGGAAGACGGGCGGAGGAGCGGCGAACGGCGGGCAGATGGGCGCACATGCGGCTGTGGGCAGAGAGGAGTTGATGGTGACGAAGGCAGCACCGATCCCCTTCCTCTATTTCTTTCGTTTCTTTTTTTTTTGCCCCTCGTTTTGCGTTTTCTCTTTCTTTCTTTCGTTTTTCACTAGCAACAGAGAAGTCTGTATGTAGAATTACTAGTAGTAGATTAGTTTCACCGGTTCATCCACCTTAAGAATTTTTTTAATTATTTTTTTATATATTGTAGAGGTAACCTCACCTAACTATATGTATACGAAGAGATAACCACACTCACATCATGCAACCAACCAAACAAAATTCCTTCTAAACAGTATCCCTCATACAGGCAACCAAAACAAAATCTCATGTTAGCCTGGCTAGACCAATACAACTAACCAAACAGCTACATATGTATTCTTCTGGCCAGGTCAAACTCAGCCTAGATGAGAGAGATAGCCAGGCTAGGGTGATACGGGTAACCAAACACAACCCTAAATTTCTCGCGTCACCCCCCCCTGCTGAAACGCAACACATCCCGCCAAAGACGACGACGACGAAATACCAGAGACGCCATCGCCACGGAGACGTGAACACCGAGCGAGCGCTCTCTCTCTCTCTCTCTCGCCAAAAAACGTACGTTTTCTGGCGCATTGTCAGCGTGTGCCTTGGCCAAATTTACCCACGCAAGCTAGCGGCATCTGACGCGCGCGCCGCCGATGAAACGGGCCTGCCGCTTTGGCATCGTGCGGTGCCACGGTTAACCGCACCACCACCACCACCAAGCACCAACAACAACAACAAAAAAACGCATTGATTGCGCGGCGACGCGAGCCACAGCCACAGCCCCCACCGGGTTTAATACCATCGCGTTGGCTGGCCTGGCATCCATCGGCAGTGGCAGTGCAGTGCAAAACGAGAATTAATCTAGGCTAGCTACTACCACCTGAGTTTGCTGTTGCTGTTGCTGTTGTTGCATGCGGCTGTGACGGCGGCGGCGGAGATGATGTGCGGGAAGGAGGAGAAGCTGCTCGGGGTGCAGAAGGCGCCGGGGAGTTGCCCGTACTGCGGCGGAGGGGTGGCGGCGACGGACGTGGAGGCCAAGTGGGTGCTCTGCTTCCTCCCGCTCTGCCTCAACAACAAGCGGAGGTTCTCCTGCACCGCCTGCAACCGCCGCCTCGTCTCCTACCCCGCAATTGTCCATGACTAGTAGTAGTAGCGACCTCTCTTTCTCTTCTCTTCCTTTTTCTTTTCTTTTGTTTTATTTTCTTTTCCCCTGATTCGGAGATTTGTCGTCGTCTATCTTCTCCGGGAAGGTGATTTGATAAATTCTGTTCTAGATCTGGAACTAGCTGCTTCTTTCCCAGCGAGAAGAAAAATAGAGCATATGTAGTATTTGATGAGTTGGTTCTTGTTGCGTTTATTTTTTGGTTCGTCCATGGATGGTGAACAAGGGGTGTTATTGCCGATGCTGCGTGTACGACGATGTGTTGGTTCCGTGATGCTAGGTACCTAAAAGAAAGAAAAAGACTGCGCGAAGTTGAGTTCTGCTTCTATGTGATACTCCCTCCGTCCCAATATATTGCAACCTAGGATGGACCAATATATTGGGACTGAGGGAGTAATCTGTTTAACTGATACGGGTGTTGTTTGTACTACTCTATTCTAAAAAGAAATTCAATATTAGCAACTTGCGTATTCAGGTTTATTGTTAGGATTAGATCATTTTAATAGTGGGGGTAGATAATTATTCTTTTATTAATAGACGATACATCTATTGATAGTGTGGTGTTTATAGTGACTTCATCAAGATTATATTTTTCATGTTTTTGAAGGTGTTTATATAGGTGAGATGTGCGAATGTATTTATAAGGACAATTGTGTATGTATTGAGTGTCTACGATTATACTGTTTTTAAAGTTATGCCGTTCTTGTGTTTATAAGTATAGGATGTACGTGTACGTTTTATTAGAGTGAGTGTATGCATGTCAAACGTCATGTTTATATTACTCTTTCTGTCTCAAAATATAACAATTTTGGGTGGATGAAAAATAACATAGTACTATGAATCTAGGCATAACCTATTTATAATATTAGAATATATCTCATATAGCTAGAAGTTCTTACTCCATATTTTAGGACGGTGTTATATCTTAGGATGGTGAGAGTACTGTTTTTCTTTTGAAAAACAAAAGGGGGAAATTGTCACAAGGCGATAAGGCCTTGGTGCTATCAGTCGCGGCGGCGCATCGCGATCATGCGGGTAGTTCGGTCGGTTTGCTGGTCGAGAAAGACGTGTATCTCCCCTCCCTCTTCGTCCGTCCGTCGCGATCGTCGTTGGATTTGCCGATGATGACTCGCGTGTGCACCAGGCAGCACAGGTAGACCCATGAAATCGAGCTAGTGTGTGGCATTGGTTTCCCATTCAATCTTTATACGGGGCTAAAACTTTTTAAGCCCGTATCATATCGGATGTTTAGACGCTAATTTAGAGTATTAAACATATACTAATAAAAAAACTAATTTTATAAATGAGAGCTAATCCGCGAGACGATTTTTTAAGCCTAATTAATCCATAATTATCAAAAGTTTACTGTAGCATCACATTGTTAAAATCATGGCGTAATTAGACTTAAAAGATTCGTCTCGTGAATTAGTCCAAACTTATAAAATAGGTTTATAATTAGTGTATGTTTAATACTTCAAATTAGTATCCAAACATCCGATGTGACAGGTACTTGAAACAAGTTCGTGAAAACCAAACAGCCCCTAGTACTACAAACTAGGAGTAGCTTTGGGTATTTGCCTCCGTGCCTCACGGTATCTGGTGACTGTGAGAGCGATGAGATGGACAATGTTTCTGTGTCATCAGACATGAGGTGACAGAGTTGGTCGGTGCGCTGTCCACAACAAGCTCAACTGAGATTCGTACTTAGGTTTAGTTTAGTTTCCTTCAAACTTTCAAAAATTTCGTCACATCAAATATTTGGACACATATATAGAGCATTAAATGTTGACGAAAAAAATTAATTACACAGTTTGCATGTAAATTGTGAGATGAATCTTTTGAGGCTAATTACGCTATGATTTGACAACGTGGTGATACAATAAATATTTGCTAATAATAGATATATTAGGCTTAATAAATTCGTTTCACAGTTTACATGCGGAATTTGTAATATGGTTTGTTATTAGTCTACGTTTAATACTTGAAATTTGTGTCTGTATATGTCAAAAAAAAATTGGAGGAGGGCCTAAACACGGCCTTACTCCCTCCGCCACATCCTAGTACAAGTGTGTTTAGATCGAGGGGTGTAAAGTTTTAATATGTAATATCGGAAATTATATAGGGTGTCGTATGGGGTGTTCGGGTACTAATAAAAAAACTAATTACAGAATCCGTCAGTAAACCACGAGACGAATTTATTAAGCCTAATTAATCCGTCATTAGTAAATGTTTACTGTAGCACCATATTGTCAAATCATGGAGCAATTAGGCTTAAAAGATTCGTCTCACAAATTAGTCGCAATCTGTGCATTTAGTTATTTTTTAGCCTATATTTAATAATTCATACAGGTGTTCAAACGTTCGATGTGACATGGTGTAAAATTTTTGTGTGGGAACTAAACAGAGCCTTTGTAATAGGATATGTCACATCCACCCAAAATCCCTTACATTATAGGATGGAGGGAGTACTTTATCCGTCCTATATTATTGTTATTCTTAGTATATAGTACTAGCATAGATTAAAGTTTGAGAAAAATAATACTATAATATTGCTTGTTAAATGACATATGGTTGAATATGAGAAGATGGCTACGGGTAGAAAGAAAAAAAATAAATTATAAGTGATTAATAGTTTAAGTAGTACTTTATTGTAATAATTATTTTGAGGTAAAGTTTAAATTCAAAAGAAATAAAGGACGGATGTACTAAGTTCAATCGATTGCTAAATACTCACTCCATTTTAAATTGATCTACATATAGTTTTTTTCTTAAATGATCTACATATTTGTGTTCATTCATTAAGTCTAATCGTTATTTGTTCATTGGAGTAAATGGACATTGATGCATGCATCACACAATTATTTATAACCCACATGCAATATTTTGATTTGCTATTGGCTAGGAAACAGTGGGGTTGGTGCATGCATCGAGTTTGTTGCTAAATTAAATATAGTACGAGAGAGTTATTAGTTTTTCTTAGTCTTGGTGTACCTATGAAATATGTAGATTAATTTGGAATGAAGGGAGTAACGCTAGGAGTACCGCACCAGCAAAATTAAGGCAAAACTCATACTCCCTCCATCTAATTTTGATAGTTATATTTCATCTTAGCACACAAACCAATGATAAGTAATTCTACTTATCATCCATTTAAACATGCTACTAGTTACTCCTTGTAAACAAGCGATTCATTAATATTTACATTTCGCGATGCTCATGTAGTCAATCTTGTGTGGAAGAATGAAGAGCCACGCATTAAATCCGAAAAAGTCATTAAGATGATATATTGTTGGGTTGAAATATGTCTATCAAAAATAAATTTTCGAATTTAAAAATATGCATATCAAAAGTAGACAGAGGGAGGATATCCGTGTACCAAAGTTTGGTGAGACATCAAACCACACGAATATACTGTATCTCCATAACTCAGGTTAACAGTTATTCTCAGCCCGCTTCACGGCAGCCCAATGCAGACCTAGAAGCCGGTAATTCCAGCTCGCCGAGTTAGCGTGTGGAGGCTCGAATCCCGCACGGCCCAAACCACATGTAGCGGAGCGTTTTCTCATAGCCATTTTCATGGGCATATTTTTTATGAAATTATTTTTACAAATCTTTATCAGAAAAACTTTCATCTGAATAAGTATACGTTGGGAAGGTAGCTGCGTTAAATAGTACTCCTCCCTTTTTAACGTATGACGCCGTTGACTTTTGATCAATGTTTGACCACTCGTCTTATTCAAAATTTCGTGCAAACATAAAAACATTCAAATCATGTTTATAGAACATTTGATGCTAAATCAAGTCATAATAAAATAAATAATAATTAAGTAAAATATTTAAATCATGTTTTAGAACATTTGATTATAAATCAAGTCATAATAAAATAAATTATAATTACATAATTTTTTTGAATAAGACGAATACTCAAATGTATTTCAAAAAATCTGTTATACATTGAAAAACGTTGAAAAAAACGGAGAGAGTAATTTCGCTTGGGTGAGGAACCTAAACACTGGTTGCTATCCCGGCAAGCAAGCAACCTCCTTCTGTTACAAGCCCACAGGAACGCAAGCCTCTCAGTTCTCGAAGTACCTGGGTTCTCTGCATCATCATCGTCGTCATTCCAAAATAAAGCCCTGTGCATACCGATGCAACTGATACAAATTTAAGGAAGCATCCGTTGCATGCACAAATTTACTGGAAGTCTGAATTCATAGGATCGATGCTCACTGATCAATGGACGGGAGAAGCCAAGAGGTTTCTGTTCACTGAATCACTCCTCAACGGGACCTGAATATTCAACTGCGGTGCATATCTTTCTTGAGATTCCAAAGCCTGATATCGCCGGGATGCTTGACAAATTATACAGGAGAAAGTTATACTCCAGACAACCTGAGCTGTTTCATGTGATTAATTAGTATGATCGGTTGCTGTTTATGTCGTTTGACTGGATTCCATTGGCTACTAATGAAGTAACCCATTTATACTTGTTTTTTCATGTTTCTTTGGATATATACTTTCCTTCTCTAAGTTGAAAAAAAAGAGAAGAAAACTTTGTTCTGATAAACTTATAGGAAATTGATCTATAGCTAGTTTTGCTGTGCTGTAGGAGTCCTCAAAAGCATGAACCCTCTTCACTTCGTCAGAACAGAGAACTTTTCATAACAGCAGCTTTGGATGGTTCGGACTGATTAAAGGCGGCCTTCATGTAAGAATGCAAGCATGCATTATGTTTAAGTTAAGTTAACCCGACTGAAGACTAATTAGTCGGTAATTTAACAATTCAGAGCCACAGTATTCTAGTCCATCTTGCATGTTCCATGCAACAAAGGACATCCCACTAGCAGCAAAAAATACAGAGGTTTCACATGTGGGGCAGGCCATGGATCTAGCTACCATTTGACCCTTAGACAGTTAACTATTGATCGACCAACACTGTTAGGCAGACAAAGACAACATTACTCCTAACAATCATAAGATACTCCCCACATGTGGATCCACTGTTAAACCCTTTGCTTTGGACTCATCAATGCAAGCTACATAACGCCTTTACACATCAATAAACAATGCTGTAATTAACTATCTACCAAGTTACTATTACTACCATCCTTCAGAGTTCTAAAAAATCTGTTCATGCAGGGATTGGATTGAAGCAGCCAGCTCTTTAACCAAAGAGTACCAGAGTGATCTTGCCATGCACTGTGGAAACATCATGTATTACTTTAATTTATCCCAGTGTAGGATCGAAGTTACTACAGTTACCTTTGCAGCTGTGGCAAAGATCAAGCAAAAATGTGCAGAGCGATAATGTGTGTT